TAATAATTATTAGATTCTGGTGTTTCCTTTTTGATTCTTGCCAAGGCGGGCATGGCATGGCGATTCGGATCGGGAGGCGTTGAGAGCAAAAGAGAGAGAAAAGAAAGGTGATGTTGGCCGGGGGGGGGGGCGTTTGGCTAGGGCACCCCCTGGTGAACTACGGAGTAACTACATAGTCAACCTAGTTAGTGGGCGCTCCGTACTCCGTATGCAAGGCCCATTATTATGGCCGTTGGAGGGAGGGAGGAGTGGCGGCGCGGTCTGGAGCGCGCAATCCGACGAGAGACTTGCTCTGTACGATCGGAGTGGAGGGCTGGCCGGGCGCACAGAAACGGGGCTGAAGAAACCCAACGCCGTTAATCTTATTTTCTTCTTCTTTTCATTTTCTTTTTTTTTTGTATTTGTCTAGTTATTTGTCATTCGTGCTTTTTGTTTCGTCGCATGAGCTGCAACCCTCCCGCTTTTGCAAGCCATGTAGTTATGTAGTTATGCTGGCCTCTGGCGATTATTCTCCGATCTATGTATACCGAGCACTCTGCCGGTCGAACCCAAGAAGCCCGCCAACCAACTAGTACTCCGTAGTTAGTTATCACCGACCCGCGTTATGAAGTTATAACTTGCCAAGCCCTGATAACCTGGTTATCACGGCGCCTCCCCTAACAAACCCATTCAGTATAACTCGGTTATCGGCCAGCTTGGCGGCATGAGTTAGAGTTCGTGTTATATGGGGCCCCCGTACGGTGATTGGCAGGCTGTAGAATTACTATGCCAAAACAGTACACGCGCAGGCAGGCTGGTAGCTTAGTAATTAGAGAGCTTAGTAATTACACAGCTGATTACACAGCGCGCAGGCTGATTATTAAGCTCCAGCACGCGTAATGCCAAGACCAGGAGCCTACACAGCGCGCAGGCTGGTTACTAAGCTCCGGCGCGCGTAATGCCAAGACCAGGAGCCTACACAGCGCGCAGGCTGGTTACTAAGCTCCGGCGCGCGTAATGCCAAGACCAGGAGCCTACACAGCGCGCAGGCTGGTTACTAAGCTCCAGCGCGCGTAATGCCAAGACCAGGAGCCTACACAGCGCGCAGGCTGGTTACTAAGCTCCAGCGCGCGTAACACCAAGACCAGGAGCCTACAAAGCGCGCAGGCTGGTTACTAAGCTCCAGCGCGCATAATGCCAAGACCAGAAGCCTACACAGCGCGCAGGCTGGTTACTAAGCTCCGGCGCGCGTAACACCAAGACTTTTCAAATGCACTAGACTATATTGGGCCTAGTATGATAACTTGCCCCGCTAAAGTTAGACGGCACCTTGGCATAACTTACATAGTAACGCAGGTTATAACACACACTAATTTACCCCCGTATAACCACTAGTTATATGCACGTTTGCGGGCTCTCTACCAAAAAATAAAAATAAACATAAAAGTAATCGCCAAAATTAAGGTACCGGAACCCCATTCCACGGACACGCCCAACGGACCTCACCAGAGGATGAAGAATCCCATTATTATGGGGAAGAGGGGGGAGACCTTATTCGCAGGACAAGTTACCAGGCTTCAACTACCCACCCTGAACCCTGGCCAACGCCCCCCCCTGGGCCCTGCCCTGCCCTATGCGGGCCCTCTCTCGACTCTGGATAGTGGAAATCTGCACCGGGGAGGGGCTTACCTGTTCAGCACAAAAATCCTGGGTCTGGGGAGGGTCAATTAATCATGGGTTGGTGGGTGCGGGCGGTTGATCTGCGGGTTTGGCATTTTCTCCAGACTGAGAAAGACGCGCCGCTAGCGGGACTAGTTAGTTAGTTGAGTTGGTAGTAGGAAGAGGAGGGAGCGCCAGGGATGATTATGGGATATTTTCTGCCGATGAAACCTGCTAACTTGGGCGGGAGAAGAGAGAAGATTGAAACGGGGAGCGCAAAACCGGGCACACGGCGTTTCATGTGCGGGTTCTTTTTCGAGAAGAAATAATAATGCAAAAAAAAAGAGGAATAAGGATTGGGCCCGGGCATCCCTCGTATTTAGTTAGTTAACTAGTTAGTTAGTTAGTTCTGGTTAAATTTAGTCCACGCTGGCTGTTGTTAATGATCATGATTCTTCTCGTGCCTCCCAGCCAACTCCCAAGAAGTTGACTGACTGCGAAACCCTAGCCACCGCCGCCGCCCGCATAAAGATCTCTCAGCGTCAATGCGAATGATATTAAGTCATCGCCGATCGCATCTCCTTGTCCGATAGCCTTTTTTTTTCCTGTCTTTTCTTTTGAAGCATGGTGACGGAGGCGGCTTGGGGTGTGAGCGATTTGGAACTTCCTGCGCCCTCTGGTTAGTTTAACTACAAGAACTCGGCATCTCCTCCGTAGCGAACTTAGGCCTCGGGCCAATTATTGGCGTTGGGCCGAGGGGAACGCCGCGATGAACACCAGTTAAGTTGTCGGGCTCCTCTGGCGAATGCGCGCCATACAAGAACACGCCAGAAAAAAATGCCACCATCGTCTCACAGAGAGTCCTTTTGAAGAGCGCTGGTGACCACTGGTGACCAGCTGGCGCGATTTTTGGCAGACGCGATGATTGATTGGGCGGGGGCGGGGCGCGCTGTTGGTTTCCGAGTGACACAGCTTCTGAAATAAATTCAAATAATAAAATAAATGAAAAAAAATCAAATCAAAATCAAATCACAAATCACAAGAGTAAAGGGTGAGTCCGCTCGTTACATGGTCCACTCCGCGCAGTCCAATTGCACGTTGAAGCGCAGGTGTGGCAAATGACGCCCGAGGCGGAGTCCCGTGCGGGCCTGCGGATCGTCAGCAATAATCATCATCATCAGCACGCTGAGATGCTACACTGCGCTCTCGCTGGTCTGTCGCAAGACCGCCGCGGCTGGGTGGGGATGCGAGGGTTGCGCGCGCAATCTCACCACAGCGACCCTGATCTGGCCAAGCTATAGTACTATAGTTTTAGAGCCCACTCTCCTGTAGTTAGTGGCCCGGAGATTGCAGCATTGCGATCAAGGCAAACTTCTGTCTGCACGCAACAGCCCAGCCCAGCGTCCAGCCTTGTCCGGCTAACTATCGGAAAACGGAGTGTTCCTCAGCACGCAGGTATGACACGGGGGTTGTCTGAACGCGAGGCCCGTTGTCTGCCGAAGCTTTCCCCAAAGGACGGCCCATTACAGGGCATAGCATGGATGGACATGAGGGCGAGCCGGGATCCGTCGTCAAGGAACTGGGAAGTTTCTCCATCCGAAAAAAAAAAAAATAAAAATAAAAAATAAAAAAAAGGAAGCACAGACAAAAAGACCAGAACAGGCAATGGACAGAGGCGGAGATCAGATTGTTTCGCCAGTGATATCAAGCCAGATGTTCACACGATCTCGGACCAGACAGCGTCCGGAGATTTCAGGATCTTTTGTTTTTCGCAGTGCATTGGCGCGTCCTGCGTGATGAACAGGCATCATGGGTTCTGAGACGGCCCTCTTCTCATGGGAAGATCCTGTCAACGGCACTCTTTATAGAGCGTCTACTATACAGAGGCTCCCCCGCCTGCATGCTTCTCCAGGGAGAGCAGAGGCCGATATATCTCCGTCGTATTCGACTCAGAACCCACAATAGCCTGCGCGGACTATGACCGCGAGACCAGACTTGATACCTCTGGCGGCGCAGAGCAACGAAGGGGCGTGGATGGCCCTCTTCTGAGGGCATGGCCGTGACAAAAATCCGCATCCAAACCGCATGGGCAACGCGCAACGCAATGCCCTGATGACGCACCGCTGCTGGATAGCCGGCAACGAGCCAGCCCACAAGGCCCTTCTTTTTTTCTCTCTCTCCCCCCTATTCACCCTGGCATATCTTCCCGCCTCATCTGGCCTTTTTCCGAGCGCCGCCAATGCGCTCCAGCTCCAGGCGGCCCTATCACCGCCCTCCTCTGAGCTCCCTACCCCCACCCCCGTCTGCTCGTTGAACCATGGCACCCGCCGGTCCTACCGGTGCGCTGGTCTTTGCGCGGCGCGCATCATTTGGCCCGTGGGATATCATTCCCTGGCAGGCTGGGTCCGAACGTGGCTCCGGGATACGAAAGAAGGCCGGACGCTGATTCAAGAGAGAGAAAGTCAAAAAGAAAAAGAGGACGGCTGGCACGGTCGCGATCCTGCCTGGGGAGGGGGGAGATTCTGAAACGCGAGGGCAGCTCGGATCGGTGGAACCACCGCCATCATCATCGTCGTCGTCGGCTGTGGCCAGGCGGAATGCTGGCGGATGGGTTCTGGATAGGCATCGGTCGTGTGGCCGGCGGGCAGCGCGTTGTGTGGAGATCGGAGCGGGCGCAAAGAGACCGGGGGGGTTGGAGCATGGGCGAGAGCTCTGTGATGCCGGGGCTTTTGCTTCTTCTGGCCTGTTGTTCCTTGTTGGCGCGGGCATGCCTGCATCGTGTTGTCGTTGTCGTTGTCGTCACCGCCGCCGGTCTGGTCTGGGGTTGAACTCTCCGCCGTCTCGAGCTCCCCCGCTGTAGTTAACTAGCATTACCAGCATCAACCTCTCGCCTCAACCGCACTGCGCTACCCGAAGACGACGAGAACAGATAGCACGCGAACCGCGATGTCATTCGCCCGCCCGCCGTGTATCAGGCGCTGATCCAGTGCGACCGCCCAGCCTCGCTCGCCAGCGTCGCTTCGCTCGTGCCACCGCGGGCTCAGCCAGGCTCGCCGCCTCTCGCGCTCTCTCGCCCGTTCGCTAGAGCGTGGTCGCTATCGCTATTGTCGTCGTCGTTGTCGTCGCCGCCGCCGCCGCCTGCTGGCGTTCCCGCGTCTCCCGCCGCTCGTCGTCGCCGTCGATCGTCGGGCTCGCTTTGGCCTCCCAATAGCCGGCGTCAATACCCGTTGGGCTGCTGGGATTCCCCTCCGTCTGTCTGTCTGTCTGTCTGCCTGTCTGTCCCGTCTATCGCCTGTTCTTCTCTGCCTCGCTCTCTCGCTCGCCCTGTTTGTGTCTGACCCGTCTGCTCTGCGCCTGCGGTCCTACCCCCGAGCCGTCCCCCGATCCTCCTCGCCCGCCATGCCGCGGGAGTCCAGCCTGCCCCCGAACCCGCCGCACCGCCCGCCCAGGATCCCCCGAACCACCACCCACAACCACAAGAACAAAAAGACCAGCACCAGCACCAGCAGCACCCGCCGGGCGCTAAGCCTTGGCTTGGCCCTGCGCCCAGAGTCGAGCCCAAGGGCGTGTACCTCTTCATCTGGGACACCGGCGCCAAGGGCAAGTTCCACTGGGGCCTGTTCGTCGCGCAGAGCGAGAGCTCGGGCGTGCTGTTCCACCAGCTGCCCATCGGCAAGTACTGGCAGCTGCTGAAGGCGCACGAGGACGTGCTGACCTCCGAGGGTCTGCTGGCCGGCCTCAAGGTCGGTGAGCTCGACGACATCGGCGCCGAGTGGCTCGCCGCCGTCGAGGTCTGCATCCGCGCCGCCACCGTCGACCCCCGCACCGGCCTGTCCTGCCGCTCCTGGGCCCTCGCCGCCCTCTACGAGCTCGCCAACGGCGGCTTCATCTGGCTCGACCCCGAGTGGCCTAAGATCCGCATCGTCGAGGAGGAGGCCCTGCGCCTGGCCCATGATGCCCTGGCTGTGGGCATGCAGATTATCTCGCAGAGCCAGTTGACTGGGCCTTAGCATGGAGCCCGGCGATTCAAGATATCGATCATTCTTTTTTTCTATCTATATTGGCTTCAGCAGTATAGACGGGCGGGTTATTGTCATCTTCATTCCATTGCATCTCCGCTTTGCAAAATATTTAAAGGTCTTTCTCGCTCGCAACCACCAACAAGATCCATATCTGATCAGGCATCTTCCAGTATATGCCACCAAGAACCTGAAAAAATGGGGGAGAAGTTGCTCTTTTTTCCGGCGCAAAAGGTTACTTGTCTACCTAATCAAGTTGTGGTTGTGACTCGGTCGACTTTCTTCGTCAAACTGTCTCCATACCAACTCCAACGAGACCGAAGGCAGAAACCTAGATGACTTCCCACCTCATACACCCGTACATGGGAGTACCCCCACAGGAATCTTGGGAGACTGTCGGTCATTGCTTGTGATTCATTGAAAACCGCTTCTCAATATTCTCCGCCCCATCGAGCCAAACTGCTTGAACACCTGTGCAACTATGCAGACAAAATGGACTTCATACAGGGCTTGCTGTCAGGGCCTCTCGCATCAGGGCCGCCGCATGTTGCGACTCTATCACTTTTTTCTTTTCTCCTTTGATCCCGGCGTTAGTGAGGAAATAGTGTATTATATGCCAACAGCACGAATGGGGCACTTATCTTTTCAGATACCTGCCAGATTCATTCTCCCCCTTTTCTCGGGTTTGCATTGAAAAACATTTTTCTTTCAGCAGTAATGGCCAGTTAATAAGTGTGTTGGGCTGCCTGGTGCTATCTATGCTTGGAAAGCGGGAGCCCAAAAGTTCGTTTTCCTTCTTATTTTTAGCAAGGCGTATGTTTTCGCTACTTAACGGCCTATTTCCCTTTTCTCCTTCACGAGGATCGAACTGCTTTTTTTCAGCCTTAATTCTGGCTGTAACAGCCACATAACCAGTGTTTCGAGTGATTTTTGGATAATAATAACCAATGTTAACGTCAAACAACCTGACTGATATCCATCATAAATTATTCGCATTTAGTCCTCTAACCCGTTCTCTTCAAAAACCAAACTACGATAGCATTTAAGGCCAGGCTGCGTTACGAGTTGCGTTGGTGATACACTTGTGGAAAGGAGACGGGGCTTTGATTAAAAAAAAAGTGGGGGGACAAGAAGCTGCACAGTAGAGAGCTTTAGAAAAACAAGAACAGATCCGTTATAGTCCAGACAAAAAATCAAGCCCCAGCCAAAGAAGAAACCCGGGAAAATGCAAAAAAAGAACAGAAAATAATATAATAAATACACTCCTGGTTGATGCTCGGATTGAAATGAAGTAGATGTAGAGAAGGTCGTGGTAGAAGATGGGGCGGTTACACTGCCATCAAAAAATGTCTTTGCACATCAAAAAAAGCTTGTAACAATCAAATCACGAAACCCCAGTTTTTGGAACTCCCTTTGATACGCCTTGGTGTAAGAAATTTTATAGCAAACAACGCATCATGACGGAGAATGAGATCAAGGGAACAAGGTCTAGAGTATTGGGCATAATGTGGATTCAGGTGAGAGGTGTGGTTTACTCCTCTGTTAAGACGGGTATTGGAGATGGTATGCTGTCGCCATGGACACCATTTTGAAGAGCATTTGGTTCTTGTTCCTCCTGTTGCTTGGCAGGGATGCAGGTTCCATTGGTAGAGTTAACATAGTCAAGTATGCCATGGACTAATTCAGGAGTATCATTTTCTGCTCCTCCTTCGGAAGCTGCAGTTTTCAAGTCGCTGACGGTTATCCCAAGACCCTTTTCTTTGACTTTATCGGCCTTGATAGGACTATTTGGGTCGTAACAGTTCATATCTTCAGGTTCACCCTGGATATGATTTCGCGTTGATTCGGGTCCCCCGTTGCTAATTTGCTGCTCTTCAAGTTCATCATCATTGTCAAGATCCGCCATACCGTTAATACCCTGGCTCTCGTTATCACCTTCTTCGTTATCATCGGCAGCACCATCAGCTTGTAGAGAAGTATCGAATAATTTGCTGCGACCTCTCCGGAGAATAGGAGACACGCAAAGCCCGGGAGTCGGGGTAGCCAACGATAAATTGTAGTTTTTTCTGGGCGTATTGCGGCCACTGGTTCGCGTGGGGGATGATGCAACTGGGGCGCGGGCTTTCTTGATGCTTCCAAAAGGACGTCCAGGGCGCCGTTTCGAGGACGTCCCTTGTACCGGTGGGAAAATTTCAAATCTTGTGGGTGGGATGCCAGCAGCAGGGTTCGAAGGTGCTGATGTAACCGATGGCGTACTGCAACTGTTGCTATGCTTCATCAACTGACCGCTAAATGACATGACGTCCATAGAAGGTGGCCCAGGTGGTTCAGACTGTGATGCGAAGTTTTGGCCGTTCATGGCCTCAAAGTCATGGTTCAGCGGCAGGCCATTGATTCCCAACAATCCGTTACTTGCTTCAAAAGTAGCTGGTATCGAATCTTCGTCCTCAATAGCTTCTTCGTGATCATCTCGGGGTGCAACAGCATGAAGTGGGGCGCGGTCATAATGTGACTGATTACTGCGACCCATCACATAAGGTGTCCATACCAGTGCGTCGGGATTTAGCCGAACGTAGCCCTTTCTCTCCCAATTCTGAATGACTTCCTCAAAATAATCATAGTTCAGGCGAAGAGCATAGGTCTTGGTAAGAGGATCTCGGACAAGTGCACGTAGTCCTTCCAGGCCAGACACAATGTCATCTGGTGTCATTCCTGTGCGCTCCGAGAGTTCAGCGATACTCGTCGGGTGTTTCTGATCACGAAGTTGATAGGATAAAACAAGATGCCAATAATTTCGATAGGAAACCAGACCCATATCCGAAAGCGGCTTTTCAGGTGAGCCGGCTTTGCGTTCTATTCGGGTTAAAAGGTACGAAAAGTCGATCAACAGGTTGCCATAGCCTTTGCGTTGGTGGATGGGAAGCGTTAAGATACATGAGACATTATTCGAGGAGCTTGGGCGTTTCTCCTTGCTGAAATAACCAACAAAATGAAACCCAAGCTCATCGTATTCAGTCATCACGTAAAATAGGAAAGGTTCAACATCATAATAGAGGGTTTTCGATCCCAGGAAGAGTTTCGCAAGTAAGCAAAGATTCTGACAATAAACCGGATTTTTCCGACCGTCGACTTCAAACACAGAAATCGTCCCTTCGCGATATATCTCATCACCAGGCGGATGTTTCACAGGACACTTGAGTTTATGCCTCCAGGCCACAAAATCGGAGTTCATGTACTTCAGGCAAAATTCACAAATGTAAAGAACCCTATTGCGACTATACTCTTCCGGATAAGGCGCAGCGTACCAGGTTTCGATTTCGTAGCCACCAAAACTAATACATTTCATTTTACTTGGAGGCCCAGAGAGTTTGTGGCTTGTTCTGGGCGAGCCTTCCGCATTTTGCTCGGCCAGAAGCATTTTTTGTTTCCATTCCTCTTCAGCTTTCTGTCGTGCTGCTTCAAATTTATCCCTCTCACCTTGTAGAGGTAATGTTCGGGAGGTATCAGCATCGGTATCGGCCAATATTCCGCCATAGGGCTTTGAATTAACTTCATGATCCTCGCGTTCATGGAATGAATAGAATGGAGCTGTATACGGTGTTGAAAGTATGGGTGGAAATTGCGGAGGAGGAGGTTGTTCGGGGGGTGGAGGAGGTTTTGGAGGTCTTCTTCTCTGGTTCTTCGGGCGCGGTCTACTTTTAAGTATGTTTGACAACTTTTCCCCGTCGAGATGAAAAGAGACGATCAATCTTCCGTGTTGTCTCAGGACAACGCTACAAATACCATTCTCGGATTTTCTCGCTCTCCGTCTTGATGAACGGGCTGAAGGGTTTGAGGGGTCGCCTTCTTGATCAACAGCATCTTCATTAACCTGCGACGCATCTATTAGATCATCTGTTGGTCGGCGGCGCCTCTTTCTAGTGAGAGGACGATGATTATCTACTTCATCAATAGAGGCCTTCCTCTTTCGGAGAGATCGAGTGCCATCGAGGGGGTCATCATCAAGAATTGGGTTTTCAAATATAGAATGAGAATTAGGTCCGAGACTGCCGCTGTGAGCAGGAAGTAACTCTTTTGCAATGTTCGATGTAATAGATCTTCTCGAGGACTCCTGCTGCTCCTCAGGGTCGGCTTCGAGCTTGTTCTGGACACAGGGTGGACATCGCCAGTTATTTGTGTCTATTAAATGTTAGGGATTTACCTCAAAAGGCTAAACTGAAAATTAAAAAGAAAAATGAAAGGCCCGAAATTTACCCTCAGTGTCATTGAAACATTCATGTTCGCGGGCACATTGCCGATGACCTGTGACGCGTTTAGGTAAGCTGATCGTAATGACATGCCAAGCCAATTTGGTAGAACTTACAATGATCTCCACAGACAGAACACACCAGGGGTTCTTCAAACTCCTCGCAGGGATCGTGTTCTTCATCCTGCCCACAGACACTGGGGATAGCTTTAGTAATGTGAGATATTTGGCTGTGTGAAGACCACACTTACATGCAGTTGTTTTTATTTAGTTCTTCAACGTTAACAGAATCCCTGTCACTTTCGACCTCCCAATCTTCATCGGCTTCTGAAGAATCCTCGTCGGAGGACTGGTTTATGGCGCCATCTTTTATACTCTCGCTGGCTTCATTTGTAAAACTCGCGTCGGCATCACCTGCGTCGCTTTCCGACTTATAGTCAACAGGGAGACAGTTTACTGCGGCTGCACGCACTTCTTCGTAATGCTTGACAACATCGGAAACCTTCAACGCGCCAGTTTTTTCGGTTTTCTGATCGGATGCTTCCGTTCCGTTTTGTTGTTCCGGCACGCTAACATCCCCATCTGCTTCATCCGCTGGGTGCGGATACTGGCATTCCGTGAAAGTCGCAGACCCAGAAAACGTAGGATACAAATCCACATCTTCTTCTCCCTCCGCATCCTGCTCGCTATCAGCCATATTCTCATCCTCTGCCATAGCTGTCTTATCGTATTCGGCCAGCATGGTTGCTGCCATGGTGCAAGCTACCACTGTCTCCAAGCTGGGTAACTTTCAGCATCGGGTTCAGGCAGATCCTAAGCTATAGCTCTTGGTACGGTCGCCTTGGTCCTCTGCTCTATACTGGGGACGATCCGCGCACAGAAAGCTTATTCGCAGCAGTATCGGAGTGGTAAGGTGGTGTCAAGATGGGCGGCTGTCTGGGGGCTCTTCGACAATTCCCTAAAATCGCAACTACTTCTTTGTATCAGATGTAGACGAGTTACTGAAGAGGCAAGAAGTCAGTAAAGCTTGGTCTTGAATCGCGGGATCTCGCGTCACCAGCACAGCAAGGGCGTAAATCATAACCTGCGAGGATAAAGTGGCCACACTCACCACTGCACTCGATATTACGCGTAGAACGCTCCAAACAAGACATTTGATGTGCTGATTCACGTCGATAATGCCCGTACATCCGCCCCCCTTCGCTTCAGGTGAGGTTCCTTGCCATATGCGAATTTGGCTGACTGATCATGTGCCAAGGCCCCAATTATTACACCAGTCCGCATTAGGGTTAGCTAATTTCTCGGTCGACTTTCGCGCGGAAGCCAATCAACTCCATTTCAAATCAATTGCGACGTTCATTGACAACTCGCGAAACAAGCCAACTGAAGATTCAGAATGGGTGTACCGTTTGAGGCCTTACTCCCTTATGGGATTATTGTTGGCGTATGTGTCCAATAATTCATACTCGAAACTACGTTCCTACAACTAACAATACATTAGTTATTCGGAGTCACTGGTATTGGCATGACTCTCATGGGGCGTCTCCAGAATCATGGGAAAAGGCCAAGACGCGGTATTGATACTTGGGATAGAGTAAGTCTGAGAGATTTGCAAATAGTTTCTTTCCAGCCAGTTTAACTAATTCGTAAATAGCAAAGTAGGTGCCTTCGATTCGAACTACCCGGACCTCTTTCGGCTGACACACCAACAGTGATGGAGCGGGACTTACGGCTCACCGGTTCATTACGAGGGCAATCGGATACACCTATTGCACCTCCTGGATTTGCTTTGAATAGTCCATGGAAGGTACGCAAATCACCCACGGATATCAAATCTGCGAAGGCGGAAATCAAAAACTAAATTCATCTATAACACTAGCTGGAAAAAAGAATATTCTAGATCTATTGACATGGTTTATGATATACCATATGTCTCGATATCACAGCCAATGCCGAGCCGCCTCGAAATCAAGACCCTTTTGGTTTAAAACGGTGCTGGGGTCATCTCCTTCAACTCCGTGATTTTCCCATGAATACCACGAATTTCTAGCGGTTGCAGGTGTATATTAAAGAAAGTACGCAGGGCGTTAACTCTCTCGCCCTCATTTTTCAAAGTTTGAAGAATTTCCAGGTTGCCGTTTAAGTTCCGCTTGACTGTGGCCTTGACAATGCATAAATTTCCCACAATATCATCCTTTTCCTCGTTTAAGATAAATGCAGCGCAAATAAATGATTTTGTGAATACACTTCTGGAGTTCTGGCTTGTTGCGTAATTCATTACCTCGTAATCACCGGGGAGGAATTCTACTTCATAGAAACAATATAATGACTCCCACTTCGCGTGAGCGTCGGTCCGTGTTTGGAATATCCAAGGTTTCTGCTCCGCGTCGGTGTTGGCGGAAATGTTTTCCTGCACCATTCTTGATTCCGCAGGGGCTATCTTCTTGCAGGAAGCACCATGCCTTAGAAGCAGCGGTTGAGTTGAGCCACCAGGACCGAACCCAACATCGACTACGTACTTCTCATTTTCAATTTTTACAATGAGTATCATATGGCCCCTAACCGAGGATCAGTACCATACTCCAGATTAGATTTGTAATTAAGGACAGCCTCACCATCCATGATAGTCCCCTGTATCCACCCCCTGCTCAAACGACTTGTTAACCCGAGCTGCACTTGTATAGAAATTGAATCCTAAGGTTCTCAAGACAATGGCAAGCAAGCCGGTGGTCTCTACACAATAGCCTCCCAGACCTCTTTCAACAATTTTATGAAATAACACATCCGGGTCCAGGGAGATTGTATGATGTGATGAATAATGCAGCACCAAATTGCTAAATGGTATTGCGGCCAAGTGATGCTGTTTCAGCTGAGTTAAGGCATGGAGAGGATTGGTCTGCATCAGCTCTCGGAGCTGTTGAAGGTGTAGCTCCCCTTGCTGTGGCTCACATTGGTAGATATGCTCAATGTATTTTTGGAGCTGATCTGGCGATAACGTAGGGCGAGAAGAAGCTAGGGTCGACGTTTCTCCCATGTTGGGTAGGAAAATTAAAGCAGTTAAAAAGGGAGAAGGGTTTAACTATCAGCAATGACCTAGCTAACACCAGCGTCCAACCAAGTCTGCCAGGAATGAATCACACATCGTTTCCGGGGTGTTTTAAATCTTTATATAGTTCGTCCCGTTAGCTAGTTCACTGGGTCCATCACTTAGTTAACTAGTTCATAAACATGCTGCCGGTATTAATAATAGAACACCGCGACAAGAGGATTGAGTCATTGACCATGAAAAAGAGACGAGCCCTACCCATCGCGGCCATGGGCCAGACAGGCACCCATGACAAAGCCAGCCGTCGGGTAGCCCCAACTCGGCCACCAACGGCCTTGGGTATGCTTTGTTCCTCGAGGAACAGGCCTATCAACCTGGGCAGCGGAGGTGGGGTTGCGTGGCGGCCTGCTTCAGTTGAGAATAAAGTTCCTAAGCGTCGTCGAGCACACCCAAAAGCAAAGGTTGACGGCGGCGATGCCCATGTCGAGTGGCTTGCAGGACGCACTGTGGCAAGCGTGCTTTCAACATGGCCGGGCTCACGGAGGACAAGGCTAGAGCTTTACGCAATTTCTCTGCTTGCGATGTGTGTACAATCCACGTTGAATTAATTGGTATCCCGAGTTTCCTGGAAACTAACCCTTCTCAACAGGTGTCTGACGCTCTTCTCAAATTGCAGGATGTGCCCAGTGGTACCACTGCGACTGCGGGCTTTTTAGCTGACTTGGGTGAGAAATGTCGCACTGTCCTTCTGGCATTCGTAATGCAGATATCCTCGTTCTTTCATGAAGATCACTCATTAATGAATGTGCCAATTTGCGCCATAAACAAAATACAGCTCATTACGCTCCAGCAGGGAATGCCGTGGACATTGTGGTCGCGCCGATTTCTACTGTCCAGTTCATCCCAAAGGGAGAATCTCTGCCCCCAATCGCACAAGAGAACCCCGACCTGCATGGCTTTCCCACGGCCACGCATTGGGTGGATCTTACGCAACCTGGTACGGTTGTTCTTGTCGATCAGCCTGACGGGCAAAAATGCGCCGTCCTTGGTGGGATTATGGCCTCAAGGATGAGTGCTATCGGCGCCAAAGGCGTGATAGTAAATGGCCGAGTAAGAGACCTTAATGAGCTCAGAAACAGTGGCCTTTCAGTATGCATATGCCCTTCTATTCTCACCTCTCTTGTTTTGGAATACGACGTACTGTCAGCTTGCCACGGATTCTGATGAGCGCCGTGCATAGATCTGGGCACGCGGTCAATCCACAGTTGGTGCGGGCGCCGAAGCCAAACCAGGTGCGAGAAACATCCCGATTCGCGTAGGTGGTGTCACAGTATTTCCGGTATGGTTACACTGTGCTATTCCTTTCTTATTCTGGCCTCGTGGTTGATGTTTTGATGTTGTAGAACGACATTGCATTTTGCGACCCAGTCGAGGGAGTTGTTGTGATTCCGAATGGTTTGCTGGATAGCGTTCTGGAATTGATGCCACGACTTACCGAGGCAGATGACCGTGTGCGGGGTGATATAGAAAACGGCTCAACAGTATTTGATGCATTTAAGAAGCACCGTTTATAGATAGATCACATCTGAAAGAGTCCGTATTGCATGAAACCAGCTAGTGTTGTACGATCGTGAACATTTATTGTTAAAGGAAGAATAATATACAAGCTCCATTTTTTCGGAGAATAGAACCTTGCAAACAGGATATATCCGACGCAAATAGCTTAGAACAAAATCAGAAAGCACAAGTCATCAAATCATGATTTTACTCGGCGACCCAAACAGCAGCCATACCCATACCGGTTCCAATGCACATGCTGGTGACACCAATTTTCTTGCCTGTCCTGTTCAACTCAGTCAACAAGGTGCTGACCTGTCTGGATCCAGTGCATCCGAGGGGGTGACCAAAAGCGATGGCGCCACCCTTGGGATTAATCTTCTCCATTGGCAGCTTAAGCTCTTTCGCGCACCACAAGCATTGAGATGCGAACGCCTCGTTGATTTCGTAAATATCAACATCATCCTTGCTAATGCCAGCCTTCTCCAGGGCAACAGGGATAGCCTTCCATGGGCCCATACCCATGAGAAGTGGCTTGACACCGACAACGCTGGCGGTGACATACTTGCCAATGATCTTCTGTCCCAGTCGCTCGGCGGTGGAGCGCTTCATGAGAAGAACGGCAGCAGCACCGTCGGAAATCTGAGATGAGTTTCCGGCGTGAATGGAGCCGTCTTGAGCGAAAGCAGGCTTAATTTTGGCCAGAGACTCAGCGGTCATACCGGCTCTAACGCCATCATCCCGGTCCACGACGACGGTCTTCTCCTCGCTGGTCTTAGGGTCGGTAAATTTGACAGTGAGAGGGACAATTTCGTCCTTGTAGAGGCCTTCCTTTTGAGCACGCTCAGCCTTTTGATAAGAAGAGGCGGCGAAAACGTCCTGGTCGGCACGGCTGACTTTGAGGTCCTTTGCCATATCCTCAGACAAGATACCCATAGGAACTTTGCAGTTGGCGGACTCGGGGTGGCTCTCCAGAAGCTCCGAGAATTCGCTGACAGCACCAGGTCTATTTACACAATCAGCATGTGACCTGAAAGCATATACGCCCAATTTTAGCCACTTACCCGTACTGAGAGGACATGCTCTCGACACCTGCACCAATGCCAACATCAATGACGCCTGCCTTCAAGGCATTTGCAATATCAACAATAGCTTGTAATCCACTGGAGCACTGTCTGTTCAAGGCCTTGACTGCTGTGGTTTCAGGGAATCCGGCGACCAAAGCAGCGGCACGAAACTCAGTGGCACCACCGCCAGGGGCCAATACTGTTCCAACAGCAATATCCTCTACAAGCGATGGATCAATCTTAGATTTATCAATAACAGCCTTGAAGATACCGGCCAGAAGATCCGAGGAGGCGGTGTCCTTGAAGCCACCGCGACCACCCTTGGTGAAGGCAGTTCGGAGAGCACATGTTACGACAATGTCATCGGGATTCTTAGCAGTGAGCGCAGAGACCCCTCCTTTGGGGGATGTGATGTGCGAGGCGACTTGAGAGAGACGTTGTGCTGCTGCAAAAGGGATCACATGTTAGCAAACGGGTTCCAAATGGTACGACATAGATGTGAAAGCTTACCTTGAGACATAATGGAGGTGATAATTGTAAAGATAGATTTGTGGAAGGCTCTTGAAAGGGAATGGAAGTATAGATTCCAGCGAGAATAGAACAAAGAAGAGATGAAAGTGTGCGAAGGGAGGAAACTGGTGCTCGGGTATCCAGTACTCGTTATAAAGGATCCGCTGACAAGAGCTGGTACGCAGCCACCCCGAGGGTACCGAGGCTGACGGAGATTCGTTGATCCGAGCCAGCACTCACGTGTGCCGAAGCTTAAATCGACATCAGAGCATGTGAAAGCCAGTGTTGCCAACTCTAAAGGCCGAAGCTCCCATTGCATCCCGACACATGAGCGAATTGCTATGACAGTGGCATATGGCACATCTCAGCTTATCATGCCCTTCGCTTCTCAAATGCTTGGTCAAACGAATATATCGGTGTAGAACAATTTGAAACCTAAAGAAATCCCGATGCGGAGAACTCCGTACATTATATCAGGGTCTTCTCACATGGGGGCCGAGCTATTGTATGGGGGGATGAACTACGGAGTTTTAGCCCCGCAAAGTATAGATTTTTCATTTTCAAGACTATGTGGCATGGCACGAATACAAGAACATTGGCTTCGTTTCTTTCCTCCCCCGACAACGTTTTTACAGCTTGTGATGGGCTTCTCGCCCAACAAAATACGGCTCTTGAAGCATTCGGCGCGCGTCCAGCTCCATAGATCATTGCCTATGGGGTTGGAAGTAAGACTAGTATGGAGCATAATGATATCGCTACATCTTAAATGTATAGTCTCTTTGCAGAATCAGTGATGATATGGTTGCTTGGGCTGTTTGATGTGAGTTCCTAAGGAAAATTCTACTTTTCGTCGGTCTCGTATCAAATTGTGTTTTAGTTAATCGCGTATTTCATTTCATAGTTCCAATGCCAAATAGAATGTCACTTTGTGGGCTGGTAGCTGTAGAGATATTGATTGAAAAATGGGTGCAACAAAACAGTATCTGATATTTTCCCAGCAGTGAAAGAGAGTTGAAAACACAATAAACCCATCGCTCAGGGGCTTCATCATAGGGGTCCTGATTGGCAAGTCCTGGAATACATGAAGCTATGTATCATGGACTATCTTGTTAGAATTCCTTTATTTCATAATTTTGGACCTGGAAGGCATTCTGAAGACAGCTCTTTACACCGCAATTTCTGCCTTGAAGAAATTAGTTGTTTTGTGAGTTCATAACTCACAGTGTATTAAGCAAATAACTAACGTGCCAAATATTTGGTATCTCTGATAGAAAACAATATATAGTATACAAGGTCGCTTATTAACCTCATATCTTTAAATCAGACAAAAGAATGGACATGGATAACGAGCACTCGGCAGACGGAAACGCGAGCGAACATCTGGGTCTTGGCGTTCTGGCCAATCAGATCCCCGACGGCACAACACGGGAAATTTTGCCAGTTTGTTGCCTGTTGCGGAGACAGTGCCCCCAGCTCCGCTTAACAGTACTTTTGAAAAGAGCATCGAGATTTAACAGCAGCTGCATATCCTGTAATAATGGCCTGCAGGATTGCAGCTTGCTGGCGGCTGCGCGCTCCGGCATTTTCTCGCTCAGTCGACAATATCTGTCCGGTGATTCAACCCCATATTCCTTGATTCCATGCGTATAAGGTCTTGAACTTCGAAAATCTAACTCAACTAGAAAACTACTTCATATCATTCCGCTCTTCTCCGTCGCCATCAGCCCACTGCCTCTCCTCTCCACCCTCATGCGCCCTCTACCCTATCTCACCGCTCGACTCACACCTCCCAAATATACCCGATCACGCCCTTCAATTCCTTCCCAAGAACCCACTTCAGCACCTCATCGCATCTTTCCGAAAACCCCAATGATGTCTACACGAACCCATATAAGGCGAAGCGCATATGGCCACCAGATGTGTCCAAGTTATCCCCGAAGCAACAATTCCGACTGGAGCGCAAATATCGGCGGCGTGCGAAGTTAAAATGGGCGAGACCATCGTGGAAGAAGTGGACGACTCTGATCCAGTGGGGCCTAATTGGATGTATGTTCCTCTAACTTTCATTCCCGGAATTTTGTGGATTACGCATTGAATCGAGACTGCGCGGCAGTTCTTTTTTAAAGAGCAATTGAGTGGCATGTGTGCTGACGATGTGGATTCTCTAGTTGTCCTGATATACGCAGTATTTTTTATGGAGTTAAAAGAAGGCGGAGAGAATCCATTCCAAGGGGTATGTTTTCCATTTGGTTCACCCAATTGGGCATTGTTTACTGATATAATTTATTCCCTTAGTTACGGACATACGTCCGAAATATCTTTAATGAGTCATTTTGGTCGAATCCGCGAGGTGCTTTACGGCGTGGCTCCAATGCTGATATACCAGAAAAGACAAGTGACGAGAAACAAGTATGATGGGATGACGCCGCATATACCCTGTTAAAAGGCGCACTACTCGTGTCTTCATGTACAATATTTATTTCAGTTGCGAGTGTGCTTTTTGGAAAAGGCCCGTGGCGTTAGCCTTGAAACATCTACTGAAGGCCTGTAGATTATATACTACATGGTTATATGATCTTCAATGCATACAAATGGAACCGTGTATATGGAAGCCACACTGAATCTTGAGCAATTTATTATTGTTAAAATGCCTAGTAGGCCATGTAGTTTGGAACCAGCCCCACAAAGAGCTGTGGGCATTCAACCAGAGAGGACATGTGGTATCATCAAACGGCCGTAACATTCTCAAATTATTGATTTTCATTTTGCAGGCCTCGGCATTCTTGGCTGCTAGCGTTTTTGAAGCTCAAGCAACATTAGAAACTGAAAGGTCAAATAACACTTTCCTGCATGAATCAGGGGTATGCCGGCAAAAATTGAAACGAATACCGCGACCGATTCGTTGAAAATTGCGGGGGAATCGCGGGTTCCCTTCTCAGTATCATCGTCTATAAGAGACAAAACAGAAATGACAAAGCATATTCGTTATATTTCTTGCAACGCTATTCTACACTCCTGAAAGGCTCAAAGCTCTCACGGCCGAGCTCCGGAGCTCTGGCTACTCCGTGACTACGATACGAGGTCCCCAGAAAAAAAGCAGACAACCAATTCTTCGCCAAGTAACCAACCAGCCATCCTCTGAAAACGCGCCTCATTAACTATCATTTTGCATCGCCGGCAGCAACCGTTCTAAATGCAGCCAATCGTTTACTGATTAAATCCAGTGGCTCGTCAGTATCGAGTTCTCGTAGTTTGCCGCTGCCAACATCGTAGATAAGCCCATGGAGCTTGAGCCCGCGCTCTTGAATCGCATCCATGACGGCACTGTTCTCCTTGAGCACTCGCAAGCCATGATGAACGTTGATCTCAGCCAATTTGACAGCCGCCTCGGCCGCATCCAGATGTTTGAACTCATCAAGGTTTTGCTCACGGATCCGGCGGAGGGGCATCAGCCACGTGTCGATGAGACCTAGCTTCGTGTTGGACAGCGCCGCGGCGACACCACCGCAGGACGTGTGGCCGCAGATGATAATGTGCTTGACTTTGAGATAGATGACTGCGTAGTCGATTACGCTGGCGCAGCTGAGGTCGTTGTGTTGGATGACGTTGGCGATGTTGCGGTGGACGAAGACGTCCCCGGGCTGGAGGCCGAGGACGGTGGTCTCAGGGCAACGCGAATCGGCGCAGCCGATCCAGAGAATCTCAGGGTGCTGTCCTGATGCCAGCTTAGGGAAGAGGAGGGGATGCTCCTCGCCCGTCTTTGAGGCCCATTCACTGTTTCTGACCAGGGCCTTTTGGAATGCGTCTGGGGAGCACGTTGTGGTTAGTCATGATATATTGGCGATACAAGTCAAAAGCCAACAACGTACCCGGCGCATTGACTTGGACCTTAGGGGTGGCCATCCTCTCTATATTTTTGAAATAGTCCTTTTCGGTTTTATTATTATTGAGGGGGGTGGAGGTCGACATAGGGCTGGTTCCTCGGCGGGGACGAAGTGACTTATATGTATTCTTTGCAGCTGCGACGTTGCGTCGAAGTCTAGAGAGCGGTGATAGACCGTTAGAACTAGGGCTCTCTTTGGAAAGGCGGACGGCCCCAAGCACCACCTCTCCCGGGTTTCACAGCAGCCACGCGTTAGACAGGCAAAAAGAGACTTCGCCGAGACCACGTTGAGGCGTGGGTCCCCGCCTGGACGAGTCGATGTCTCTATCAAGCACAAGGGACAGGAGAACAAGATTCCCTTGCCGAGCACTAGAAGCGGCAGACAAGGCTGGGCAAAAGACAGGTATATAAAGCCGTAACGCTAGCCTCTGGGTCTCACGCAGCTCTGGAGTCTAATGGAGACGAACACGGGGGCTGGTATAAAAAGAAAAGGCGGGGAGAGAGGCAGGAGAAGCGGGCGCATTTACGGGATGCCGCAGACGGGGTGACGCCGGGATGAAACGGCGGGGGGCAACGGAACCAGAGGTTGGACTTACAGGAAGGTCATTTATTGACCAGGGGCGGAGAAGAGCGGTTCCTGAGGTACACGCAGCAGCAGCAGGAGGAGGTGGTGTGGAGGGAAGATGGAGGGGAGGGAAAAGGTTAAATTGGGGGAGGGGGCTGCAGAGAGAAGCGAGGCGGTGATGCAGCGGTGGAGGAGATTGCGCAGGCCGTGGGAGGTCAGGGATGGGCGGGCGGTGGTTTGCGCGCCGCAAGAATTATGATTATTATATAGGTTTCAACATACTGTGAGGGCGAAGCTGCAGTTCGGCATGGGCGGGCTTGGGACGTAGCTGGGCGGCAGCCGAGAAAAAGCGCGCCCAACAAGAAATGCTTAAGCCGCGAGTTACCAGCCAGCGGCGCCCAGGCCGATCTGGGTGGCTATCCATCGTTTCTCTCCACCCACCTACGCCCGCTCCACTGATGAGGCGCTTTTGTTGAGAATGGCATGCTCGTCGGCGGGCGGGCCCGATCCTCCAGCACCAACAGGTCCTCATCGCTATCTATCACTCCTTGACCACTACTACGGAGTACACACTACTACAGTCCTGACTACGACCACCAGCTCCGTTTCAGCCAAGTGATACGCATATCTACCGCCTCGCTTCCCCCCTCTGTCTCCCCACGTCCCTCGGTCTGCCTGACCGCAACATGCATCAACCCTGGCCCCCCTTGATCGAAACAAAAGCCGCGCCGGGAGGCAAAAAGGATAACAGCGCTCGAGATAGACTTTTTTAAGGTTGCTTTTCCCAGGCCAAGGCGCTTTCAACACGCACTAGCCAGCGGTGTGTCTGTGCTTTTGTCCATCGGGATCGCGCTGCCGGGGGGCGAGAGAGGCTCTCCGACGGAAAAAGAGAACGTCTGACGAGCCGAACGCCGCCCATAGCAGAGAAATGGGGTCCTCTAGTCTGGATACCAACACCGCATATCGATCACTTTTCGTCGCCCGTGCCATACACGCTGGTAGCTGCGGCAGGCCAAAACGACCAATGACGTAACAACCGAACGAATGTCTTGGCGCATGATTGCTTATCTAACCTCGCACAATCCTTTTCCCACTCCGAACCTCCCAATCGGGTCGCGCGAACGGCTCATGCCGTTCCGAATACTCCGTACAAGCTGCGAACTGAGCATATTATGATCCAAGCGGAGATGCTCGCTAGTCACGATGTCATAGAGCAGCCATGGGCCTCGCTTCGCCTACGGTCGCCTCGAGTTGGCTGAACGGTACTGGTTGCCTTGCGTGTGTGTGGGGGAGTAGTGGGCAGCTTCAAAAAGCCACCCTCGCCACTGTCAAAAATCAATCGATCTAAATACATACTCACATGAGCAAGCCTCAGCTAGCCCTAGTTCTTGGCTCTGCCTCAAGGACTCCTGTTTGACTCGGGAGCTGTTTTGCCAGGCACCATCACCCGTCCAGAACATCGTATAACTACACCAAACACGTTTGGAAGCTTATGTCGGATAATGTCAACATTCCCCCTCCCCCTTAACGAAGAAAATGAAACTACCGACAGGAACAGCCGCCACCATAAGGTTTTCAATGCTTGCGAAGGTTTCTGCCGGAATTGGTCAATGGTCAAAGAGTCTGATCACCCGGAAATGGTACCTTGTATGTATGTGCATCCATATCTAGTGGGGAAGGGGGAAACAAACATGCCAGAAATCCGCTATATGCGTCAACCTGGTAGGTGCATGATCCCGCTATTGGTCTGCTGTGAGAAATCCTTCGCAGTAGGAGTTGCATACTAAAAGAAAATACCCCCCTCGGCCATGTCGCGAGCGCTGGAAAGCGAGTCTCTCCACAGGTACCTCCGTACCTCCGGCTTGGTCAGGAGATGGGAGACGTGAACTCTGCAAATTTACTTCGTATAATTTTGACTTTTGCGGGGACGCCCGCAAGGATCATTTAACTTAGCGTCGACGATAACTAACAACGGGCGGCAGTCGATCTGAGATCCTTCTGATGCAATGATCGTGTGAGATGGAGAGTTTTATTTCCATATTTACTGCCTCTTTCTCTCTAGAGGCTAAATAGTAAAATAGGGCGCGTATATACAATACCAATAAGAGAGTTTTTGGGTTACGGAGAGCACCTCGAGCTGTTAATGCACCAACACGGGAAGTGCAAAAAGCAAAATACAGTTCGTCCAACTGGAGTATCCTAGCTAATAGGATAGATTTCAAATTTGCTCTAGCGAGCCACTCTTCCTCCTCCGCGTACCGACAGATTTAATTAAAGAGGCGAGCCTGCGCCATCGTTGTCTCCTCACTGATTCTGAAGCTCGTTGCGAGCCGCCAGGAGCACCGTTCGGTGGCCATTCTGCATCGACACCACCGTTCTGTCGCCCTGTAGACAGCGGCGCGTTTCGAATTGTGGAGGTCTGGCCTCGCCTGGGCATTGAAGCACGATGGCTAGAGGTATCAGACGGAGCTGGACTCTTACGCCCTATGCAAAGAAGACAGCGTCGCTGACGACGATGGTGACGACGCTTAGAGGCTTTTCCTGTGTCGACTTTTTCAGGCGCAGCTTCGCCGGAACCATTCCCTGTCACCTGCTCCCACGATTCAGGTGCATAGGAAGACTGCCCGTTTTGGGGCTCCAACCTCGCCCCGTGTGCTTGGTACGATAGGGGCCGGAGACCCCGTTGCAAGGCACCTTGTACAGGTGAGCTGCTTCCACTGCTGTTTCCGTCGAACTGGGATACACGCAGTCGTTGCTGAGTCGACGGTGTGTTTGTGGTGAGAGATCGATTCATGGTCTGTTTTACTTCTGAAGGGGGGGAGTGTGTAGACCACCCTTCTCGCAGAGCAACCCATATTCCTGTTACCACAATAATGTTCCGCAGCTGATCATCAGTTTCTACCGTATTGTAGTCCGGTAGTGTGCTTGCCGGTACGTCGCCTGGAGCGCTGAAAGCGGGTGACACCACGCTTGCTGAACGGCTATGCATCGACACAGACGTTGGGGAGTACCTGTCCAGCACATCAATGCCGTTTTTTGTCATCCAAGCAATAATTGGATGTCGACGACTTGTTGGATCGATTACGCTAAACGTGAATCGTTTACTGTGCTGTTCTGAACCAGAAATTGAGCCAATAGAGTCGCGGTTTTCCTTGCCGCGTAGCACCCAGCGAACGGATTTCCGTAACCCATTTTCGTCCGTGTGTGCAAATTCATATGCGTTGCGAGAATGGGATGTCACCTCCCAGATTCCTTCTTGACCAACGCACACGTCAACCACGCCATTTACTACAGATTCTTCCTTTCTAGGTTGCCTTAAAACTGCCACCAAATCCTTTTGTACGTCAATTGACGTTTTTTCCTTCTCGCCTTCCTCTGCCAATGGCCCATATGCATCACTATGAATGACAACTAGGTCGTTTGGGCCGATGCGCTCATTTCCACGGCATGGGTTAGATACTTTTCTCGAGGATCGAATGCCAAAGGAAGACGACGGAATTACGTCTAAGGCAGAAATAGGGCGTGATGATTTTGATACGTGCTGTACTTGAAGCAGCAGGCGTGGTTTAATTCTCAACCGTTTATGGGCTGATGGTGGTGGGTGTGCAAATCGAAATGAGGTTTTAGAGCGGGGACATCTCCGGCTGGGGCTTATGGGAGTGTCGCAGGACGCCTTTCGGAGGCTACCTAGCTGCACATCGTCCAGAGTACGTTGTTCCTCGAACGAGTCTCTGGAGCTAGACAGTTGGCTTGAGACGGGAGATGCGACTCCCGCCTCAGGCGTTGGCTCTTCCGCGGATTCACTGCTCGGAGAGGAGACTACAGTACGCCTGCTCGACGACATAAATCCAAGAGATAATAGAGAGTTGGAAACCCGGGTAAGGGTAGGAGTAGTGGCCCGTTCACCCTGGTGCTTGGAGAATTCGTGTCTATGTGTGGCTGCAGCGTCAGCGGTGAAACCTAGATTGACCAACATGACGGCAGGAAAGCAAGTTCAGCACCGGTAGGTAGACCACAGTACTATCACTCAAGCAATCCTAATGCAAGATTTCGTGGGTATACACTCTTCTCAGCGGCGCTGCCGCCGAGAATGCCCGATTGCAAAATATGGTGCCGGTCTTTTTTAAATTCGAACGTATTACGCCGGCTGGCTGTGCCCATCCGATTCTGTGAAGAGCACAATGCCGTGGCTTGCGGCGCATAGCTCGCGCCGTTGGGGTGGCCTTGAGCCTGCGTTTCAGTCAGTCTGGTATGAAAGTAAGAGTCAGATAGGACACCCAGCAGCAAGAGAAGCACTCAAGAGGGGGGACGGGAAAGATGGTAAGCATACGTTGACGACTGGCCGATCACTGTCAGCAGTTGGGTTGGCAGCGGAATCAATGGAGCGGTCGGACGGCCATATATGTGAGCGAGGAGTGGTAGAGAGGTATTTTGTTTGTTACACGGCGGCAAAGCTCTTGGAGAGAGTCTGTCACAGACACAATGGTTACACGGAGATTCTTCGGATTGGCATATATTGAGGGGATGTGTTGAAAGAGTGGCGAAGAAGGCGTAGACAGTAAACCGACGCAGGGAGCCAGGATGTGGGCGTCAGCTATTCTTATATAGTTATACTGTAGGTTCGATGAAAACGGTGATCAAACGAATAGCGACTGGGGGGCAAGATGTTTTTTGGGTCAATGAAGCAAGCTTGAAAGACCAGCAGGCAGCCGGTTTAGCGTTTGGATGACGGAGACGAGGAAAGAGAGCCAGAGACAAGAACGGCCAGTCTCTGAGGCTACTGCTTGGCCGGTACGGAGTGACAATGGGTCGTTAGGCGAGGGTTGGGACCAGAGTTTGGGGATTAATGATCGCACTGGCCGGTGGCCGTGAGGGCTGGTGGAGAGTTCCATCGCGGAAAAGTCTCTCGCGGTGTGCACCTGCATAACCTGCGGCTCCGGCAGGCCTCCCAGCGACAACGAGAGTAAGGAACATAGCTACTAAACTACTCCGTACCAGCACGACTCCTCTCATAACGCACTCGTATTCGCATGCGCCATTATTCGTCGTCTGTCTCGAGAATCAATATTAGTATTGCTCCGCCATCCGAAGCTTGGGCTCGACCCGCCAGTCTTCTGCGCTTCAGCAGTAAGGCTGACCAGTGTGGTGCTGATGTCAACCAATCGACTGAAGAAGGCATCGTGCACTGCTGGGCCTGCGCGCTGCCAGCTCAATGGACGGGCCACCTCCAGGCAGACGCCTACAACCACTGCTGCATGTTCAGCCGTGGGCCAACAGATACATGCATTGCCCAGCTCGCATCTATCACACGCGCCCTGGTGACCGCTGGTCCGCGGTTGCATCGGAGGCAGAACCCAGAGTGGCCGCATGTTCCACATCAAGGTTTGCGGCCCGGAATTACTGCAGACCCGGGCCTTGGAACGGTCGGTCCCGCTTGAGCCGGCCGCCCGAAGAAGCAATTTCTTTCATGCGGCGTCGGAGCCCGGCTCGACAGGTACAGAGCACATACACAAATATGCGCTGGATGAAGCCGTGCATAAAATCAGTTGACCCATCCACAAGCGCGAGCCCGCCCATGGAGCTGAAGAATTTTCGACGCCGCCACCCCACAAGACGATCTTCATTAGACTTCCTGGCCTTGCTGGAAATCTGGCAACGTTTGGCTGCGCCAAATTGCCGGCTGTTGATTGGCTCGCGCGGTTGGCCCACGAGAACCTCCGAGGCTGCCGGCCAGTTGGCTTACGTCATACAGTCGCTCGCCCAATGCCTGATACCCGTGACATTGCCAAGCCTACTAGCCTGTTCATGAGGTTCCCGTTATCGGGAGGCTTGGCAAGGTCACGGGTACGTCGTATAGAGCGCCAAGCCGCCGCTCTGCTGACTAACTAGCGCCAGCCGTCACGCGCGCCGTGCCGATTCCTGTGTTCGCCGTGCACGCCCGTCGCGGCGGGAGCTCCGCCGGCGCAATCATGACGCCCAACCGCCCGCTGTGGACGCTGACGTGCTGGTTCGCCGCCTGGAAGTTCCTGGTGCTGGTGCTGGTGCTGGCCGGCCCGGGCCCGGGATACGACACGTCCACCACCATCCTGTCCCCGATCCCGTCGTCCGGCTTGTCGGCGAAGCTGTTAAACTTTGTGAGATGGGATTCCTTATACTTTGTCAATATTGCCCAACGCGGATATCTGTATGAGCAGGAGTGGGCGTTTGGCTATGGCTATACCAAGCTGCTGGCTATCTTATCGACCGGTTAGATTCTCCGGTTCCTTTTGCTAGCCCCCTTACCTTCCCGGAATCCCCCGACTAATTGCTTCCAGGCACGCCTCGTGAACCCTTTCATCTGGCCGTAGTTGGAATCGCCGTCTCGCATCTGGCTCACTACTTGTCTGTGCTAGTGCTTTACCGCTTGACTCAAACTATTTTTGGGGATAAGAAATACCCCAACCACCTGCCTTTTCTCTCAGCAGCTCTGCACATCATCTCTCCAGCAGGTGCTTTCTTGTCCGCCCCTTATGGGGAGCCAGTGTTTGCATTACTTAATATCCTGGGATATTACGTTTATTTTCTCGCGTTGAAATACGACCGCCAGAGCTCTCTGCTCCCGAGGGACCTGAGCTTTATCGCGTCAGGTTGCATTTTTGCTGTTGCTTCGACCGTTCGAAGCAATGGCATCCTGGGAGGGATGCTATTTGCGTATGATGCAGTCTTGAGGGCTTTTGAAATTGTCCAAACTCGCCATATTAGCCTACCTGTGTTTCGGCGCCTAGTCTTTGTTGGCCTTGGTGGTGCGCTGATTCTACTTGGAATAGCTGGGCCTCAATATATCGCATACTCTTCCTACTGCCAGTCAGCGGCATCTCCACGGAGCTGGTGCAGCAATCTACCCCCAAGTATCTATACCTGGGTTCAAGGTCGATATTGGTAAGCCCTGCTTTCAAACATTTTGAGCACTTGTGAACAAATATATATGCTGACGATATTTCCCTCAGGAATGTTGGATTTCTGGGATACTGGACCATACCGAACATCCCCCTTTTCCTAATGGCTGCCCCCATGCTCACTATCTTATTTCTTTCCGCAACCTGGGCTCTAACCTTGAACAAACGCGTAACAATACCAAGTGACAAGAACACCGAGAAGATGGCTTGCGAGAGCGAATTCACCAGCGTCTGTCTCGTACGACTGGCCCTGCCGCAGGCGGTACTAGCTTTGCTTGCATTGACAAGCTACCACGTCCAAATAATCACACGCCTTGCGTCAGGATATCCACTGTGGTACTGGTGGCTAGCTATATGCCTATTTAAAGAGGGCAAGCATGGTTTCAAGGGCATTGTGCAGCCGAAGACGATATTGCATGGAATCGTGCTGTATGGTATGGTCCAGGCGGCGTTATTTGCATCATTTCTTCCACCAGCTTAAGCTGCTCTGTACGTAAGACATACATATGTATGCTTGTAGGCAATCTTCCCCCTTAATTGAGCCTCCAAGGTACATACATAGTTCTTTGTCGTAATCGTATTGGTCTTATGTGTTGGAACTTTGCACAGCAAATACCCGGCTGCGGCTCGCCAAATACAACGCCAGAAACACCCCCGCTTCCAGAAAGATCTCCCAATCTCCTCCCCAGCGACGTCTTGCAGCGCAGGCAACAAGAGGCGACGTTGCCAATAGCCGCATTACTAATCTCGCGGGCGTGTGGGCCCTGTGCTTTGAGCTCGAGTTTGGACAGCCACTCGCCAAGACGGACTGATATCAACACCTCAAGAGAGCTTCAAAGAGCTCCTGTGCTCAACTGAACGTGGTCAGTCTCGCTGGCTACCCAGTCTCTTATACGGCTGATGATATGACGACATCTACGTGTTCTGAGAGTAAATGATATTATTAACCTGCACCTTGAATTTGCGCCACTGTCATCGATTGCCATCATCTTGCGTGTCGTATTGCTGCCTTCGCCTCCGACAAGGTATTCAATGTGTACCGTGACACTGCTGCCTCCCGTCTACACCACACTCACAACATCTTGTGAGCTCTTGCTGAGCCTGCCTCGTGTTTGGAGAAGCAAGATCTATCTTTATTGCACCTTTGGTATCTTTGCCATCATATCGGCCTCTGTTCGACTGTCGCGTGCTAACTCCTGCTTGTTGTCCGTTTAGCCCCTTTGTCTAACCTAGCTCTATACTCCTCCACCCGATAAGAAGAGCGAATGGATTCCGTAGGTCAACGTCTACCGATATATTTGTCGACCTCCTCAGCGCCTTGTCCGCATGAGCTTTCGAGAGCAACCTCACCCGGCGGAGAGCCCCCCGAGTCCAACATGAATGGCATCAAAGACCCAGCCAAAACAGCTCGGTCCAGACCACGCACATACCCTTACTTTAAATACCTCCCATATGAAATCGAAGATGAGCGCCGGCGGCAGCAGAATTTCGATGAAATTCTCAAGGAACTATACATTGCGCTCCAGGCGGGAGACTTCAGCCCCGGTGCCGTGCATTGGACGCGAGAATTACGATCGTGGCTTTCGTTGAAGTTCGACCCCACTAGGGAACAGCGGATGAAGCTCGTCAGGCTATACTATGACCTCTCGCTCGCTCCAGGTGTTGATCCGAGCGTTTCAGAACGATTTGCGAGCATGTTCATGGTTCTTACAAAGTACGCTCTCCCAGTCAACTCTTATATGTAACAAAGCTAACTCGACGTAGGAGGAAGCATTACCTACGTCCTATCAAAGACCTCGTGCTGGACTGGAGGCTGCTCTACCGAGAAATCAAAGTTTTTATCTTTCCCTCTGAATCGGACCTCGTACATTCCTCGAGCTCGAAACGTAATATCAAGACGTTGACGAAGTTATGCTCATTTGCTCAGCTCTACTTTGATCCTCTTGAGATCCCTGCAATGCTGGAAGAGTTTCTTCCCCATTTCACCACATCTTTCACAGAAGGTGCTTTTATTGTCGTCGGATTGTTGAATCTTTTTATACCTACGTCGCCGGGTCCAGAAAACAGAACAGATCTGTACCCGCAGCAATACCTTCCCACCTACTTTCACCTTTGGTCTTCAGTAAATCGATCCCGCTCATATGATATCAGTCTGTTAGACCTGTTCTCGCGATTGGCTCGCGATTGGCTGCCTGCTAAACACGTTTCATTCTCTGAATATGGAATTTTCACCGCGGAACAAGCTTCCCTGATATTCACTGCTATTTTGAGAATCCTTGAAATTCCCGTCAGCCAAGCGATATCGTCTTACAGTGCTGTAGTGGATCTCTCCTCTGGGCTTGGCATGATGCTCGATAGAGACTCGAGAGGCCATCCGGTTGCCCATCATATTGCACGTTTTCTTGTAATGTCTCTTTCTCCGGCCAGTGCCACTGCTTCTAGTTCAATCCTTAGCTTGCTCGAGGGCTTGATAGAAGCTGTGGAGACGTTCTTCCACCCGTCAAATTCGGGATCGTGGTCAAGAACTCTTGCGCAATTGATCAACTATCTAGCAGACTTTTTCGTGATGCGATGGAATCGAGAGAGAAATGGCGAGATGGAGGTGCCTGAAGAACGCTGGTTGGATGACGGCGTCAAGCGTCGATTTGTATTATGTCTTCGGGACGTAACCTTCATGGGCATTTATTCCAAGAGTAATACGGCAATGAATTTCTCCTTGGCGACACTTCAGAGTTTGGCGTATCTGGAGCCCAGCTTAATACTACCTGGTGCTTTGCAAAGAATATATCCTTCGATGCAGGGTTTGGTTGAAGTTCACAGAACGGCATCTTCCCTTCGATCGCTACAGGTGCTGTCCAAAATTATGATTAGGACAAAAGGCTTCCGCTGCCATATCACGACGTTGCTTGGCCTGGCATTACCTGGCATTGATGCAAACGATCTTGAGAAATCTCTCCATACGTTGGCTTTTATTCAGTCTGTTTGCTATAATATTCCCTTTGAAGACCTCACCAAAGGACGCGATGATGTTCAGGGGAATATGCTAGCCATGCAATGGATTACGGGAGAAATAGAGAGGATGGAGGAGCAAGGCGCATCTGTCGAGATGAACTATGACACTGAACTCACCGACGAGGATGAAGAAAGAATATTGCGATCATCAACTACTGGATTTGGAGAGTTTCTGATATCTTTTCTTGGAAGGGTTTTTACTCTCCTTGAAAACCTCCCAGACGCATCACGAGTCCGCAGCGGATCGCCTGAAGAAAACGTGCTGAACACATTGCCGGCTACATTTATGCCACTTCTCTCGTCTTTGTCACCGGAATTGTATGATGTTGCCTTGCAACGAATCGTCGATTTTGTTTCAGAGCGTGTTCTTCACCAGGCCCGTGATGCAGTAGCGTTTATCTGCAATTCCCTTTGTAAAGTGAATCCAGAAAAGGCACTGAAACGATTTATTCCACTATTGATCCGGTCAATTCGTGCTGAAATTGACGAGAACCGCGCGGCGTCAACAAGAACTACGGGGACTGATGTACTTCCTCGAGACCGTGGCCTCGTTTGGAATGTCAGCATGCTGAGCATGTGCGTTGTTCATGTTGGCGGAGAGGTCTTGAAATACAGGAAAGAACTCATTGATATCGCGCTGTATATGCAACGCAAGTGTAAGGGCATTCCGACCATACATATTTCAAATTTTATCCACCATCTCCTTTTGAATCTGACTGTGACATGCACTATTGACCATTCCCAATACGAACCCGATGTCATCGCTCGGGGCATTCAGGTTGAGCAATGGGGACAGAGGCAAGATCCGAAAGACCTGACAATCAAATGGCATGTTCCAGGACGCGGAGAATTAGAATTTGCTGTAGAGCTATTCAGCTCCCAGTGTGGAAATGCACTAGAACACCTTATCAATCTCACGAGCGACCGCCCAAAGATCAAACGTGATGGGAGCGGTAAAGAGTGGTCAGACGAAGTAACACGCAACATTATACTCTTACGGTTGATTATTTCGGGAATATCTGTCCTCTTTAATAACCGTGTTGCTTCGCAGAATACGGATGCCGACGCTGATATTGAAATGACCGATGCCGCAGAAGATAGTGGCGAAGAGCTGCCTCAGTTACGAGTTCCTGATCCTACACTTGACTCCTCAGACGATTCTGTGATCCGACGCACCTTTACTTATCCAACAGGCTATTCCTTAACTGACGATGACCCACTCTGCATTCAAATCCACGAGATCAGGGATCGAATCGGGCGTGTACTACACACTGTTCATAAATTTTTGGTCCAAAAACAAGAAGACGATGTATCCTGCTTTTCGCCATTATATACTGCATATCGTGCCTGGTTTATTGACGTGGGAATTGAGAGATCTGCACATGTCCTAGATCGTGTCACCAAACTATTGTCAGCTGATGCTTACCCATACAAAATGAGTGGTAATAGAAAGGACTATCCTCGCCCGCTCCTTGTTCGCCGTGCGAATGTGTACCATTTGCAGCGACTTCGGCATAACTCTGTTCCTCGGCCACGATCTAAACTTGATGAAATATTGTTGCTTGATTTGGTTGAATCAAGTGTTTCTTCATATACCGACATTCGGAAGAATGCGCAAACTGCCGGCGAATCGGCCCTCAGAGCAATCTGGGGCTCACGGCTTCTTGTTATCAAACCCCTCATTAACGCTCTACATTTCGCTATCGAGAAGAATGATTTTCCTCGAATCAAGGGAGCTGTATACTCGCTACTATACAGCGGCGTGGCGAAAACAGCAGGTCGCCATTGGCAATTTACGCCTGCTCTTATTCGGGCGTTCATTGGGGCGAGTACTGTCGATAAACCTTCAATACAGAAAATCTGTAATGGTGTCTTCTTCCAAATAGTTGAATACGGACGTGATGTGGACCGAATGGCAATTCTGGATCAAGATGCCGTTGACACCATCCGACCAGAAGCGGATGTTAGCGATATCATTTCAAAAAAGAAAGATAGTATTCAGAAAAAACACGTTGCAATTGAGAAGGCAAAGAGCGACCTAACAGAAGAGCTTGTGAATATGGCGCGATCATCGCATTGGAAATTGGCTAGCCGTACCGCGGCCATTGTCATTACGATGGGCTTACGTTTTGACACCATAGCGAGTCAAAATTTGATTAACTTGATAGTTACTGGCGCCATTGATTCTCATCCAGGGTTAAGAGGGATGTATTCGCAAACTATGGTTGCTATATTTACTATGATTGATGTTCGAGCATCTTGCAGTCACAAATATGAAGACTATATTGTCGGAAAACAATATTATCCAGCAAAGCTAAAGGTTGATACGAAACAAGATGACCCTAATTGGACGAAAGAGTTCCTCGCTAGTTTTGCTAAGCCTGATGCAGAATATTACGTTGACCATGAACATCCTGGATGGCTAGTATGGGATAAAACGATGCCAGCCTACAAGACAGATGTGGCCCGTGACATTGAATACGATGAGCTTGAATGGAATGTTCGGAAATATATGGGAGGCCTATTTGACCGAAAATGGTTTTCTACCTTTTTCGCATATCTAAAACAAGAACCTAGAGATGTGTCGGCGGACAAATTCCGCATGACCAGCGCAATGATTCTTCTCTACGTTTTCCAGCTTATGACCCGTGATGATCTGACGAAGGCAACATTTGAGGAGGTGAAAGAAGAAATTTTTGCTGTTTTCGAGGATGGCAGTGACAAACATCAGCATCGTGCTACCGCAGAGATATTGGCTGCATTAATTGGTTCCGTTACTGATACCAGCATAGAACGCCGCAAAAAGGTCTGGGATTTCGCATTTCCAATAATTAAGAAAATTTTCTCGGATGGTTTGACACCTGAAAACTCTTCATATTGGAATCAGTTTCTCCATATGATTTTCCAGTGTCGGGATCCACGAAGAGCCTGGCCGCTTATGGATTGGTTGGCTAGCTTTCGTCTTGATATGGGCTCTAATGCCGCCTTTAAGGAAAGCTCGAAGATCAACCTGCTTCATCAGTGCATTTTAGACGTTGGCTGGCACTTCCAGCTTGAAAAACCAATCGTAAATAATTTCCTGGCACACCTCGATCATCCATATAAGGGAGTTCGGGACGCGATGGGCAGGACGCTAGCATCGATCTTTCGCACAAGATATCATGAGTCTTACTCAACTATAAACGAGTTAATTCTAGCACAGAAGACAGCGTCACCAATTGGCAACCGCTCTTATCAACCTACTGAAGAGTTCTCCAGTATGATCCGTGATGTATTCAATCGACTTCAAAAATGGCGCCGGGAAAGGTCACCTGGACAGCAGACCCCTTCGTCGTATACATCTGGTTGCAAGACTGTGCTCCTTTGGCTTGACTCAACTCTTTCCTCTTACGAATGCACTCAACTTTTACCATTCTTCCCAGACCTTTTTACTGAAGAATTACTGCATATGATGGATGTTAAAGAAGATCCTGAGCTCCAATCATTAGCGTACCACGTATTCAGACATCTTCCAAATATCCCACATCCCGCTGGTGAAGACTCGGAATTTGTGGATACCCTTATTCGAATCGGCCGTACATCACAATCATGGCATCAGCGATTACGTGTCATGATTAACATGCAGATCATCTATTTCCGCCGTCTATTCCTACTTTCTGAGTCTGATCGTGAGAAATTGTTTAGCTGCGTTGCCAACATGCTTGAGGATCCTCAACATGAAGTTAGAGCAGGCGCCTCAGCGACCCTTTCGGGGATGATTCGATGCTCTCCCGTAGGACTTCGAACTGAGATTGTTCCAAAGCTACGCGATAGATTTACGAATTCCTTGATAAAACATCCGTTGCCTAAAAAGCCTCGCATTTTCAAGTCTGGATTCTCTTCCGCAACATCTACGGGCACTAGCACACCTACCCCAGAGCATACTAGGCTGATTATTACCAGACACGCTGCTGTTCTTGGGCTTGGTGCGCTCATTCAAGCATTCCCGTACACAAGCCCACTGCCACAGTGGATGCCAGGCGTGTTAATCACACTGAGCACAAAAGCGGCTGGCGACCCTGGTATTGTCGGCCAAAGTGTGAAGTCCATAATCAGTGAATTCAAGAAAACCAGGCAAGACACATGGCATATCGATGTCAAAGTAAGAATTGTTTACTTCTTTACATCCCAAATTGCGTTCGCTAACCTTTAGCTTCTAGGCTTTTGAACCTGATCAAGTTGAAGATTTGTCCGGCGTCTTGTGGAAAAGCTATTTTGCATAAACACATCACTTTTGAGTCTACTTCGGTCGATGCATTATGACATATCTGCGATTTGCTATACTGGAATTGATTGGCTTACTATTTTGAGTTGATGGATGATGTCACGGTTGATATTGGTTGAGTTCGAGTGATCTTTCAGCTTACTGTTCATGTTATATCCTAGATGATGATGATTCAATGCCATTCTCCTCATTAAACTTCATACAATGCGCTGTATACTCTGCCAGAAATAGACCGATAATGGTGTAATTCAAAGTCCTCTCAACCTCACCCGTGGCGACCAATTTCCTGGATTTAACATTCCGATATTTCAGACGCACTCCAGCGGGGTGTGGGACGCAGGCTTCTCTACAACAATTCTCATACCTGGTCTCACTTCACCGCCCACTTCCACAACAGCCATAATGCCTGCCTTCCGTCCCACGATCTTCCTCTCCGAATCTCGCACGAAAAACCTTTCTTTCAGCCCGGCACGGTACTTGTCAATTTGTGGGCATGGGTTTCTCAACCCAGTCACAGATATCACCGGCGCACCGGCGGGCACAGCCCCGCTACTGGCATCCACGAACCGTAGCTTCGTCCCTTGGCCCAGGGCTAGCAGATCAATTCCTGACGTAGTGATATTTTCACCCAGCGCCCCATATGTCAACGGTGTGCCATTTGCGGCTTCAGTAAGGACCTCGGAATGAATGAGGTGCACCTGGCGAAGGTTACGGGGAGGAGGTGTTATGTGAGTGCGGGAGAGGTGTTGGACATTCATGCCAGCATGAGCGTCGCCCTTCACACCGAGATCCTCCAGGAGAGTGATAGCGGGAACAGGAGACTTGGAGAATGAGTGAGTAGAAGAAACTGAGACACTCAGTACAGACATGGTGAGGCTGGATAAAGGCAGTGTCGAGGGTTGTATTGCAAATTTGTATAGATGCAGTTGTTAAGATTCCACCACTGTGTTAATAGCAGCCTGTTATAGGAATGAATGATGAGAACAAAAGAGTGCTTGGGAAAGAGAGCATTAGTGCTCAATACTCCATACACAGTCTCCCTGGTTCCAATGGTGGGAAAAGATATGATGCGTTGTACACGCCACCCCGCTGGTGGTAAGGCTACCCCTCGTCGGCAAGAAACGGATGGCGCCGTACATCGCTTTGATGTTGTCTGCAATGTGGCTTCTCACCCTAGGACATCCCCTGTTACCCATGGCCCTCTTATTCTATAAATCCTTTCTCACTAGCACATACGACCACAGGAAGTGGAATACAGGGCTTCCCGTTGTTACGCTACGAGCTACGAGCTGGAGAGAAGTGTCTAATTCATCTGATCTCATATTGAAGAGAAATCTAGACACATTTATATAAATGAGTGACTATTTTAAGTGGAGCAAAAAGAGCCAATCAGAATGTTAGCTCTGATCATGCATAGTTATATAACAAAAAGACATGTGATTCAGAGCCTAGTGTTCCAAATCAATGCCATACAGGAAAACAAAGAAAATCCTCTAATCTCTGTGCCTAGCCTAGCCTAGGCAGGCCTCCGGCTGACACCCGTCCGCTCAGCCGTACTTAAGCCACTGTATCTGCGCGGCCAATATTCATACTGGCCCCGAATCCCCGCTGCTTTATGGGTGAGGAGCGGGTGAGTAGTGGGTGAGTAGGGTGAGAAGCGGGCGAGCAGGGTGTTTTAATAAAAAAGCCACACTGCTAGAAAATAAATATCAGAAAGAAGGCATGCTGATTCTATTCTTGTTGATTCTTTTGATACTTTCAAAACATATCTGATGTTAGCTTTCAATGCCATGTGACTAAAGATGTCTTCTGTTTCCAATGAAGAATGCTTGAAACATGTCAAGAAATGTCAACAACTTGCTAATAGTCATGGCTTTACCCTTGCTGTGAGGGTCGGGTGGTTGCAGATAATGTGGCAATGGTTTATGGCCTTCATAAGTGGGGTTAGATTGAGTGAGAGATGATTATGAAGGGATCTAAGTATGAGAGAGAGAGATAACTTATATTGCTACAACAGTATCTAGAGTCTCTAGATATGTTGCCACTGACCTTTGTAAAGAAGCATCTGTGACAGATTTTGTGTGTTCAGCTATGCTAGTTACTGTTACTGTTACTGTTATTATTAAGTTGAAACTTCTCTATGAGTCACTATAGATGAATAACTAGAAGGCACAACAATGAATGTTTTTTGTGAACTGCTGACTTGTAAAGTAGTGAATTGATTCAATCAATATAACATATGCTACTTGACGACTTGTGCGCCGTTCCGGTTCCGTAAAACTGGGCAATGGTCAGACTTCAAGGAATGAACAGGAAGAAGGAGAGCGTCCTCACAGGGGTAGTAGGTGGTGAGTCAATGGACTGAGTAGGAACTGGCGATATGTAGACTGGATAAGCTCCAAACAAAGTGAGAAACAGAAGAGGCGGGCACGCACAACCCAACAATTACCCGATGAAGCAGGACGGACACACCCAGAAGAAGGAAATAGATGGATGTTGAAAATAAAGAAAATAAGAAAGATTGGATGCTCTTCCATCCAATTTATAATGGGCCTCGGGGAGAGAAACGGGGCATTTGTAACCTTTACCGTCTTTCCATTCACTTCTATCCCCAACAGAAACCAACACAAAGCTCGCGCTGCAAGGGTCACTTCCTCACTGGCTTGAAAATCCATACCAGCCTATCATAATAAGAAGTTTAACGTGGAACCTCAAAGGCGGTAGAATGTTGATGGTTGACTGGGCGTGAGCATCCGGGAAACAGAATAATCCATGAATGTGATAGCTAGGGATGCAGTGAGCGGTAACAGCGAATGCTCTATTGGCTAGTGGTGATATCTCAGATGTTGAGACACCGGTGCCTCTTAGGGTAATGAGCGCGTAAATGTGACCACTGCATGTTGATCACCCTGCTGGCAATTCCAAATCAAGTGCGAAGCATTCTGCCACAATTGGCAACGAATGAGACAAAGACCGTAAAGACTGAAATTTGGGTCTTTCCTGATATTGCGGGCGAAACCATTTGTCCCCGGGGTTCAGGGGCTTAAGCCTACCGGACCCCTCATGATATTGGCTCTTAAATTAAGCCAGCGACAACCTGCATGAGGATTTAGGGGCCATGTTCCATAAAGCAAGCAGCTTCACAATTCTGGTGCTCCTGGTTGGTGTGCTGGTGGTGCCGTCTGAAGGTCGCGAAATGATGAGGTTGACAAACGAAGGTGGTTGGTTAATAACTAACTAACTGGTTAGTAAGGGGGGCGCCAAGATGTTGATCACTCCATCAGAACGGCGCTTAACAGAGCCTCCGAGGGTCCGTCCTGGCACCAGCCTTACCCAGCTTGAGAGAGGCCTCTCGCCTTTGATACCCACCGGGCAATACCCTTTAAATAATACCGAAGAGGTCTCCTCTTCCCTTAGAAATGTGCCCAGCCGCCATTTGTCCCTGAACAGACGGTTATTCCTTCGCACTCTCGCCTGACATGAATGTCAAGGAATTTGATGAGGATCTCCTTGAGATGTACGAGTGCCGGAAATCCTTTTTTGTGGATGACATGACGTATATCCAAAGCCATCGTTCCAAAATACGATGGGATCTTGGCCCGATTTTTAAAGAACGGGTCATAGAAGGACACGACGAGATCTGTGGCATGTATGTCTCAGAAGCTGTCGCCGTCTGCGTCGCGACCCAGGTCGAGGGCCCGAATCCCGGGCTCCAGGGAATTGCAAAGATCAGAATGCAGTGCGTTAAGATGTGCATCAATCAACAGGCGTTCTACTGACGCTCGTCATCTAGAATTCCAAACCCCGGCCGTATCGCCACAGCACCTGTGCGCGCCAGTACTCGTTGCGGCTTTGAGCTTTATAATCTTCGTCAACTCTCACGCTTGGGCTGCACATGTACCCCGAAATTGTTAGATACTGCATGGTCTGTTCAAGACGAGAATGACCCCGTCCCTGGTGGATTTTGCGCTTTTTTCATCATGGAAAAATTACCGGGACACAACCTGAACAACTTTGGGGCCCTGCCCATGGCAGAGCGAAACCAAATCAGACTGAGTTTTGCCAAATCAATACGGTAGGCTTCCCTAAAACCCCGCTCCAGCTGCCACCTTCATGTTGCAGGAATTTAACTGGTGGCTAATTGGTTCTGGTAGCGAATTTTACGACTTGCGATATGACCATGACGACCCAGCTCGCCGTAATTTGATATGGGATAGTGAGAAGAAAAAATGGTATGCCCCGGTGATCTTAGGATTGAGCTTAATTGGCTAATCAACCGTTCTGTCTGTATAGTTATATCATTGACCTTGAAGAGGCATATGAAATTTTGGACGCCGATAAGCCGAGAGCATTTTCCCCAGAGCTTCATTGGCGCGACTGGGGGATTGCAGGCCCAGAATCCAGTACCAGCTACTACGGGTTGGATCCAATGGTCCCCCATCACAAGAAGTACATCGAGAACCCGAGTGACGAGATGCTGGAGAAAATGGCAGCTGACGCGGAGGGAAGGGATGTTTTAATGCCTTCTAGGTAGTTTTCATAAGGCTAGACAGTGATTTACAATACTAAACGAATAACTGCGATCATGACGATTGCGGGTTGTATCCATTCTGCATTTCTAAATGGGCAGACAGCTGGGAGCTTACGTGCTGTACTCCGTAGCCCGTACCGAAAGCCCAAACCAGCTGTAATAAACCCCTTCCTCTATTTTCATTGTTTCATCACGTTCTATTGTATCTGGGGTTAGGCCTACTCTGTAAATTCCAAGGGATTTTCCTCGCAACAATGCACTTATCAAAGCTAGAGTGTACTGCAATGGGCCTGACATGGTGACGTCATTGGCGTCGGCCCGATGCCAACGTTTTTCCGACGGCCCGACGCGCCATGTTGAGGCTCCGAGACCGCCACAGCACAACCAAAATCCGGTCGATCACGACCAGTATGGCGTATATGAGATCCCTTATTCCGTTGTCCTCCAAATTGGGTCGGGTTGGACCCTGCGGTAGAGGTTCTGCTGTTGTTTTTAGTTTCGTGCCTCGCCGGCACATCTCCGCCTTCGGGTATACACAATCGAAGGCTCTTATATTGCCCAAATATGGTGAACCGAAAGATCTTGGGTAGACTTCCAGACACCATGGACTCTTCTTGTCCAGCTTGTTGCTTAAGCTAACAAGTGCAGTCTTCACTCATACTCTATTTCTCCCCCCCATGACACCCAATGCACAGTTGATTTTGGCTGGTGTCATCTGCATCTTTTTGCCCCAGATCACTCTTTGGGGGCAGGATTTTCAGGCACAAAGCCAAGCCAAAAGAACATCTGGTCTTCAGTGACTGACTGAACTGAAGTGAGATGTAACCCCACCTTTGTGGCAATTTTGTGAGAAGAGTGCTTTTTGCTGTTGGCTGTGTCTGTGGACCATCTTCACTCACCCCTGCTCACCCTAAATCACCCTAAAATCACCCAGATCAGGTGAGCGTAAAGTGGCCTCACCCGCTAACTCACCCTGGCAGCAGCCACCAAAGAATCGGCCGCGGAGAAGCCACTTGCTGGCCGGCTAGTAGTTGGGTGGGTGACCACCAGTGAATCCTGGCTGTTGTATGTTTTTTTGCTGCTTTCGCGGTATTCCTCGAAGCTGAAAGGGGTGTTATGTAAGCAGGATTTGCTTAGCGCTTAAGTAAGCTCATAGTTAAATATATCACGTGATAGGGTATCGGGACCTTAACGTAACTACGTTACTCCGTACTTCGAGCTCAAGCAGCCTTACCATCGATATTGGACCACAACCTCGCACTGCCGTTTCTGTATCTATTAACTATTCCCCTTCCTATGCCCCTTATATTGGCTGCGGTGACGTCGACTGGCCACGATGGGGCCCTCACAAGACACACTCCTCCGCTCCGCGGATATGAGCCTGACCCAGCTCTACATCGCGAATGAGATAGGCAGAGAGGTCGTCAGCGCACTAGGCGAGCTGGGTTTGGTTCAGTTCAGAGATGTGAGCTTGTTCTCTTGATTCTGCTGCTTCGCTTGCTGACTGCGGATTTCTTCACAGGTCAACGAGGAAACGACGGCATTCCAAAGAACGTTTACCAGCGAAATTCGACGTTTGGACAATGTCGAGAGGCAACTCCGTGCGTCTATATTTATTCCCTCTCCACAGATGAGAGAACTTACCGTTTGATACAGGATATTTTCATTCCCAGATGGAGAAAGAGAACATCGAAATGCGGCCTTCGTCGGAATTTGAAAACACTCTGGGTGCCCCAATGGCATCTGAGATTGATGAGTTGACCCAACGAAGTGAAAGTCTCGAGCAACGAATTTTCTCTTTAAATGAAAGCTACGAAGTGCTTAAGAAGCGGGAGGTCGAGCTCATTGAATGGCGTTGGGTGCTAAGAGAAGCCGGCAGTTTTTTCGACCGCGTATGCATATTGCCTTGCACGAATCAAGTCAGGAGCTAACTTTTCAACAGGCTCACGGACATACCGATGAAATCCGGCAATCCTTCGATAACGACGAGGCTCCACTACTGCGCGATGTTGAACACCAACACCATCCTAGGCAGCAGGCCGACGACGGACATCAGCCTTCCTTTTCCATCATGGATATCGGTTTTGTATCAGGCGTTATTCCTAGAGATCGGATCGGTGCCTTTGAGCGAATCCTTTGGCGAACACTTCGTGGAAATCTTTACATGAATCAATCCGAAATCCCTGAACGAATCGTGGATCCCTCCAATAACGAGGGTATTCAGAAGAATGTTTTTGTTATTTTTGCCCACGGAAAGGAAATCATTGCGAAAATCCGGAAAATTGCTGAATCCCTTGGTGCAAATCTCTATGCCGTTGACGAAAACAGCGAACTTAGGAGAGATCAAATTCACGAAGTCAACACCCGTCTAAGTGACGTTGAGCAGGTTTTGCGTAACACGAAGCTTACTTTGGACGCTGAGCTATCCCAGATAGCTAGATCGCTGGCTGCTTGGATGATTATCGTGAAAAAAGAAAAGGCCGTTTACCACACCTTGAATAAATTCTCCTATGATCAGGCTAGGAAAACTTTGATCGCAGAAGCGTGGTGCCCTACAAACTCTCTCGCAGCTATCAAGTCTACCTTGCAGGACGTAAACGATCGCGCCGGCCTCTCCGTCCCAACTATTGTCAATCAAATTCGTACCAATAAAACTCCCCCGAGTTACATGAAGACCAACAAGTTTACCCAAGGATTCCAAACCATCATAGATGCGTATGGAACCGCAAAATATCAGGAATTGAACCCTGGTCTTCCAACAATTGTAACGTTTCCGTTTCTCTTCGCTGTCATGTTCGGCGATAGTGGTCACGGGCTTCTCATGACCATGACCGCTGTTACCATGATTCTATTTGAGAAGAAGCTTGCCAAATCGAAAATTGATGAAATATCAAGTATGGCCTTCTATGGTCGATACATCATGCTCCTGATGGGTATCTTCTCTATATATACTGGTCTCATTTACAACGACATGTTCTCTCGGTCAATGGATATTTTTCCAAGTGCTTGGGAGTGGCCAAAAGTTACCCAAGAGGGTGAATCTGTGACTGCCACCCTCAATTCGAATTATCGATATCCGTTTGGCCTCGATTGGGGTTGGCATGGCGCTGACAACTCTCTTCTTTTTACTAACAGTTTTAAAATGAAATTGGCCATTTTACTAGGTTGGGCTCATGTGGGTGTTCTACTTCCTGCTTTGGGTGGTGTTTACTAACTGTGCCAGATGACCTATTCTTTATGTTTATCGTTCGTCAACGCCCGGCATTTTAAGAAGCCAATAGAAATTTGGGGAAATTTTGTGCCTGGCATGATCTTCTTTCAGTCGATTTTCGGTTACTTAGTCTTCACCATTCTTTTTAAATGGACGATTAACTGGGAGACGCGAGGAGCACCGCCACCAAGTCTTCTCAATATGCTGATCTTCATGTTCCTTCGACCAGGAAGTGTGCAGGAGCCATTATTCAACAACCAAGCTGTAATCCAGGTTATTCTTGTGACCATGGCGGTCATCCAAGTCCCCATTCTTTTGTTCCTAAAACCATTCTACCTTCGCTGGGAACACAACCGTGCGCGTGCTCTTGGTTATCGAGGCCTTGGCGAAGTATCAAGAGTCAGCGCGTTAGATGAGGACGGCGCACCTGACGGCCGCGCTTCCAACCGCAACAGTATGGCTAGTGATGGAGAAGGCGTTGGAATGATTACACAGGACATGCGCGAAGAAGAACATGAAGAATTCGATTTTGGAGATGAGATGATCCATCAAATTATTCATACAATTGGTAAGCGATTTCCGCTCGTTAAGACACCTTCTTCGACGTTCGAACCCTACTAAAACAACAATTTAGAATTCTGTCTCAACTGTGTTTCTCACACTGCCTCTTATCTTCGATTATGGGCATTGTCCCTTGCCCATCAACAGCTATCCATTGTCTTGTGGAAGATGACAATTGGCGGAGCGTTCAGCCAAAGCCCTGGCATCATGCAAGTTATCATGATTATTGTTACATTCTACATGTGGTTCACTTTGACTGTCTTTGTGCTCTGTGTGATGGAAGGAACAAGCGCAATGTTGCATTCCCTCAGGTTGCACTGGGTTGAAGCAATGAGCAAACATTTTATGGGAGATGGACTTCCTTTCACTCCATTTAGCTTCAAGATCTTGCTAGAGGAGGATCCTGTTGACTAAAGTTTGCTGCCTTAATTTTGTGAAATATTGCACCTAAATACTTCTTGTGCTTCTGTTTTGCGTTGCCTCTTTAGACATTTTGAGACTTGTGTCCTACGTATATATGTACAACAGAACTCTTTCTTGAAAAGATACCTGCTTCTGATCAGAATATGGAGGCATCAAGTAATAACTAGCCTTGATATCATGATATGTCCGACTTCATAGTCCGTTCTAACATCACAAATCCAAAAACAGTCTAAATTGAAAAGCGGGGGCCATTCAGCTGCCCCTCTACTGTATACAGTCCACACATCTTCCATGAATTTACATTCCGAAAAAAGACGATACTAAGGATGGCATCTATGTTTGATCTCACAGGCACCACGGTCTTAGTGACGGGATCCACCAGAGGCATAGGTCAAGCGATGGCCATAGCCCTCGCCGAAGCAGGAGCAGATATCATTATTATCAAGGTGCCGTGACCATCAAGATGCCACCGCCCGCCGTGAGACGTATCCATCGAGCCCAAGACCTGACCGGCTACACTAAGGGCTTATCTTCAGACCTCCAGACTATGGATACAGTCCGTGGCCTTGGTAGACAGTGCGCAAGCTACAGGTGCGACCTCAGCGACAGAGCTTCCGTGGCGCAACTTATCCCGCGCATAATTGCAGACCATAGGATCGACGTTTTAGTCAATGCAGCTGGGATTCTGAAGCGGCATGATGCTGTTGATTACCCACAAGGTGAATTTGATAAGGTCATGCAAGTGAATCTAAGCGTGACCTTCGTATTATGCAGAGAACTGGCTAAGTATTGGATCGAGAACGAAATGAAGGGGAAAATTATCAATATAGGGAGTGTTATGACGATTGTTGGAGGTGTGAGGGTTTCAGCATATGCGGCGAGTAAGGGAGCAGTGGGACAATTGACCAAAGCATTAAGCAACGAGTGGGCAGGAAAGGGAATCTGTGTCAATGCAATTGCGCCAGGGTAGGCCTTCATATTAACTGTTTTAATGAGCAGTGCTCGACCGCCACTCTGCATTTTAGGAAAACTGACTCTGGTATGCTTTGATAGTTACATTGCTACAGATATGAACAAAGATGTACGGGCAGATAAAGAGTCGCCTTACTACCAGAGCACTGTCCAGAGAATCCCTGCAGGGCACTGGGGCACTCCAGAGAACCTTAAAGGACCTGTTGTTTTCCTGGCTAGTAGTGCCAGCAACTATGTTTCTGGGGAGATATTGAAGGTATGGGCCAGCCTTACTCCTTTTAGCCCGAGAGAGGGTGTTCACTCAATGGTCGTCTAGGTTGACGGGGGCTTTTGCGGTCGGTGACACGGTGGCGTTTCGCTCTGCAGGTGGTGAATAATGTGCCGAGTAATGGCCATTCGGTCACCCAGGCGACCTTTGTAAATACCGAAAGTCGTGCATGATATAGAGGCGCTTTTCGTATAGCCAATTCTAGGTGCAGGGTGTCGTTTCATAGTTCTCCGGCGAACGGAGTAGGAATAGCAGTGTTCCTTGCATCGGTTGACAACCTTGGGAGAAGTTTCGGAAGCAGGATCCACGCGAGTCGTTGATCATCGAGGCGCTGTAGACCAGTCACGTGTAAGGTCGCCTGGACCACAAACATGTTTTACTTCAAGACGACATCGGAAAGTTGCAGGGCATTATCGGCTAACGATGACCCTACACAGAATGTGGAGGAAGCACCTCTCATAGACCGGATTCTCTTCCACTGTGATCTGCAAAGATGGCCTTTTGAGATGGTTTCCAGGACAGACAAGATGATCTCTCAGGTTCGCCCGCAGCAACATCCTACCTAGCCCCATGCTGCCCGCGCTGCTTCACCATGGAAACGATTGCTTTATCTGTAGGTTCCCAGAAATTACTGCAGCATGGCCAATTATGCTTTTTTTTACCGATACATATGCTCTCGTGGCTTCTTGAGAAGCGCAAAAACAGGCTGTACAACTCTGGCCCGCCGGACCATGGCAGATAGCGCTTCAAAGTTCTCGACTCAATGATACCTACTCAACGGCATCAATGTCGTGAATTTAATATGCTACCTGTTATGAGAGTTTGATAGCCCAAACTTTGGTTTTAATCCGTTTTTTGACCTATGAACTGCTCTTCGGACCTTATGTCATTTCTGGGAGGCAACACCGCCCTGTCATCCGAAGACAGACTTCCACCATCCCACCATTGGACCGCCATGCTAGACTATGCAAACAAGTTTGCCCCGAAAAATGAGCGTGCCGTTGCCCGTCTTGTTAAAGATGCAGTGGAACCAAAACAACTTCTAGATGAACACAAAAGCAGCAGTCTCCCACAAGTGACATATTGTTTTGCTGCTAGGTCACAGTGTCTGAAGCCGTCTGGAATAGAGACATTGTGCTGCCTTGGTCAAAGAAGCTGTATATAAAGAGTGGTCAATTCGCAATCAGACCTTGGAAATCAGCTCAGAGATACAATTGCTACTTCTTGTCCCCCTAAACGCTGAACAGATCCTAAACGAGAAATATATCGCCACATATTGCCAATCAAGATGAAGCTCTCTACTCTCGCTGCTGCATTGGCCACTGCCACCGTCGCTCTTGCTCATCAAGCTGATATCTGGGAATACACCAACTACCGTGGCCAGCAGATCTCTTACGTGAGTACCTCGCGTCGCGTTTCAATACGTATACAGCTAACATAGAAGAAACTGGATTTTTAGAATAAACCGTGAGCAATTTCTTTTCAAAATAAACTTATTTTGCACGCTTCTGAAGCACGGACGTTAATACTGAGGGGTGTAGTGGCGTTGAAACTCCGCCGTTCCTTTTCCGATCCTTTTCTTGGAATCGACCTCAGGGCAGCAATTGCTGTGCGGGATTTTGTCAAGGAAAGCTGGTTCGTTATATTTCTCTTTATCACCACCCTGTCTCTTTTTATGGTCTACATGTTAATTGGCACTTGGCTAATGAATCATAAAACTGTCTGAAGACCATAAGCGTCCTCTGTACCCCTAGTTCCCGTTCAGAATTTGGCCCTGGTGCTGACCGGGTGATTATTCGATGCGGCGGGCCGATGATTGACTGTGAGAAGGAATAAAATATGAGGTGAGAGAATCGATGATGGGAGAAAAGCTTTTCGGGACCCAAGTACTTTAGTAGTCCAAGGAAGATGGGAATATTTTTTGTTTGGTGGTTCTCATGGGGCAGTCCAGGAACTTTTTAAATTCCGTATTTATGAGCATACATGCATACGTAGCAAAAGTATTGGAAGTATCTTGGATTTTAGTTAACTGGTATCCTAAATCGCTTTAGTTTCTCATAATTTTATTTACATATTCAATAGTTGGCTGTTGTTATACAAGTTGCCAGCGTATGCATATTCCTTTGATCTTGGGGGTCATTGTTATCATAACCATGAAAGCTTCGTGGAATCGGAGTTCGAAGAGGTGTAGTGTATATAAAATCGGCTGGATCAAGAGTGAAAGGGGCCCTTCCTCGCTACCACACTGAAATTGCTTAATTGACAAATTTCTTGTGAGTGTCGATAACTCTCTGAACCTCATCATAGCTGCCCAAGAAAATACCGCTTCGGTCATGGATAGATTCAGGAATGACGTCAAGAAGTCGCTGCATCTTCGAGTCGACTGCTTGGCCTCCAGCGTTCTCGAAAACCATAGCCATGGGAGCACATTCGTACAAAATTCGCAATTTGCCCTTGGGGCTCTTAGAATCGGCAGGATAGGCAAAAATACCCCCGTAGAGAAGCGTTCTGTAGGCATCTGCAACCATGCTGCCAATGTAGCGGGAGCTGTGAGGCTTGCCGTTGTTTGGAGGGAACTTAAGCTCATGGAAGTATGTCTTGACCCACTCCTCCCAGTACATAGAGTTACCCTCGTTAACACTATAAATGGCACGCTTGGGAGGGAGGCGCATGTTGGGGTGAGTAAGGATGAATTCTCCGAGAGAGTTCTCCAATGTGAAGCCGTTGACGGTGCCGCCCTTCATGGTGATAACAAGCTGCGCTGAGGCGCCGTACATGGTGAAACCAGAGGCAACAAGCTCGCTTCCGGGCATCAAGACATCCTTGGCAGAAACGGTGTAGTCTGCTGCGAGGGTGGACTCGGGAAGCTTGAAAATACCGAAGATGGTGCCAACAGAGACACCGGCATCGAGGTTGGAGGAGCCATCGATGGGGTCGCAAACAACGGCATATCGGGCATCTTTAGAGTCGTTGAATAGGATAGCCTCGTCTTCCTCTTCTGAGACTAGAATACGGCATTTGCCTGAACCCCGCATGGCAGCAACGAAGATGTCATTTCCAATAACGTCGAGCTTCTTCTGGTCATCACCGGTAGTATTTGAGGAGCCGGCAAGGCCGGTTAGGTTGATTAAACTAGCACGTCGAATATAGTAGGCAATTGATTTGAAGGAGAATTGAAGGGCATGGCACAGCAGACTATGTAGCAGACAGCGTTAGAAGCGCCTTTCATGAAACAAGATATAATGCGCTCGGGATAAACAACATACGTAAAGTCTCCAGTGGCCTCTGGGTGCTTTGTTTGCTCCTCCGTTAGGAACCTGGTGAGAGTGACAATATCGGTGTTGATGGACTCGTGCCCCACACCAGTCCCGTTACCATTCGCATCAGCCATGTTGGTGGAGGAGGAGGAGGAGAAACAAAGTACTAGAGAAATGCTAGATGATGGGTATCCAGGATTAGTGAGGAAGCAGCAGAGAGAAGTAGTCCTTGAAGATTGTTTGCGGTCAATTGAGACAGGAGGAGGGGAGAGATCTCGTAGTTAGCAGACGAGTTTCCCGGCGCCAAAAACAAAGTTCCAGCCGAGGACGTCACGGCGGAAAGACAAGGAGATGGCGCGTTCCACCGGCGGGCAACCCGTGACCAGCTCGCCCGCGAACAGCCGCTGTATTGTGCCTGCAATCGGGCGGGCTCCTATTCGCGAGCTCTACCGTTCGCTCCCTGGGCTAGACCTCTGTCTGCCCATTCCAATGCCCCAGTAGTGTATGTATTGTATGTATGGCGTGCTCCCGTCTGCTCTTCGCCCAGCAGCTGGCCTGCATCGCGACTATCGAGCCCCTCCATGCCCCGCGCCACAGCCTTCCGGCGCAAAGTTCAGGCGAGCACGCCGGCCGATTTTCGCCGGTTGCCCGATAATCTCCGACACGCGTTCGGCGGGATGCCGCAGGTGACATTTGCTCCGCGAGTGTTTCAGGATCTGGCTGTATGTGTTCACATTCATGATTGGCTGTGCCTCCAATGGGCTTCAGGATCGGGGGCTCGATGGCGAAGTCCGTCGCACAGAGGACATCCTCGACGTGCAGGGCGACATTTCGTGCTCTGGATATTCTCCATAACAGCAGGATTTGAATGCGTCCATAGCCGGCGTGTTCTCCCGGCGTGGACTGCCCGCCTGTTGTTGTGTTTCTCGCCTGTTCGGTGAAAGACCTCAGACAAACAGTCCAAACGGTGCGCCAAGCATATTGTCCTAGTTTGGTCTAGCGCCGATTAGCTGAGCACAGCTCATCTAAATTTTCTTCCACAAACGATTTCTCTGTTGATTCGCTTCAACTTCACCACAACAATGTTGATGAGGCAAAATTGCCCCAACATGCTTCCTTGCTGCTGACAATGGTAAGAAATATTATGTCTTTACTTTTATTTTTCCTTTATGATGATTTGTACAACCGCGAAACTAGAGTCTTTGACCTTGTTTGGTGTGAAAAGGACTTTGCACGTCAGTCTGAGCTTGACCAGAGCTTGATATGAAGTCAATGTTATTTGAACTTCTATAATGTTGGACAATTCAGGCTGATTTGACAACAGCAGATAGGTTCCTGATGCCACGAACCATGTCGCCATGCTGAGTGAGGTATGTTTGGCTATTTACTTTGTGTGACCAACTCGCAACACCCTACATGATGATTCTTTCGTAACTATATACGCTGGAAATTACCGGCCGAGGCTTTCGAGCCGTTGACGATAGCAAATGGCTGATTCTGATTTGTACTTCTTTGATTGTTTTGGTTTCATTCACCCACTCAATCTTCGCTGTCCGTGGCTGACCAGAATAGATCTTATAGCAATATGGCAATGTGAAAAATAGTTTTGCATACTGCAAATTACAGCTCAACACTGTAAGATCAACTTTTTTTCTCTTGCACGCTGAGAATATCATTGTCATATGATGAATGGCACTGGGCTCCGATAGCTTCGTATAAACGTTGCAGCTTGATGGATATGCCCTATTGTGGCAGGCCTAGAAAACCTCGCCCACTGAAACTTGCCAATATGCTTTTGCAATGAATATTTTTCTTTTGAGATCTCCCGCTAATACAGGCGGTATCTAGAAGTGATTGGTTTGAGCCATGTCCAGTATAATGGTACGTGAAAACAAAATTATTTCATTACTTCCCATGTATCTCCTATGATGATTCCCTAGATGACGAGTCCTATTCGAGTTTTCGGTGCGGACAATTCCTTTTAAGATACCATTCATGCTTTATCTGAATATGCCAACTCGTTGCTTAGACACGATGATGTGAAAAGCGTGCCGATGCTAACATGTACCTCAATTTAGGCGAAACCGTAGTTTTCGTGCCACACTGGACGGCTCAGCTTGTTGTAGGTCCCACCTTTTTATACTTGGCTTTGCTGGGGTTTCATGATGAGCCAAAATTACAAACAAAAGACAAGCATATGTCCAAGCCGGCTATTGTTGGCGACGACGAGAACGTTTTTTCGCTGAATCCGTCCCACCTCAACATATATTGCTAAATAAAGATGCCTACACAACGTTGGCTAATCGCTTATTTAACCTAGAACCAAACAATGGGGCTCCAACCCAATGCTTAGTAGGTAAGCCACTGCATCCATTAGTTCCACGTTATGCAGAGCTTTATTATGATGATTTTTTTATTTTTATCACGACGGTCAACATAGCTTTGCATTGATGACCACCGCCTGTGACAGGGCATTTTTCTGACACTGTTATCTTGAAGTTCTTTGGTTCTAATTGTTCTTGTCCGATTTGGGTCACTGACTTGAAACTCCGTGGAACAGGTATTCGCACCCTGAAAATCGGGAACATTGTTCGTAGCTACTATCTAAAGGCCCACGCATAGCTCTGTCTATGGGCCTTGTCTGTAATAATTGTCCCAAAATATCTAATTGCAAGCCGCAACAGCAAGCCAAGACCCTGGGACCCCTTCCCGGGGTTGTAGCGGTGAGCCGAGCGATGCCGCTTGTGCACTCTCGAATGCCGACTCATGATTGAATGGGGCATATCGCCGAATCATGAGAGATTGACCTGCTAGTATCCAGTTAGTTTGACGAATGAAAACCCACGTACTCCAAGTGCCAACTGCGTGGCCCAGTAGTTCTGCCGTGGCTTGCAGGCCCGGAGTTTTTTTCTGCTCAGTTGTTTTCTCCCGATACGATGCCTGCATGAGCGGCGCATGCGAGAAGCCTGCAGCGGCACGCTGTAGTGAATTGATTGCAACGCAACGGGCCCAGAGCTCTGGAGCGGGCAACGCTCGGGATGAAACGGCTGTCGTCTGGACCGGCTCTTGGCCAGCATCCCCGAGGGTTCTGGCGGGGATCACGGGCGGGCCTGAGGCAGCTCGGCCGGCCTGCAGTTGACGGCCCAATGGCGATGCGAGCGAGCTGGGCGGCGATCAACACGCAGGGCCGGCGGGCGAATGGCGGGCGAGCAATAGGCGCCGGGCACGACGGGCGTGATGCCACGCTGCGGGCAGGCTGCTATTCTTAGCGGGCGGATAAAAATAACTGCTGGCGGGCTAAGTTGGTTAGTTTGAGTTGCTCACTCACTCCCTGGCTGGCTGTGGCAGGCGAGCGTGCTGGCAACCTCGCGACCGCCTGGGCCTGCTGGCAGGGCGAGATTCATATAGTTACCGGGCGCCGACGACCATGAGCCCGACTCCGACTGCGTCTGCGTCTGCCACCGAGTGCGCTTCCCGCCCTCGTCTTTCTTTTCCTTGCTGACTGACTGACTGGCTGAGTGCTTCCAGTTCGCGGCGCCGCGGCCCCAGCCATGCTGTCCAGCCCCCACCGCTGGTGACGTCCTTGAGCGGGCTGCAGTTCCAGAGCAGCACCAGCAGCAACAGCAGCAGCAACGGCGGCGGCGGCGGTAGCGGAGCCGGATATCTCACACCCACGGCCATGAACTCGCCGTTCTTCCCGCCCGCGCCGCTCAGCGGTCTGGCCACGCCGCTGGCCTCACGTCCGGCCTCATACACCACCGCCTACAATCCGCAGGAATGGGGACCCATCGCGCCCGGCGGCGCGTCGCCCGTCGTGGGCATGGGCATCATCTCCGCCCCTGCGCCGCACCGCAGCCTCGTCGCCAGAGCCGGTGGTGGGTTGGCCCGTGTGGTGTGGAACGCCGTGAAGCTGTGCTGACCCTGCCCCGTATCTAGATGTGCCTGCGTCGCCCGGCCCGCCGCCGCCCTACTCGCCGCCGCGCTCACAGCCGCCCCAGCACGACGCCCGCGTCGCCCTCTCGCCGCAGAATCCTACGCCGCGGCCGCATCCGCGCGAGCTGGCGCCCGCTTCCGCCGTGCATCCGTATGCCGCGCCTCGTCCCCGGCCCACGTCCATGGTGCAGACCAGCGATCTCGATGGCCGCCCGAACCAGCCGTATTTCTACCCGTTGTCAGGCCAAAGAGGCCGTGACTTGCAGTCGCCCGCCCGGCCTGATCTCTCGGACGCGAATTCGCTCGTGGGCACATCATCCAGCCAGCCCAGTGTTCACTCCTCGCAGGGTCGTAGCTCGCCAGGCGACTATGAGGACGTGCACCATGCGCGTTTAGTGGCTCCGGGCTCAAGGAGGGCCGCGTCGACTGGCGACATCAATCCAGCGTCGTCTTCGAGGTTCACGCTGTACGCTGATGCGTTGGCGGCGTCGATGGGGCGATGGGCGCCGGGAATGCCGCTGCCTCCTCCACCGCCCGGCCCGCCTCCAGGAGCGTCACCACGAGTGCGTCCAGCTGTGATGGAGCCTGCTAACCAGACTGTCAGCGCAATTAACCGCAGCAGGCCGCCCCCGCCGTCCACGGGCACGGCCCTGGGCTCTGTTCCGCCAACTCCTGCTGGCTGGACTGCCACTGATTCCCGTCCCGCCCCGGCAGCTGAAGACCTAAGTAGCGACCAACATGGCTCCGTGCCTGTTCAGGGTACTGACAATCCACGGCCCTCCTTGCGTCGCACGTCCCTGAGCTTCTCGGGTCCAAGCACGCCGGTTACACGCCAAAATACCAGAAGAGCCCCAAGTCGGGGTGCCAACCCCAAGGAAATACGAGAGCGCCGCATCGAAAGCAGGAATGGAAAAGAACCAGAATCGCAGAGCCAGACTCCTGGCGCCGAGGAGGCCCATACATCCTGGCCGTCAGATCTCGTTCTAGGCAATCCTGGTGGCTCTGGCTTAGTTCGCCGGCGCACTGTCACCAAGTCCACGCCTCGCAGCGCACGGAGCCTTCCATCCAGCGGCCAAGAGAGCGATGGTTTCCCGAAGAGCCCATTCGGCAAACGGACTTCATCGACCACTTCTTTTTCAACTCCAAGGGCCTTGAATACTGCTGACTGGTCGCCAACGCCTCCGTTCTCGCCGCGAATATACCCAAAGTCACCAACACCGGTGACCGAGGGCACGCCCCAGAAATCATTACCAACGCCTCCGCCGCAGGCCCATAGACCTGCTGGACCTGCCGCGGGCCTAACTCCTATCATAACCGAGCAGATCAGGCCTGTTTCACATCTACACCTCTCAGTAGACGGGTCTCCTTCAGATGCTCCATTGGTCCCGAGGAAGGTAGCTATGCCGATGTTCACGCCGCCTTTATCTGGCCGTCGAGACGAGGCGTTTCTCCGCAACACAGAGCGTCGATATCGTGAATTTCTTGAGAAAGAAATTGATGCACGCACTGACTCGGAGGCTCTAGATGTTTTTTGTGAATTTATTACCTCGGAATCCCAGATTAGACGCCAGCGTTATTCGTCCGCTTGGGAGGACGGATCATTTGACCGCGTAGAAGTCGATCAAAAACTATTTCAAAAGCAAGCAGGTAGGGAAGAGCCGCCACATACTCCAGCATTGCCTCTGCTGAACACTGCGGGTCGAATGGATGGAATGAGTTCGGGGGCATGGGGCAATTATAAGCCAGCATTATCCCCAATAGCGAGTATGAGCATGAGCAACGATGAGATGAGTTCCCGCGGTAGGCCACCGAGCCGGTGGTGGGAATCGCAAACAGGCTCTGAGAGCGGCGAGAACTGCCAGGGGGTGCACCGCTCAAAACGCGAAAGTAAATATATGGGGTTGCCACTGCGCGGAGTTATGGAGCAAGATTACTGCACCTCGCCAGATGCTGAAGGCCCGCGGATGAACCCCAATAATCCATTTTCAAATTACGGACCCAATGAATATCCTGCAGAGAAGACAGGCTGGCATGACGAGCCTGGTAGCTCCCAGGCCCCGGCTCGCCAGCTATCACTTAATCGTGAGTTTCCAAAGCTAGACATATCTAGACTCGTGACTCTCCCTCCTCCATATCCTAGACATTATCCCGGGGTCAACAATAATCACCCCGACCTTGGCTTCTATCGCACAACCGTCAGATCCGTGACCGATCTGTCTGAGGTACGAGAAGCCTGCCAAAATCACCAAATCAAGTTCCAGAAACTGCGAGACGACTATCAGAATAGGCTTAAAGAGGAACGCCAGAGCTTCCGTCTCCGCGTAAACCAGGCCATTGAGGAAGGAACAATTTCCTATGCCGAAGCCGCAGAAGCAGAGGCGGGACGGAGAGGGTCCGAACGGGAGGAGGAAAAGCAGCTGGCGCAAAGTGAATTTGACTCCTACCAGGAGGAAGTCCTCCGTCCCATTCAGAGTGTCCTGAAGGACCGCATAAACGTTATCAGCGCCTGTATTAATGAGCTCCAGGATAAACTGTTTGATTCTGCCGAGCGTGAGAATCCCAACCAAGCGCAAGAGGAAGGCGACGAACGGCCCGAATTGCTGGAGAGGCTGACACAGCTAAAATGGCTGTTCGAGGCCCGTGAGCAGCTGTACCGCGAGGAGTATGATCTCCTTAGCAAGTATAATGAGAAGTTCAGAGCTGTGGTCTCTTTGCCGTATCGCCAATCGAACAACTTGGAGAAACTGAAGGAAACGGATAATTTCTTCATTCGAGACGCTCAGACTCGGCAAACCACATTTGCATCAGAGACACTTCAGCGATTCGAGAACTTCATGACCGTCATTGAATCCAATGTTAGCCGCGGCGTGGAGATCCAGCTCTCGGCTTTCTGGGACATTGCCCCGTCTCTCCTTGCCGTTCTACAAAAAGTGCCCGCCGACCTTCGCGGATTTTCAGTCAAGATCCCACTTAACGAATACGACGAAAATCCCAGCTACTACCAATACCCACTGCAATACCTCTACTCCCTCCTCTCGCACGCCGAAAAGGCTACCTATCAGTTCATCGAATCGCAGACCAACCTCCTCTGCCTCCTCCACGAAGTCAAGTCCGGCCTCATGAACTCCAACTGCAAGTACATGGAGATCCAGCGCCTCAACTCCGGCGAGCCGGCAGAGACGGTGAAGGCGGAAATGCAAGAATCCTTGGCCGAAGAGGAGAAGGTGCTGACGGCAGATTTGAAGGAGAAAGTGGGCATGGTGGATGGCCAGTGGCAGGAGGCCTTGGGATCGCAGTTGGAGAGTGTGAAGGGCAGGGTGCAGCGGTGGCTGATGCAGGAGGGTGGATGGGATGGGATTTTGCAGATAGAGCAGAGCTAAATTTACAAAAAAATGGGTAGGGAGGGTCTGGATGTATTGTGTTTTTATAATCTTTCATTCTTGGGCCAGCTTTTTGGATTATATTCTCGATATTTCGATGATTTTGGTTACTGTCGTTTTTGCCATCCGCGAGAGATACCCCATTCGTTTTGTACCGATAACTAACTATCATAACATTAAACCACCACTTGTGGTTGCAGAAATGAATGAATGATGACTTACAAGGATAAAGGTTATGTTCTTGACTCCATTCTAAATATTTCTGCGCAGCTCTGATATTCACAATCTGTCTTTGGCCTCAGAATCCTAGCATGGTCACGTGCACAGGCACTTTTCTCTTTTTTCACATCCAAGTCTTCTAGAGCTTTCCAACACTTCACACAAACCCCCAACCCAACTGTACCTCCAATCTCCCCTCCCCCTCCCTCTTTTATCTTCCTGTATTCGCTTATATTTCTATTCTTGTGTGCTAACTAGCATCATCAATTCGCATACACTCTCTCAGTCAATTGTAAGTACCCAGCCCCTCTCTCCTCACCCACTGTTACTGTGTATCCTCATATGATGAAACTTTCGCTGGCACCAGTCCTAGAAAGATTTGTTCTCTGTTTGCTGCGGATTGCGTTTAATGGCTTTCAAGCCTCTTTCTGATTTCTGGGTTTCTTGTCCCGATGTTTTTCAGGAGCACTTTGTTCTGTTGTGGACGTTCTTGCTGACCCTTGCCTATAATACCATTCAACAGAATCACAGGTTTTGTAGTTCAGCGCGCTTCTAGTGGCAATTGGCCTTTGATAATAGTGCCACGATGGTGCTTCATAATCCTAACAATTGGCATTGGGTGAACAAGGATGTGTCGGCATGGGCAAAGGAGTATCTTGGGACAACGCTTCCGAAGATCACTGCTGAGCAAGATGGAGTGACAGCCAAGATATCAAAGATTAATAGCATGGATGGTGATGTTGATGTTAGCCAGAGGAAGGGAAAAGTTATCACACTCTTCGATGTTAAATTGCAGTTAGAATTTGAGGGTATGTCAAGTGTATTTAGGGAGAGGCATTTATTCTTTGGAATACCTGCTGATCTGGGGTTTATAGGTACAACACAAGAAGAAGATGTTACTGGGTCTATTACAATCCCAGAAGTGGCACATGACACTGAGGAAGATGAGTATGTTGTATGTCTTCCCTTGCACTTCAAAATTCATTTGTGCTTCACGATTGTTCGGGGTGCAGGCTTTCTGACACCCTCAACCAGTTTGATATCAGCCTTTATTCCGACTCTTCTTCCAAGCAGGTCGTGAAAGATCTGGTTCGCTCGAAGATCGTTCCGCAACTACGCTCCGAGCTTGCGAAATTGGCGCCCGCCCTCATCGCAGAGCATGGCAAGGATATCCAACATGCCCCCGGATCCAACCCCTCCAGTGGTTTTGCTACCCCAAACTATCTGTCCAACCAAGCACAGGCTGCCTCACGGGCCACCACACAGACCACGACACCTGCCACCAGTAAACGATCTGTGAACACGACTACTGTCCACGCGACGGATGAGTTCCGCACTACCGCCGAAGAGATGTACACAACCTTCACAGACCCTCAACGTGTAGCCATATTCACTCGTGCGCCTCCCCGGCGCTTCGACGGCGCCGAAGTCGGCGGCCAGTTCTCGATTTTCGACGGCAATGTCAGCGGCGAGTTTGTGAAGCTGGAAAAGCCCACCCTGATCGTCCAGAAGTGGCGCCTCGCGCAGTGGGCAGAGGGCCACTATAGTACGCTGGAGATTCATTTTGACCAGAATGACGTTGACTGTGTAACGGCTCTCCGCGTGAAATGGGACGGCGTCCCGGTGGGACAGGAGGATGTTGTCCAGCGTAACTGGGATGTTTATTATGTCAGGAGCATCAAACAGGCCTTTGGGTAGGTGATATCATGCTTTGGATAGATTTATGCGCGCATGACACTGATTGCTTTTTAGATTTGGTACCATTCTTTGATGGAAGAGGCGTTGACAGCCCTCTGATTAGTCCTGGCAATAGACATTGTGGTGGTTATTCTGGTAGCAAGCAAGGAAAGGCCATTCCAACCTGAATGGAGCGGGTTTTTTTGTTCAACATGCATTTGCTCCGGAATCGAAGCATTTGTTTTGAATTCATCTAGGCCTTGCGCTAGGCGGATAAAGGGAACACGGGGCCGGTTATAGAGAAGTCTGCCAGGAACGAGAACATGAATAATGTGAAATGCCAAATCTGCGTGATGAATCCGTAAGGAGTAACTATCGAATTCGCCATTCATCTTAAGCCTGTAGACAGCCTCGGGCTTTGCACTGCAAACTGGTGTCCAACCTCATAAATAATCTTGTCCTCCCAGAGATGGACGCGCAAGCCAAGGCTGGATGGCGCGTTCACCCCGAAATCTGGCGGCGATTGCGATCCTGGCCACCCACCCAGCTCCACCAGCGAGGGTTTCCTCCCCGCGCCGACTGCGACCGTGAGAGTTCTCTGCGCTTGAGTGCCATCAGATGATGCCGCTCAGCCAGCGCCAGCATGTGATGTGACGGTCAGACGTGCCTGGGCGCCACAACCCGCGGATCTCCCCGCGGCACCGGAGGCGATTCCACCACGGCTCCTGCCACCTCAGGGCCAAAGAGAAGCTGGAGAAGACGACGACGACGACGACGACGACGACCGCGGCCTCGCCCGTGGGGTGGAGTTCGCCCCCAATAGTGAACGCCGCCGGCAAACCGCCACAGCCCGCGTGATATATCTATCCGACAGTGCGGATGCCCTGTGCCTGCTGGACTCGACGCTTCCAGGGCCTCGAGACACACTTGCCTTCTGCCCTTTTATTGGAATACCCCCGTCATCATGTATTCCTCCTTGAGGCTCTTGTGCACCATTCCTCTCCTCTGGAGCGCCACGTTGGGTGCTGAGGCCAGGGCTGCGTCACGGCAGGAGGAGACCCTGGACCAGTGGCTGACGACGCAGAGTATCGTTTCTCGTCAGGGTATTCTGGATAACATTGGGCCGAACGGGGCTAAAGTCAGCGGTGCTCATGCTGGTATCGTCGTTGCAAGTCCTAGCAAATCCAATCCGAACTGTATGCCTCTCTCAATGCCTTGTTTCCCACTCCTCCCAGGGCCCGTTTTAACTAACAGTTTGGATTCTAGACTTCTTCACGTGGACTCGAGATGCAGCTTTGGTCTATAAACAACTCGTCGATGCGTTCATTGCCGGAGACCACGATCTACAGGGGACCATCCATGACTACATAGCGGCTCAAGCACAGCTGCAGACTGTTTCGAATCCTTCCGGAACTCTATCAACGGGTGGCCTGGCAGAGCCAAAATATCATGTGGACAAGACTGCGTTCACCGGCAATTGGGGACGGCCCCAGGCGGACGGCCCTCCACTGAGAGCCACCGCGATGATCTCCTATGCCAAATGGCTTGTTGTACGGAAGGCTTTACCCATAGCTTGGAGTTTGTACAAGTATTGACGTGGGCTTAGGACAATGGCCACACATCAACAGCAAAGTCGATCGTTTGGCCAGTCATACAAAATGATCTTTCATATACCAGTCAATTTTGGAACACTACTGGATTTGGTATGTGGTTCTTGTGCTCAAGAAAAATGGAGTTTTCTAATACGATGTAGATTTATGGGAAGAAGTCAGAGGATCGTCGTTCTTTACCGCGATCGCGCAATATCGCGCCCTCGTGGAGGGTGTTAACCTTGCCCGACGTCTGGGACTAACGTGCCCTAACTGCGAATCACAAGCCCCCCAGGTACTCTGCTACCTGCAATCTTTCTGGACCGGGTCTTTTATCCTAGCAAACTTTGGTGGAGGTAGATCAGGCCTTGATGCAAACTCCATTCTGGGTGTTATCCACAACTTTGAACCTGAAGCTGGCTGTGATGACAACACATTCCAGCCATGTTCTCCAAGAGCACTTGCAAATCACAAGCTGGTTACAGATTCATTTCGCTCTATCTACCGGATCAACTCCGGAATCCCAGGTAATAAAGCGGTTGCAGTTGGTCGATATTCTGAGGATGTCTACTATGGAGGACAGCCTTGGTACCTCACAACATTTGCTGCCGCTGAACAATTATACGATGCAATACATCAATGGAAACGCCTTAATGAGATTAAGATCACCGACGTCTCCCTGGCCTTTTTCAAGGCCATTTACCCCGCTGCTGAAGCTAAAACGTACCCATCATCCGGTCCAGATTTCCCCAAGATTCTTGCCAGTGTCAAAGAGTATGCCGACGGATACATGGGCGTTGCGGTAAGAGTATCAACCTTTTTTTTATCAAATTTCCTTCTGACCCAAAGTAGAAAAAATATACGCCTTGCTCAGGCAAACTAGACGAACAGTTTTCCAAGGTTGACGGAAAGCCGCTTTCTGCAACGGACCTTACATGGTCATATGCCGCTCTTCTTACAGCAAAAGAGAGAAGAGATTCAATAATGCCAGGGTCGTGGAATAAACAGCCTATACATGAGCCCGCTAAGACTTGTTCGGCAGCCTCTGCTACAGGCCCCTATCAAACAGCTACTGTAACAGGCTGGCCTGCAGGCTTAACTCCTACCCCAACTCAGCCCGCACCCTGTACGATTCCAGCTAGAGTGAGAGTCACCTTCCAGTCAGTTACGGGAACGGAATGGGGCCAAAATCTTTTCCTTGTGGGATCCACCTCTGAGTTAGGCTCATGGTCCCCTGAATCTGCCCTCGCGTTAAAGTCAGATAAATACACCAGTGCCTGCAATATGTGGTACACTGAGATAGAGCTCCCTGTGGGCGCCAGGTTTGAGTACAAATATATCCGCAAAACCAGTGATGGAAAAGTAATATGGGAGGGCGGTCCAAACCGACACTATACGATACAGAAAAAGTGCGGCGTTTCTGATTTCATTTTGAAGAGTGCTTGGAGATGAGTTCTTGTACTCAGCGGTTTTGGTATACAATCAGCTCTACGGCTAAAGAAGAACCGGGCGAGTTTTTATCGGTTACGACTTTGAATAGAAATCAGGCTCAGGAAGTGTGATCTTCCTCATGGTAGACTACCTTTTTTTTGTATACCTGAGCATCACAAATCCAAATACACATCCTTTTGATGGTTGATTATTGCACACTCCTTTCCTTGTGAGCCCTAGGGATATTCAGTATTGATAGATGCACCTACCAGATCATTTAACTCAAAGGCGTTAAAGGTACTCTCTACATACTAGGTTGACCGTAGCCTTTTTTAGTGTGCTGCAACACACCCTCTCAAGGGAGAAGGCCTTTGGTTAAATGTCCTACATCATGTATACTTAAAGGGGCTTGTTCTGGGGCACTACCAGGTACCTGTCACTGTCCCTACTCCCAGATAACCTTATGCCTAAACGGGTTAAAGGTAGTGACAGGCCGTCGCTATATAGTTAGTTAGCTATGACGTCAGTGCCCGTACTATGGCTACCAAATGCTTAACTAAAGTAGAAATACGACAATTTTTACGTATCGAGCACAGCTTAACAAAGCTGACACGAAAGACTTTTATTGCTGGAGAAGATAGGAATAGCTAGGTTTATTACATAGCAGGGGTAGCCTCCAGCGCTATGCCTACAATATAAAAGGCAAATGCACACATTAAAGGCATAATTTTAGCAATCTACAAGCACCCTTTCGATTGACACAACTTTGCTTTCAACCAAGCAGAAAAATGACGGCTTCTATCCCTGCCACTACCCGTGCCATCTTACACAAGCCCGAAGATGATACGCTGAATATTATCACCCGCCCTGTAGCAATGCCCAACTTCGAAGCAGACGAACACCTCATTCGCGTACACGCCACTGCTCCATGTGCTGGTGAACTCACTTGGTGGAAATTCGGTATCTCCAAGCCCGCCTCTGATCACGTTCCTGGTCAAGATATAGCCGGTATAGTGGTCCTTGCCCCTCCAAACTCGCAATTCAAACCCGGTGATGCCGTCTACGCCCGAATCCCCTGGGACCGACCGGGTGCATTGCAGGACTATACGATTGTTTTTGGCTCCGAACTAGCGCAGTCTCCAAAAAACTTGGACTTTACAAATGCTGCGACTGTGCCAATGAGCGCACTAACGGCGTGGCAGGCCATTTTCGACAAGGCTGGGTACTCAGGGCCCGATGACGAGATGATTAAGGGGAAAACTTTGGCTATCACTGCTGCGAGTGGGAATGTGGGGATGTGGGCCGTACAGCTGGCAAAGATTGCCGGATTTCAGAAGATTGTCGGAACCTACGGGGGTGGTGAAGGGATTGCGTCGCTGCTAAAAGAGCTGGGCGCAACGGATTTGATTGACTATAAGAAAAGCAGTTTTGCGGAATGGGTATCTCAGGATCCGAGGAATAGGAAAATTGATGTTGTGTTTGACTGCTTTGGAAAAAGTGCACTAGCTGATGCTTGGAGTGTTGTAAAGAACGGCGGACGTCTTATCAGTGTGTGCGAGCCTCCAGAGACGCGAAAACCTGCCAATTGTGAGGCAAAGGACGTGATGAATCTTTTTTTTGTGATGGATTCCAAACGTGGCAAGGACCTAGCACGAGTTACAGAATTGTTGGAGAGTGGTAAGTGCCGGGCATTCCTGGACTCAATCTACGACTTCAGTGATTTTCGAAAAGGGTTTGAAAGGGTCGAGGGCCGGCATGCGAGAGGAAAGGTTATTATAAAGGTCAATGAGAACTGAAAAACATGATAGAATTAATGAATATGGCTTGTCTGTCGACTTATTGCATATTTTTTCCATTCACTTGCTTTTGTTAGCTATGGTTCTACAGGTATGCGGTTTTTGTTTCATAAAAGTGACATAACTGAATATTTCAAACAGTCCTCTCAATCATTTCAATACCATAATCTTCCTTAAGAGCCTTAATCAAAGGAGCGCAGATTTTCATGGACATAGGGGCCAGAATTCCCTATACCGCAAGAGTTAATTTAAAGAAAAGATTTTCACAAAGAATTGAAAATAGTGAACATACCTTCTCGCTGATTGTTCCATCAAGTACTTGCTTAACAGCCACGGCACAGGGTACACCTACCAGTCTAGCCATGGATGAATAGCCCTTTGGATCACCATAGTCACATAAAGTGCTTGTTCTTGTTTCCTTGCTACCATCCTTGTGCTCAATTTCAAATCTGTGTTGAAGCATCACCATATCTCTCTCATCAGAGCCATACTGCATCTTCTGCTCCAATGTTGCGCACAAGGTATCCAGTGCATTGCCACGGGGAATAATCTTTTCGTCAGAGAAAAGACCAATCCAACGAAGACCAGCAATAATGCGGTGCTTTTCTTCGGTGGATGGAAATTCGGTCTTGGAAGAGATAGCCCAGGAAAGATCCTTCTCCTCCGATGACGTGGCTCCGAGGACCTTCATAGTAGCCTCTTTCCATGGGATGGGCGACTTGAGAAATTCCTTCGCATCATCATTGAGGAATCCGATGTCAACAAGGACTCGGATCATTTCAGGGAAACCTTGGAAGCGAAGAGTGCCCCGAATGATGGTCTGAGCTTCGGGGATACCATAGCGCTCTTTGTACATAGTAGAGTCACGGTTGGGATAAGCAACAAATGCGAATCCTGGGTAAATGAAGTACGGTTTGGCGGTTCCCATCAGCTCTTTTCCACTCACGGATTCAATCTTTCCATCTTTGTAGTATTTAGCATCATTACGAAGGGCAAGAAGAACACCTCTGCTTGACCAAGAAAATTTGTATCCAAGTGGGTTGTCAGAGCATTCGGGAGCGGGAAGTCCGCCGCAGTAGGAGAGGAAAGAAGTGATTTTGCCACCTTCTTCGTGAACCTACCATATACATAAGCAAATCAACGGTATCAATTAAGCTCGAAAATCATACCTCAGAGATAGTTTTAACAGCATAGAGGTGGTCAATTCCCTATTGAATGCCAAGCTGTTAGCTGTATATATATCTGCCACACCATCTATGGTTTAAGTGTACCGGGTCAAGACCGATCTCATTCATGACCGTAATGCCGGCTTCCTTGGCCTCCTTTTCCAGCTCCAGCATTGCCGGGGACACATAAGACGTTGTCACAACATTTTTCTTGGTCCGAATAGCAGCCTTAATAACAGTGGCGTGGTGCGTGTAAGGGATTAAGGAAACCACAAGGTCGTTCTTGGAGAGTTCAGTGTCGAGGGCATTGCTGTTGTTGACATCTAAGGAAATCGGAGTGGTGTTCTTGATGCCTTCACAGAGTTTCTTTGCGGATTCAAGAGTACGGCAAGCTATTATAAAACACAGGTTACTGACTGCTGTTTATCTAATGTATACTGGCTGTTGCGATACACATGGTTATCAACGGGTGCTTACCAACTGTAACATGGACTCCAGCATTGCCAAGGATCTCGACAGTAGGTTTTGTCACTGTCATTTAGGCGTGTCAGTCAGTCGATTCTATTGTTTAAAGGTATCTCTTACCAAACCCGCTCCCGAGGCTAAAATAAACAAACAAAACTCGTCAGTATCAAATACAGTCACGGTCTACCGGCTGCTTGATTGATTGAGGGCTTACAGCAACACTTTTCGGCCTTCGTAGGATTGAGGCATATTCCAATTGTTTCAGGACGTGAAATAACAGATTTAATGAAGCACTGGTAATCGATTGAGGTGGTTAGAGGATTGCAGTTCCAAGTTCCCCCACTTTGACTTTTCCCCTCCAGCTTATCGCGATAAAGTCGGTGATGACTCAGCAACCAAGAATGGTTGATCAAGGTAAACGGCGGTGTCGTAGGCAGGGTCTAATATTATACAGATCTAAAAACAAATGGAGATAAACAGAAATAAGCATAAACTTCGCTGTAAGGGAATGAAATTGGACAACAGGGTTCCGTTGACAAAGGCATATTTGGCGTCAGGCCTTCAATTACAAAGCTTTGATCTTCCCTAGGGCATCTTCATCAGAAGACCAACCGTTCTGCAAGCTCAATGAATACCCGTCGCGAGTACTAAGAGCACGAGCGTCATCTATGTCCCGGGTTCGTCCTTGTTTTCGAACCCGCCACTGCCATTCCAAAAGAATCGGCAAGAAATCCCAAAGGCCAAAAGACGGCCAGAGAGTATCCAAAAACACAATTTCAGTATCCTGATGACATTGCCAAAGCATAAAGTCACTTAATCGCTGTACACCTGATGTCCGGATTAATAGGTCTAGTGCTGGGTTATCGGCGGTAAACATATGGTCATTGAGAGTCTGGGTGGTAATGGTCTCTGGGGATAGGAAAATAAGCTGGTCGCTATTGGGAGGGTATGTAGTGTAGGGTCCGGAAACTGTAGCAGTCTTAAGTATCGTCTCAGGGGCCTGAATAGTTGTTGCGGAAGAAAGCGACGAGGGCGAGGCGGCACCGTGACAACTACCTCCCTCGTCCTCTGACGGGAGATCAAGCTCCCGACATTCTGGCTCGGCACTAGGTGTTTGTAATCGAATAGTTTCAGCAATTCGCGATTTCGAAAACTGTCTGCGGGAGCCATTCGATGCCGAGCGGTCAAGAGGTGTACTGTATTCGGTCACGGTATTTCGAATAGAGGCGGCAATCTCATCTCTCGATGTATAAGGAAAGCAGATATTGAGAATCGCATCACCATTTCGGCTCGTTACTTCAACGGCTCGATCAATAGCTTCCAATACATCAGGCTTAACCAACTCTCTCCTACCCAGTACTCGAACACTAGCACCATATCTATCAAGCAAATCGCCGTGTTGTGATAACTGTGATAGCTTCACCTTGGCCATCTCCATCAGTGCATCTACTTCGTACTTTGAACGTTTGAAATTCTCAATGCTAAACGCGTAGACAGTCACGACTTTAACGCCAGTTTTGTAGCACACCTCGAGTATCTACAACAGAATCCCAAATTAGTATACCGGTAGACAGAGAGTGGGTATAACAACATACTTTGGCTAACGCTTCGAACCCCAAATTGTGACCCTCTACCCTTTCGATAGCATGGTTCTTAGCGAATCTTCTATTTCCGTCCATCACGAAGGCCACATGTTGTGGGATAGGGCCTTGTTTTAGGGCCCCAATCAACAACTCCCGAACACCATTCATTCCCCATTCGACTGGCGGAGATGAAGCGAGCCATTTTCGCATTCTGGATAGGTGCATAGAGGATGACATTGTGACGAGGAGGTATTGGGGATCGCTCCAGGGTCCGACGGCTGTGCTCGACGTAAAATAGTAAATAAGCGAATATCAAACGGAATAACGAGGCCTGTATCGCTAAAACTAAACACTGATACAGAAAATGTGATTGAATCAACGTAGAGAAATGCCCCGACACTAGGAAGTTGTATGTTCAGCCGTCAACGCCGTGGGCCCGCCGGGGCAGGTTCGCCGGAAGGAACGAGCGGAAGAAACAAAAAAGTCGGAGGACAACGTTGTTTAATCGCCGCCACTCAATATAAGGTCTCCTCAAAGTGATGCCGGAGAAATACCGTCGCGTCGGGAGAGGATCACTCCGAGGATCAGCTAACTGAAGATTGGACAGCCGGTCGATCACGGACCAGGCGGAAGTGGATAGGGGGCCCGAAGAAGATGCACGAACACCGGAGGCCTGCCAGGAGGTCGACAATAAATATTAATGAATTATATAGATGAATCAAGGACAAGATGTTTGGCACTAGTCACCATGGCACCGCAGCTAGCGATTGGAGCTGATCGGCATACGTGGTCTTGAGGATATTTTTTTGGCAGCGAAGGTGAAGAACTGGACGCACCCGTCTTGGCGCTGACGTCTGTCATCCCGGAGGCTGAGGCGCGTAGCCAAGCCGGCGCAGCAAACAACTGAGAAGAAGAATGCTGGTGCCTATACTGGACAAAAGGATAAGATCAAAATACTAGGTACTCCGTAGTATTGTATGTACCTATACACCAGTAACTGAAGCCTTGAGTTGGTTAGTGATGCAACTACTTTTTAAACTCGGACGCCTGTCAAATGAACCGCCTGCTCGAATGAAGAATGGGCACCAACAAAGCAACAAACAAAAAATATCAACAATAGCCATGTATATACATGCGTATCAATATTGTTTGAGGATAACACATGGAAAAAGGCCAAAATAATCAACAAGAGGGCCACACTGATTATCATGTACTGTACAACCCACATTACCTCTGTTTCAGTGACTCCATCCGAACAGGGGACACGGATCCCGAGCTCGCCATTGACCACCCGCTATCCTCACTCTTACGCCGCCGTCGTCCACGCTCTCTCATAGCCCCACGAATTCGTTTGGTGACTTCCGCAAAACTTTCCTTGCTGTCCAAAGTGGTAAGTGCTTTAACAGGGAACCCTGCAGAGCCTACCAGACCACCGCTGGAGCTAGTTCGACTGTGACTATCGCGACTGGGAGGACGTGTAGAGAAAAACCCAATGTTGGCAAGGTCATGGAAGGACTCATTTCTTGGGAGATGATCGTCGGCGTTAGAATTCTCGCCGTCCATCTGGGGTTCAACAATTTCTGGCTTGGGTTTAACAGGGCTATCATCGGTGAAAAATGTCTCTTTGAATGGATCGGCAACAATGCGTGTAGCATCGAAATCAGGGTACAGTTCAGGTCCAAAGGTATTGATCAGGGATGTGACATTTTCGGATAATTCTTGGCGCCGAATCCGAAGTTTATGGAGCGTATTCGCAGACGTTGGATTGAGTGACAGTACCAAAGGGCGGAGGGATTTAATGATATCCATTCCAACTTCACCGACTCTCAAGGCTGCAAACGTAACGGAGGGGAAAAAAATGAACCCAAAGGCCACCACCAACCATAGTGACACCCATTGGGGAACATATCCTTGCACACGGTTATAGTGCGTCCAATAGGTAAGAACAGCGGTATAGAAGGCGTACAATAAGGGCGCGAACGCTAGAGCAACAAGAAGTTTCCACGTAGCCATTACATCCCGGCCTTGAATTTTAACACTTGATGCCGCAAGTGCTTCTCTCGATTTTTTTATAGAAATCGTTTTCGTTGCCACAAACACAGGGGCAAAGAGGATCAGGCCAGGTAGCGTGGCGATGGTCATGACAGCAAGTTTAATGAGGCGATATATCAAAGTAGTGACAACCTTAAGAATCGAGAATTTTGCATACTCGACCTGGTGGTCCCGGATCCCAAGTAGCCACAGCTGTTTATTATATTCCATCACTGACTTTTTAACTTCAATGATTTTCGGATCATCTTTATAGTGTTCATAGCCTTTGACTAAGCGACGATTAAGCTCCACCACGACAGGAAGGGGCAGCTTTTTGCCAGTCGGATTGTATAAACGTCTGGCAGCTTGAATTAACTGTAGAGATGTGTCAGAGAAGTTAAAGAGGGGGGGAGGCCTGACATACCATTAATGTTTCGTAGTCCGTAGAAGTTACCGTGACGGAAACGAGGGCCTGGTAGATAGTACTTAATAGCGAACCAACCGCTTCGCGCCTATGACCATCCCGGTACATCTGAACGAGCTCTGGAGGAACTTCAATGGGGTTTCCAAATTCGATAACCGCTCGAGAACGAAATTTGTGGGCATGGAAGTAATTCATCCCACATGGCACGATCTTCACAGAACACTCAGGGTTTTCAGCCAAGGCTCCAAGGGCCATCAGTGCTACGCCAGCTTTTAAAGGAAGAAGGTCGGGGCGATCGTGACTACCACCCTCTGGGAAAATTCCAATGCAGCCGCCGTTGTTAAGCGTATCAAAAACCGCCCTGTAGACTTTCGTTTGATCAATATGAGGTGCCACCTTAAATTTGCTACCCTTAAAATTGGAATTGTCGTGATGTGAAGCTTCCCCAGTAACCCTCCCGTCCGTGGTAATGTCATGTCTGCCCGTCAATTGATAAATGGCGTCTCTAGTCCTGAAGGGCTTCTTCAAAATTATTTCTTCGGGACCACGTATTTCGCTGATATCTGTGCTAGCAGCCTGTCCATTGACGGTCGGAAGTGTAATTGTCCCACCAACTTGAAATTCCGGGTTCTCAAAATTGGTACCAATTCCCCGTAAAACTGTGGGGTTGTTGATGGGGTCAGGCAGATATATAGTTCCCCGACCTGGCTTCATATTATCCATTGCTCGAGAGACGGGTACAGCGCCAGAAGCCCTGGCAAGTATCCCGATGAACTTTCGCCGGAAAGATTTCTCCGCGATAAGAAAGGCAATCCGTCTCTGTAGCTCTCGGCGCACAACACGCATTAAAATCAAGGAGTCCACGAACTGTTCCGTAGATGATGAAATGAACGCAGTTAGCCGAAGAACATTCTCGCATGAAAGTAGAGGATTGGTATGGCTGGTTTAGCAAGGAGTCATATCGCACCTGATTCGCATGTGGAGCAGCAACAAGTATCACTGCGCCTCTTTTAGGAACTTTCCAAGATCCTCGGGGATGTACTTCTCGAAAAAACAAATCTACGAGCACTGAGAATAACCATAGCATTGTGTCGTACACCCATGCCACCATGGGCCGATACGTTGGGGCTCCCGCCATTATGGAAAAGCTCGATGGTCCAGATTAGAAATTTCTTAGCCTCCCTGGACGGACTTCCACTTGGACGGTTAATGTCGTGTTTCTATCATAGAGAGGCTACTGCCGATAATGCTTCCGGATCGCGGTACCGGTAATATCAATGGTAGCAACACAGACTGCTGTTATGGCAGTTGAGATAACAAAAATCTTCGTATGTCCACGGACAGCTGAGGAACGGGGCAGGGTCTTCCGCAAGCTGCTCAAAAAGGTGCTATTGAACTGTTTGGAAGAAGTACAATGTTAATTTGGCACATTCCAAATAATAGGAAACTGGTGGGAGGAGTGGGTGAAATACAAAAAACCGCATTATCCCCTCGTTTAAAATGTTTGAATCCGAGCCACTACTGGTAGGAAGGAAAAGTGAAAGCGACTCAAGCGAAGGCCTAAATCTAGGCCTTGATCTTGGTAGCTCCGGCTGTGGGGGAGCACGAGAGCGTTTAGGCTCGGTAGGGTGGGATGGGGGGAGTGGAGAAACAGAAAGGAAGAAGATGGAGAGGTGGAAGCTCAGCGCACGTCGGTCATATCATATATAAGATTGCTTATCTGGCGAATCTTGCTGGAGCGCATCCAACGTCGCTTCATGCCAACACGCCAAAGCTGGAATTGCCCGCACCGCGCTAACTAACTAACTAGGCCTGATTTGGCATGGCGTGTGCGTGCCGCGATCAGACTTCCGTCAGCCCGCCTTGCATGCCGCCTTGTCGAACCCTCGACTGTAGCACGAGAGGGCCGGAAAGGGCGTGGATGGCCTCCAAAGTGCAGCCAAAGTCTATGGTCTGGATAAATGGCAGCTGCAATCGCTCCCGCCCTCAACCCAGTGTTTATCTGATATCAGCCCCAAATGCCACGACGCAATGCCCTCCATGTGTTTTTAGCAGCTGAGCGGGACCGACAAGAAACCGGCTTGCTTCAGCTGTTTTCCAAGCTTCCTAAAACACCCAGCACGCGACACCCGCGATGCATTTTTTATTGCTTTACCGTCTGGTTGTTTAAATCCTTGACTATCCCGCTATACCATCTCTCGAGCTTCAATACGTAAAGCAGGGATTGTATCCAGACACACGTAACTACGCCTAGAATGCGGGTACTCCATATGCTATTATTGTATATGAATGTATTACACACTTAGCATCTGATTTGATCTCCATCAAGTGCTCCGCATGGAACTTCCAGATCGAAATGTGCATGCATGCCCGGATAGGTAACTAGTGAGTTGCAATTGGTTGCGAACTGGGCCGAGCTTAGCCGCCCCTCTCTTCTTGACTGAGTCTAGAACGATAGATGCGAAGCCTAAGTAGAGGCCACGCGCTACTACTACTTGCTCCATATACAGGCACAGTGGCACACGATAATATTTTGCGGCTTACTCGACAGCTTTATGTAAACTCTAAAGGAGCTTTAGGATGTTTTCCTTCCCAGTACAGAGCAGACGTGACGCCTTATGCCTATAATAGAAAGCGCTATAGTTGCATGCGATCTTCTAGGTCAGAACAGAGATCTTTGTTTTATGCTTCTTGAAGGTTTCCGTCTCATGTACTTCGTAAGTATCCCTTGAAGAAAACCGGAGCTTCTGTCTGCGATTTTGAATCATAGATATGACGTCATGATTACCGCCAGTTGATGCGCCGAGTCATGTTAATCTCTTCACATATGTACTGGTGAAAATATGAAAAGAATTTTGTTCGTTAGTTCCTGATTTCCCTCGGGTGTACCACTTGGGAAGAGTTCTACCAGCAGAAAGCTAAATAATGCTCTCGACAATCCAGCTTGGTCAAAGGAACGGCACTACATCGCAAAGATGTTTATTTAGTCCTTCCCTGAAAGTCTAGCTCCATCCTTTTCATTCTTTCCATATAGTGTCGGTCTCTGACCTTCCACCGGTTTTCCCACTGCTCTTCCACCTCGTTTCTGACTGTTTGAATTTGAGATTCCATCCCCTTCTCAAGATGTTCAAGCCTCTGGCGTAGATCGTCAATAGTAAAGTCCCGTAACTTTAGCTCCTTGCGATAGACCTGATCTAATTCGTTTAGCCTTTCTCTCATTGCTGCCAATTCTTTATCTCGTATATGAAGGGCTTTTCTATGATCCCGATCAATGCTGCGAATGAGCCGTGTATAATGGATACTGATGTCGTTCTCCGAATCCATTGATGGCGGTGCGGTCCCATCAGCATGGTGCTCTTCGATCCTGACCGGGCTTTCAGGAATCAGTATGTTTGAGCCGTCATTTTTTAGTGAATCCTCAGGACCTTTAGCCTCCTCAGGGGGTGCCGTTCGTTTGAAACTGTGAGGGAAACTTCCAATGACATTCAGCCCAATATTTACCGGATATCCGGAGCTGCAGATTCGGGGCTCTGCAGAACGAGTGGCACGAGTGTCTTCAGCTTCTTCAGCCGAAATACCTGCTGTCTGAAGTATTTCAGTCGAAAGTTTGGGTAAACGAACTCCATTTCGTCGTCGAAGCGGTGACGAAAGTGCTTTCAAATGACTGTATGCGCGTTCCGGTATGTTTCCTTGTGAAGCAGACCTCTTTTTCGCTAAACATAGTTTATCTGGGCCTGGATGAAAGGACATTGACCTTTCAACTGTCTGCTCATTGCCAGTGACTGTGGAGCCATGCTCTCTGTTTATCGCTTCATGTAATGGCGTTGATGAGCTGATAACACGTTCAGAGCCTACAACGGCTCCAGGTACCCCATCGGGAAAAGAGTGGGGTGGGGGCGAGGAGTACGCAGGCAGATCGTTCTGCTCCAAAACAGAGATTTTCGACGCATCTCGATTGATGTGAAAGAGCTTCCCGCCAAGAACAAGGTCGACGCTGCGAATACTCCTCGCCTCTTCTTGCAAGGTTCCAATGGTCAACCCCGTCCGTGTCGATATAACACTGGAGGCTCGACTCGGCCGTGGTCCAAATGAAATCGTTTCGATCGCTGGAGGAATGAAAGTGAGGGCAACAGTTGTCTTGACTCGGAGTTCAAAGAGGTGAATTCCGTAGTCATACGGGCTAAGGGCAGGGAATCCGACTTCGCTTGAGGCCGGGTTTCTGGACGCTCCATGTTGAATAGCGGATGGGGAAATAGAGCTAATATATAACTCTCACCAGGTTAGAATCGCTCGAAATAGCAATAGTCTTCACTATCAAATGTCACCTATTTCCGTGTACTATACGAGCTGTACTCAACATTAGCAACTTATATATCTTTTTTGAACCTGAGTTATTTGTGTTTTTAGGGACTGTGACGTCTGGGGTTGCTTTTTGTCTCCCAGCCAGCAGGCAGCAATGTGGGGAAATATTGCTAAGGCTGAAGAGGGCATAAATACGACTGCAGCACACTAGTTAACTAGTTAGTTAATCAACTAACTAGCCAGTCATTCCCAGCATGAAGTATACGGCACTTCTAGGAGCTCAAGCAAAAATACCGTGCTAGTTTCCATCTGTGAATTAAGCCTGTTCTTGGTTTGGGCCATTTTCGCGGACATAAGAAAGGTTAGTTATACTGGCGTTGAAGTTCCTCCAAAACTGTGTGATTTGTATATACTGGCATGCTAGCATCGCCACAATGTAGTCGATAAATAACTTTCCGTGGTATATCTTGTGCCCTAGGGATTTGGCAGAGTTTAATGTAGTTAGTTAACTAACTAGCTAGTTAGAACTTAGTGGTTAAGGTTGGGGGGGAGAGCCCGGAACCACGAATCCATCCACAAGCTCACTTCGACCACGCCGTTAGGGACACTCGGATATCTCTAAGCCAAGGGGCGTCTATAAGGCACCCTGACATTGGCTGTCAACGGAACATCCGAAAAGGAGGGCTAGGAAGGAAGACGTTTTGACCGTCTCATTTACGAGACATACCTTGGCCTCCTGTGATCCATTCATTAGTTATTCCCACCCGCAAATATCCTATAACTACTACAACCGACCCGCTGTCCCGGACCTTCTAGTTGATTCGGCCCGCTTTAACTGGCGATCGAGGCATCCCGCATTAGGCGCGGTAACCTCGTCTTTTTGGCACAAAGACCGTCTTCGAAATAGAAAAGCCACAACAACTGCCTGGATCCCTGAATATTTTTCAAAGGCTATTCCTACTTTTTGAAAATGTCTATAAAGTACGTTGACAAACCCCCGCTTCCTTCATCCCTCTCCCCAAACCCTATACATACAAACCGATGATACTGTCGTAACTACCCCGCCGTGATGCCCTAATACTGTTGAGGTTTTATACCCAAGCACCATGGGCCGTCCAACATCGCCGCAAAAGTTTCCGAAGAGGTCAATACTAAGCAAACTACGCACACGCAGCTGGGTAATGCTCAATGAAGCGGATGGTTTTGTCCGTCTGCCAAACGAGCGACTTATATACACCTCCCCACCCCGGACAAGCATCAGTCTGAACAGCATCAATTCAAATGCTGGAGACGAGTCTTTAGCGTTGCAAAGCAGTACTGGCTGTGTGCATCTTACAAACCAACGAGTATGCACTAGGCATATAGCTAATTGACTAAACCAGACTATGCTGACTCAAGGATAGATTGTCTATCTCCCTGCAAATCATACCCCAGAATTTCAATCATTCTCTGCGCCACTTCTAAATTTTCATGACACTCACGTTTCAGCTCCGTTTTTTGGCCCCAACGTATGGACGGCAGTGGTTCAACCAGTTGTAGGAGGCGGTATTCCATCATCGAACGTCGCCGTGCAGTTGAAGATGACATTCAAAGATGGCGGCGCTTTTGATTTCCATTCCGCTTTCGAGAGAATAAAAGAACGGTTGCAGCAAGTTGTTGAGCAAGCACGGGAAAGTGGGATGGTCTCTGGCCGAGGACCGCAGCATACGGGTGCGTATGAGGGCGTCAATTTCACAAACGTTCATCTCGAGGACCTTCCAGCCTACGAAGGCCCAAATTCAATATCAACTATTTCACCGCCTACTTTCTCAGAAACATTGAGCTCGAACAATGGCGTTCAGACGCAGAGCAATTTGCGGCAGGGTGCGGTTGGGGGAGCGTTCGAGCCGCCTACAGACCCTCCTCCAGGTTATGAAGAGACCCAACGGCAAGGAATCGCTACTGATCTTGAAGACCGGATTCGTCGAGCTCAGTAATCTTAGCTCCCTGGCCCTTTGGGAAACAAGCATTGACCAGAGTGGAGGGTAAAGTGCCTGATGTGTAGCCGGGGACGCAGTATGTTCGATAATCAAGATGTACGTATTAGTGCGCTCATCAATTCAGCATCCTTATCTCAAGAGTATAATATATATATATACATAGTCGGGGTATTCAAGAACACTGTCTCAACATAACAAAAAGAGTAAAAGTCGAAGCTTAACACGTCAGATTTTGGGTCCATGCCTCGGCACGGAACGGAAGAACATACCTTCCGTGCCAGCCAACCACGTGTGGCCCAATTCCAATCGGCCAATCACGCCCGCCAATCGTGTTAGTAATCTGGACTCCCCCAATGTGCAAAATGCAAGCAAAGCGAAACTCATCGAGACGTCTATTCGAAGAGTCGACAGGACGAAAGATCAATTGACTCCCCGCCCATCCCTAATCGGCTCTCTCTTACCTCAAACCTCCCCTACTGCACATCAAAATGGGCCTATCGGAGCTTTTCGCCGACTTCGTGAGCGCCGTCGGCTTCACGGAAGTCCAGGCTGAGGCGCCGCCTGCGGAGGATACTCCTGCCCCAGTCGAAGAGGCTGAGGAGGACGCCCCCGAAGCCGCTGCCGAAGAAGCCGAGGAAGCCGAGGAAGAGGACGCAGAAGAGGAAGAAGAGGAGGAGGAGGAGGAGGAAGAGCCAGAAGATATCAAGCCCAAGTTGGAGGAGGGTGAGTTCTTACGCTCTGCTGTTTTGAGCTTTGGTTCTGTCGACAAGATTGTTGGAGCGTCGAAGCGGCCGGATGGTTTTTAGAAGCCATGGGTTTTTTCGTCATCGACGGCTGCCAATCCTGTCTCAATAACCAGAGCTCTCTACGCATGTAGCTAACATGAAATTGCGATGCATAGAATGCGCCAATTCGAACCAATGCGCCCCACACAAACATCACTTTGATGAATGCGTCGAGAGAGTTACTCGAAACTCCGAGGACCCTGATTTCAAGGGACCCCACGAAGATTGTGTCGAGGAGTGTAAGGCTTCCCCGTGCTGCTTTTACCCATTCAATCGCCGCCCCTCAAAGTAGTGATCGGTGGCACATATATTATGTGAATGCTAATTGTGCATAGTCTTCCATCTACAACACTGTGCTACCCAGTGTGCCGCTCCCAAATTGTGGGCAGCTCTCAAGTAAAAGACGAGCCGGCACGTTGTTCCCTCCTCTCTTAAGATTAGAATCCTACGACATATTTTCCATCAGCGGTGGTTACAACAGCGTGTATGTACGTTTCGAATACCACAACCTTGATAAGTCGGCAGAGAGGAGATGTGCGTGTACAGTATATTTATATTGGATCAAAAAATCAAAAAAAATATTCGAACGCAACCGGTATTAACTTCCCTGTCGGGGTGGTTTACGTTACTATCCCGGATTTCCCAGTGTGCACCCCCATGCACTCCGTATGCGCATTTTGAAGGCCCCCCTATTTGGGATTTTTTAAGATCTTCTTGCTCTTTTTCCCTCCCACATTAGACTCTCCCAAACCATGTACATTTAAAAGAACTATCCAGGCTAAAAATAGAATGGTAACTTTTCATTTGAAACCCCATTTATTTACCATTGTATTGGTACGGGGTCGTTGGTGCATCGTGTATCGTTGCCCAAATGTACGGAGCGCGGAGCACTGGGTGCACGTAGATTATTTTATAGAATTAACAGGCGCGCTACTGTCGCCGAAGAAAAGTCTGAACAAGCAAATATACATACAAAAAAAAGGAAAAAAAACCCCAACAAGGTCTTATCATTGTTCAGTCACATAATATTTCCAAAAGCAGCGTGGTATCAGCCTATTTCAACAATTTCGAAAATACGCTATAAATTACCCGTGTTGTGATCCCCTGTTGCTGTACAAGTCACCCCTCTATCCGCGTTTCTTCTTGCTTTCGCTTGTTGTTCGGCTTCCAGCCTTCTCTTCCCCACCTTTCTACTCACTTGTCCAAAAATAAAAGGCGTAGGCACCACAATTGCTGCCATTACAGCCTGGAAAATAAGAGCTCGTTTCATATTCAGGGGTGGCTTTGCATTCGGGCTTGCCTTCAGCGCCGTCTCGATGAGAACAAACGCGGCACCGAATATCTGACCACCAACCCAGCAAAGCGTGCTGGGGATCTCAGGAGAAATTGGATATGTTATTTCGACGAGGTACTCAAGAATTACGGGGAGAATAGCAAAACTGGAAGCACCAAGAATAGAGGCAACAACGTAAGGCCCGGCGACGCTAGGTGACTCTGGTGCAAAGACGAAGCCAAGATACGAAAGCGCGATAATCGGTATGAGGACTCGAATCGTGCCTAAGTAATGTTTGTATTTGTCGATAATCGGGGAGCATATTGCAGCGGCAACGAGGCCGACGAAGATCAGGAGAGCGCCAGTGATGCCAGCCTCCATCTCGGAGAAGCCATGGGGCTGGAGAATTTGATTAAGAAGAGAAGAGATGCTGTTGAAAATGCCAATATATATGCTAAAGGGAAAGAAAACCAGCCAGAACTCAAGGGCATACATGAGCTTGATGAGACTTTCGCGCAGAGGAATCCGGGCTACGCCAACAGCGGGATTAGGGGGTGTGGGCGGAAGAGAGGGAATAAAGAAGGAAGGAATGCACGCGACACTCGACTAATTCATCATCAGCAACGGGCATAGAATATCAGGATGACTAGGGGAGGTCTACCACTATCGAGACATAAAGCACCATATTCGGTACTTCGCTGGGCTTTGTCGCCCACATTGGGCCGATCAGCTGGCCCAAGGCGCCGCCTAGCGGGTTTGCCAGAGTCGCAACCGCGGTCGCGCTGGTTCGTCCACGATCACTAAACCAAGCATCGCTGTATCTCGTAGGGGCCGTCAAGACAAACGGCTGCGCGAATCCAATAATGATCTGGCCAAACATGGTCAGGCCGAACATGCCGTTATTCGCTTTTGTGCCCGCATACCGGACCCAGTTCCCGATCAGCAGCAGCGCGGCGCACGCAACGATCGAGGGCTTGGGCCCTCCTTTATTCAGAGTCCATATAACAATGCTGGTGTTGCAGCGCGTTAGCAGTGTCTTCGTGCCGAACGCCGGAAACTTAGCGACACTTACGGACTGGTAACGCAGAAAGCGAAGAGGAACCCGGTACTGAGCCAATTGATTGCACTCTCAGAAACATTGAAATATTGCGCCGATGTCTTTGACACTGCCGAGAAAGTGAGCCACTGGACAACTTGGTTAGCGTTTATTGTCGAATAACGGATTGGGCCACTCCTCGATACGGAAAAGGAGTCTCATATAATGAACATACATCCCAGCTGACAACAATATTCAACAGAACCAGCTGCCCCAGCCCAAAGAAGCGACGTTTGTACACCTTGTAGTCCCCTTCGATATGGGCTATGGAGGCTTCGGGGCTGGGGCCATCATCTTTGGTCTCCTTGATGCGACCCAATATCGGCTTCATAACATCTGGCTCCACGTTGTTTTGACGGCCAGAGTCCATGTTGTGCTCACTAGCATACCCAACTCACAGCTGTTGGGTTGCGAGGGAGAATCCTCCATGATATGTAAACTAGGTGCGGAGTAAGGGAGTGCGCTAGCAATGTCTGGAGTTTATTCGCGCTATTTTGGTTGACGTACTTTGGAACAGCCGAAAAGCTTCCAAAAAGCTTCATGTGAAATCACACTCGGAACCACTGAGTGCCTTGAGTTGACATAGTCCCAAAAGTAGCTACAAGTGTAGTGGTTAGTACTATGAGGTTTCCTTTGGTGTATGCATAGTTAGTTGAGCCACCAGAGTGACAGTCCTGGTGTCCCAAAAATAGCTAACTATCGCTAAAATGACACGCCAGCTTTACAAAAAATCTGCTGGATGGCTCCAACAGGATGAAAAGGATCACCAGTTTCTGCGCGTTGTCTAGTTAGTGGGTATCAATATGGAGGGGGCCAAGGCCACCTGGAACTCTTTGACAGAAGAGAATTAGGGAACTCGCGCTGGATACTCTGTACGGAGTAGTAGTAAGTTATGTCCATACGTAACGTTATTAGATTGCGGCTAGCCATAGCTTAGGACGATATCGCCATAGATAATAGACGGTTACACCGATGGCACCGTGAACTGCGAGCCTGCCATAGATAAAAGAGGCAAGGCACATCTCAAGACACGGGCGCCAAAATTAAAATCAACGGAAAAGGCCGTCGGAGACTCGATGTGGCATGAAGAGGCTGAGAAGAGCCAATGGACTCAGCCCACGATACTCCATCGGCGCCGAATATTGTCCAAGAAAGCTGCTAGTGGGCTGTTGATTGGAGTGTTTACCTACAAGGCTGGGTGAAGCTTCCGAGACGGACTGGAAAAGGTCACGATCAGAAAGTATGCAGCACACACGGAGCGTGTTTCTTTTGCGCTCGCAATCTGCATCATAAATATCCGCCTTTCATACCCTCCTGGCCTCAGTTGCTCCTCTCAGCTGATCATCAAGCAACAAATACTCCGTATACAAAGCATGCTGAGCTGAGACCACCCCCAGGGCTGAGAACCTGTTTCGCTTAGGGTAGTTAGCGCCGGGCCGAGACCCTTTCGCAACATTGTTTATCCTAACGCCAAGCGGTGAGTGGCGCTGATATAAGCAGAACGCATGGATCGCTGTTGAGCAGGAGTCAGGTGACTTGTCAGGTGACCAGGTCTCCGAAGGAGGAACCGGAGAACTGTAGGTTTGCCACCTCCTCCTCTTGACCACAGTACCAATTTCATTATCTTTGTCTATCAGACTGGTGGAGATTTGCTAGAGGTTTTTCATATGTTTTTTCTGTAGTCTTGATTATAGCATGTTTGTCTATAAGTATCTGTGTCTCATTTGTTAGAAGCAAGATCAGATGCAATATTATAGACACTTAGTTACATGATCATCATATGCTTCTGTGTCATCTGATAGTTATGAGTCTGAACTCTTTCAAGAATTTAATTATTATCTAAAGATACATTCAACATACTTTATTTTACTCTTATTACTCATATAAATAGAGATCACTATTAAGTATCTTGAGATCATACATTGAACTTTCTATTTAAGCTTAAATCTTAATTATGAAGTTTGCAGAGATCTAATGCATCTATATATTTATCAATCTAAGTCTATGAAAAATCATAATCTAGAGTCAATGTCTCACTTCAATAATTAATTAAAAATAAATAAATTATCTAGAAGAGTTGTTATGCTAAATAGTTCTGATAATTGAAAAGAATGAATTGAAGACATCAAGCATTTAGTAAATCTTCACTAATTGTAACTGTATGTCAATTCAACAAAAGAAATGCATTCTGAACTTTGGAAATTTATTATAGAGAATTTTCTTTCTTCTGAAAAAACTGAAGAAACTGCAACTTCTGTGAATACAAAACATGCAAGAAATATGCAAAGAGATTGATACAGAACTTAAAAGAAGAGAATCTTAGTAATGCAAGAGCTACAGAAGACAATAAGAAATTATGTAGATTCATCTCTGAGAATTCTTACAATAAATAAATCAGATAGTATAGAAACTACTGCAAAAGAACATCTGAAAGCTCTATATGCTAGAAATGTGATGAATGCTTCTCAATTGAAAGCTAGACTAATAGAGAAATTCAAAACTTTTAAAGAAGAGTCAAAGAATCAAGCAATTAAAGCATATTTACTAAACTATAAAGAAGCATTGAATTGAGCAACTATGTATAATATGTGTGAATATATCTGTGAATCTTTTGTCTTGAAACAATTTCTGAGAGCTATCTCTTTAAATTATAGAAAGTTCTTCTATACATATCTATCTAAGCTTCTAATTGAAAAGAATTTGAATTGGAAACATGAGCTGAATGTTTATAGACATATTCAGATATTTTGACAGTTGTTAAAGAAAGATACTGAGTCAGATCAAAGTAATAAGTTGTCAGCATATTCCACTGAAAGAATTATTTAAAATAAGCTGTTGGGAGAGAATAATGAAAGTATAAACTCTGCATGTCTTTGCAGAGAGCAACATAATTGAGTGTACTGTTCATATTTTAATTCACTTGTTCAATCAACAGGCTGAAAATCAGATCCAAAAATTGATAATAAGATCAAGAAAGCATTGAAGAATTCAGTGAACAAAAGAAAATTAAAGAAAAAGATTGCAAATTGAAAGAAATTGAAGAATTCAAATAATACTGAAGAAGTTAGTGCTTCAGATGATGTGACAGATAATGATGCTAACAAAGCTGTTGTCAAGACATTCTCTAATTCAACTATCTTCACTTTCATAATGATTTTTAACTTCACTAACATGAGTGATAAATATGAATCCTATTCATTATGAAACAGCTTCATATTAGATGGGGGTGCAGATGCACATATTTGCAATGATTTTATAAGATTTCAAAACTATCAGAACACTGATTCTTCAGATATTATGCTTGTTGAAAATACTTATTGTAAAATTCATGAATACAGTGATGTTAAAGTTTATATTCAAATGTCAGCAGATGCTGACAAGATATTACTAAAGAATATTCTCTATGTTTCTGACTTTCATACAAATCTAGTAGCACATGAATTACTGTGTGTGAAGAGTTGTTATTTGAATGATGAATCTCTTATGATTTACTATGCTGGCACAAGAGATATCTTGTTCAATTTGACTGTTAAAAAGAGAAAAATGGTCATTGAATACAGATCTATTAATGTTGCAACAGACAGTATAATGAAGAGTGTTTTTACTGTCTTATTAAATGAAGATTTAATTAATAAATCAGTCATGATGTTGATCTTCAGCTCACTGAAAATCATAAATATTTAACATCTGAAACTTAATCATCTGAACAGAAAGTCTCTGACACATCTTTTAAAGATGTCTATTGATGTGAAATTTGAAAAGATCTCTCAGAGTTTTCTAACAGTGAAGTGCAGATCTTGTGCTCTTTTAAAAGTAAAGTAAATTATATGCAGAACATCATTGAAAAGATCTATATGTTCATTTATGAAGATGTCTATTGATCTCATATAATTTACTTCAGATTATAATGGAGATAAATGGACAGTTCACTTATATTGTAATTATATTCATCTGCACTATGTGGAAATGATGCAGTGAAAATTCAAAAGTTTGATGTGCACAGCAAAAATGATAAAAATAATTCTCAATTTATATCAATTAACTATCTTGACTATTTGAATTGATGAAGAAATCTCTATGCAGTCAGAACTGACAGCTTTGACTTAAACATATGATATAGTTATTCAATGTTCAGCACTCTACATCTCAGCTCAAAATGAAGCTGTGAAATGTGCAGAAGCTTTAATAACAACAGCAGTATGTACAATATAAATTGAAATTAACTTATCTGAGAATTTGTGATCAGAATGCATTAAGACTGCAGCATATATTTTAAACAGAATTCTGATTAAAGATCTTGATTGAAACACTTCTCTTGAATTCTTAGAGAAATATCTTCAAACTGCAACTTCTTTAACTGAAATTAGGCATATAAGAGTTTTTGGCTGTAGAGTGTATTCTTTAATTAAGAATGCACAATATGAAAGAAATCAGAAGCTGACTTCTAGAGTGAAAGTTGAATATCTTATTGAATATGAATCAATGAATATTTTTTGCATTTAAATTTCAGTATGACAAAAGATTATATTAACAAGAGACATTATATTTAATGAAGATACACTATTTGATTCTAATGAGATTAACAGCAAGCTTTTATTACAGAAGAGCTTTATTGTGCTGAATACAATATCTTTTATTAAAGTAAGTGATATTAACAAGATGAGTTTAAGTGAGCATGACAGTGAAGATGAAGACTCTGAGAAGAATACATTATGTGAAAGTTATGAAACTGTTGATCAGTTAATAAGATTGATGAAAACAATGACTAAGACACTAACTGATCAATCAGAAGAGACATATGCATTGTCAACATTAGAATCTATATCAGAGCTGTTGACTTCAGACATCTACACTTAATCTCTTTCAGATGATTCAACAATGTCATTAACTGAAATAGAGATGCTGAATCAACTTTCATTGACAGTCAATCATTCTGCCACAGAAGCTACAGAAGTGATGAGTGATGTTGTAGTGAAGTCATCTAAAAATATAACATCTACTACACTTTCTGCTACTAGCTCTACAGAGATGATGAGCATAAATGATGAACAATTAATAGTTAATTGTTCTGCTGCAGAGACAGTGAGCACTAATGACAGAATTTCAACAGTTAATTGTTTTGTCATAAAAGTGATGAATGACTCAGCTGACACAAGCTTGAGTGCAGAGCAATCTTCTAGACAAAGTACTAGAATAAAGCATCAAAACACAGATTGAATTGACAGATGAACAGCTTATACAGTGATTCTGTAGTAAACAGCACATTTGAATTCTTTTTATAGAGACTATTTAACAGCTTTTACAATTATAAATTCTAGACTTCACAGAGAGAATCTTCTGAAGTCTTCAAAGTATTATTTTTTAATGTTACAACATCTGCACACTGATGGCTTTAAGACTGTCATGAATGTGGAAATGAAGAAGCTATGAATGAAGAAATGCTTTGAAGAAGTAGAGAGCTCAGAAGAAATACATTCAATCTTTTTAATGTGAATTTATATGTACAAATTTGATGTTAATGATTTTTTGGAACATTATAAGACAAGACTTATTTTTTGCAGAGATCTGAATATTAATAATAAACATGACATCTATGTCACTACTCTCACTGCACAAATATTTTGCCTTTTAATGGCTATAACAGCTTATTTTGAAATGGAGATCTTTCAGATTGATGCTATTAATGCATTCATTAATGCTTCATTTGATAAATCTGTTTATTGCAGACTGACAGAAAGTTACAGTAAGAAAAGAGATGTTTGAAAAATTCTATATGTCTTATATGATCACTCTGAATCTTCACAACTTTAATATAAAGATCTCACTTCAACACTCTGAAAACTAAAATTCTGTTAGATTTATGAAGAATCATGTCTATTTATTGATAGAAATATTATTATCTTCTTTTATGTGAATGACATAGTATTTTTATATCACAGAAAGAATGTTGGAACATTTAAGTAGTTATTAAAGAATTTATGAATGTGTTATAAACTTTAAGAGATTGAAGAGCTAGAGTGATTTCTAGATATCTGTATCTTATGTGATAGAGATACTCAGAAGCTTTGACTGTGTCAGAATAGTTATATTGAGAAGATTGCTAATAAGTTCAATCTTATAAAGTTGAAGTCATCATATATGTCAATGATAACTGCAGATATAGCTCTCTATATGAAGATGTAAGATAAGCAATAAATATATGTCTATTAACAGAAGATTGATTTAACTCTCTATGCTGCTATTATAATGTGATCTGATATTTTGTTTGCTACTGCAAAATTAAGTGAGACTTTGGTTAATTCAGAATCAGAACATCATACAGTAATTGAGAGAGTTATCTCATATGCTTTTTTAATGAAGTACTATGCTCTTGAATTTTATGCTGATGATAGATTGAATATTCAGAAAGAGAATAATAATATCAACATCATTAACACTTATTTAATAATCATTAGTGATTCTTCTTTTGCAGATGATTTAAACTCAAGACACTTCTCTCAGAGCTCTGTATTTAAGCTTTTTAAAAATTTGATTGATTGAAAGTTCTTCAGACAAAAGACTGTTACAATGTTGTCAACAGAAGCTGAGCTTTTAGCACTATTCTATACAGCAAAAGAGATCATGTGATGAAAACACTTATTTAAGAATATTATGTTGAAATTAGAAAGAGATTTTGATATTTTATGTGATAATTTATAAATAATATGATTACTGATTTCAGCAGCTCTGCAACTAATTATTAAGCTCTGTCATATTAATATTCATCATCACTGATTATGACAAGCAGTTACTAATAAGAAATTGAATATTATCTGAATTAAAAGTGATAATATGTCTGCAGATGACTTAATAAAGATCTTATCTAGACAGAAATTTGAAAAATTCATTAAGTAATTGAGACTCATGAATATTAATTATTTAATAGAGAGAGATTCATCATCTATGCTGCTGTCAAAGCTATAGAGATGTGTTGAGCAGAAGTCAGATGACTTATTAGATAATCAGATCTTTAAAGAAGAAATTAAAGAATTATAGATTCATTATCTTCTTCTTTTGATTATAATATTAATTTCATTATCTTTGTCTATCAGACTGACAGAGATTTGCTAGGGGTTTTTCATATGTTTTTCTCATAGTCTCAGTTATAGCATGTTTGTCTATAAGTATCTGTGTCTCATTCATTAGGAGCAAGACCAGATGCAATATTATAGACACTCAGTCACATGATCATCATGTGCTCCTGTGTCGTCCAATAATCGCGCAACGGCCAACGTTGACTACGCATCATAGACAGGTAGATATGAGAGCTGACCAGGGGCTGTACAGGGGTGGCTTATGGCTGTGCTATTCCCAGTCTGAGGAGATCTTTATCGTGATTTGCGCCCCCACACAACGCATAGTACTTGCAGCTGGGCAAATTGCACTCGGTAGGGGAGCCTCCAGGAAATTTCCTACACAACAACCCCTATTTGCGACCGCCATGGGTCCAAGCGCTCGCGCATGAGTTAACGCGATGCATGGTTTTGATTAGCAGGGATATACTTAGAATTGGATATTCTCTGCCGTTCGCCAGAAATCATGAATCTGACCAGCTACCGGTCGAGCCAGTCCTCGTCCTATCCGGACCCTCGAAACTTCGCCATCACCTCCCCAGCTATGCCTTCGCCGTCCTCAAGGGCCTTGTTAGAGGGGTACAAAACCATTTTAAGCCCAAACGAAGATGAAACACCAAGGTACAATATGGTAAGTGCTCTCACCGTTTACTGATATTGCCATTTGTCCTAATCGAATTGGCTTCGTAGCTCAATTACTCTCACCCACGAAGCTCTGTACTCCTCAATGCAAATGATCCGATCGCAATGCATTTACTCGCCGAGACTGCAATATCAGACAGTACGCAGTTCGAGGTACTTTCGTTCGAGGAGGTTGAAGAATTGAAGAAGGAACTGCTTCTCTTGTCTAATCGTATTGAATCATCAAAGCGAAAACTAGCTCTTGAACTGAAACTACAAGAAGCCGCATTTTCTTTGAGCAAACTTTACGACTCTAAGGCTGGCAGGAGGGAAAGTAGTGATACGAGCCCTGAATCTTCGCCTAAGTCCCACCGCAGACGATTGAGCCTGTTTGGACGCCATAATCTCCAGCACCGATCTGATGAAGAAGTCACCCAAAGCGTTCATCGTTGTGAAGACATAGCGCAAGAACTCTGGAGGCTGGAGAGGAGAGCAAATGAAATCCGGAGGAGAATCTTGGAGCATACCGCCGGTGTATTGCAGATGACGCACAAGGGCTTGAAGAAAAGGGGCGCAAATCGACAGGAGCAAAGCGATGACATGGTCGAATTTGATGACAGAAGCCTTTACAGAACTCCTGACCACCTAGATGATTTCAACGGTGGCCATACACGGCGAGATCTTCCTATGGCTGTAGCGGGAGAAAGAAATTCAGTGAGTATGGCTGCCTTACATGAAACGAAAAGGAGACTTGACGATTTGAACTTCCGTTTACGTGAAATGATACCACAAATCAATCAAAACAATGACGCTGGTCGCCTCTCTCAAGAATTTTTAAATAGCGCCCCTGCAGATCCGGTGATAGCTGTACAAAATGGTCTGGATTCTCTTGACAAGGGGCTTGAGTCAATGTCCTTCCATCAAACAAGCATGCTACAGGCAATGGAAGGATCTATGTATGATGCAGAAGACAAGTTAGATACACTTAACAAGCGATTGGACGGCATTCTTGTCACAGCAGGTTCTACTCGACATCAACTTACCCCACGCGCCTCATCAGCCAGAAAAACATTAAAGGAGCAACTTGACCACCTGGGAGGCTCTATAGAGGAGGCTCAGGCTCGCGTTGATAATTTAACTGATCAGAAAACTATTCTTACTACTCAGATCCAACAGCAAAGAGAGCTTAACTGCAAGTCCGATGCAGAACGCGATGCACACATTGCGGATCTAACGGAACAAAGTGTAAAGCTACAAAAAGAGGCTGATATGTCACAGAAGGAAGCCAATGATATACGAGAAGAGCTCGCTCTCGTAATGGATCAGTTGGATACGGCTCGTCAAAACTCGATGATCCGAGAACAGCAGAATGCAATCAATCAGAAACCCATTGCCAATGCGGAGCTAGAAGCCAGACAAGAGTTTGAGCAAAAGTTGGCTTTGAAAGACAGCGAAATTGCCAGTATCAACCAAGCACGGCGAAACGCCGAGGAGTCATTGGCAGCCAAGGAAATGGAAATTGCTAGTTTAGAGGAGGCCCGGCAGCAAGTCACAAAGGAAATGTCAAAAGTCGAGCAGAACCTATCGAGTAAAGACGACCAAATTGCTGGGCTTGAAGAATTCCGCAACACGGTCAGGGAGGAATTGGATGCGGCTGAGCGGGATCGAACGCTCAAAGAAAACGAAATTGCGACCCTTCAAAATACCCTCAGACAGCTTACCTCAGAGAAGGATCTGGAAATCCAGAATTCTCGCAACGCTCATGATAGTTCCAAAGCGGAGTTACAAAAATTGCAGTCCGAGTTCTCTGAACTTGAGGGCGAAATGGTTAGGATTCAGACTGAACTAACGGTTGCACGAGCTGAGCTTGATGGCGCGTATGGGAGTAGAGCGGAGCGTGCGGCTCAGGTAGCAGCAAACCCAGCCATTCGGAGGGAAATGGATGAATTAAACCAACGGAATATGAGCCTTATGGAGGAGCTGGCCTCTCTCAGAGATAATCAAACTGGCAGAAGCATCGCAGGCGCTTCTCCAGACCTTCAGGGACGTGTACAAATGTTGGAGAAGGAGCTTCGAGAAACGATTGATGATTACGAATCGATGACCAAAGCTAGCATTGAGTTTGAAAAGGAACGAGATAGTCTAGAGAGTACCATAGATTCCTATCGTGAACGCTGTGAGACTCTCGAGGCGCAGCTGAGTGATGAAAGAATTCAGGCACTGGGAATGAATGGTGTACGAAAAGGAGACGCGACGCCGACGGAAAGTACATCGATAATAGTGTTGAAGAATGAGTTTAAGAAAATGATGAGAGACACGAGAGCGGAGAACCTGAAAAATTTGAGGGTATGTTTCATTATAATTAAATTGCCCTGCAATACAATCTACTAATCACCTCTCGCTTATCAGGCTGAGCAAGAAGAGCGGCGAAAGCTTGAGTCTCTGATTCGAACGCTCAGAGGAGACCCAAAGGCTTCAGGCAAGTCGAACTTGAGTCAGAGTACGGTTGCTTCCTAATGGTAATGCCACCCTGATTTTTTAATATTGGCTGGCGGGTAATGTTTGAACGTCAATCTGCCATTTGAGCATTTTCATTTCTTTTTTCAAATTTTCAGAGCAACAACTCTTCATTGGCATAATATTTGCTTTGCATATGGCAACGATTTTGATAATTGACCATTGGTGCATGTTGTCTTGTTCTTCGGATTCTTGAATCTTAATTTACTTTCCCGTCATCACTTCCACGAAGCCCCTTTTTAGCAGCCGCTTGTCAACCATTGCACTTTCCTCCCTGATATTCCTACAACACTTTATATCAGTGCAATAAATGGCTGCAACAGGAGTTTCATCGATGAAGGGCTCTGTCATTCTCTTATCCCTGTGAAAGAGGACTGCACTCGTTTATTACCTCATACTTCCTAATTCCCACCAATGGCACATCCAAAAGCAGCATGGCCAAATGTTGCCAACACTGGAAGTTTCGTCGCTCACCACATGCGATCTCGATCGTTTACTGAAGGTACGAGCTCTGGCCGAAGCCGACTCCGACGAACAGTGTCGATCCGGGCGGTCAACGCTCATCTAGACTCCTCTGAGTCAATTCCTAGTGACCACAGCTCCCTTTATCTTGGGCACCTTACTAGTTTCGACGGCTATGATGAAGACTACCAAACCGAAAATGCTTTGCATATCACAGAAGGGTATCCATCTAGCCAGCTGTTGGATGCTGCCAATGGTGTTCATATTCGGAATATTAATACTCCTGCATCTTGTGGAGCATGGCGAGCTCATGTTTTGGAACCTATCACGGAGCAGTCAAGCGTTTCCACGCTGAAATTCTCTGTAGCACCGCCCCCTATAGCCGTAATGAAGTCTGTTAACAGCTCCTTAAAGTCTGAAGCATCTTACCTTTTCGTACTTGGAAAACGATACGGGAATAAGATCTATTCATTCGACGATTTAGATATCCCTTCCATTCGCCCTAAGTTCTCGTTCGCCTCGCTTCCCACGGACCTGCGTCGATCTGCACGTTTATCTTCCTCTGCTGGAAGCTTTCGAGACGACATGTGGTACGATGAACGCTATTCCCCTGTTGAGCCAACTGAGCCTATATATCCTCCCCCTATACGATGTCCTACTCCCCCAGGGATTCCATCCTTTGGGTCTCCAGAAGCAATTCGATTCCAGATTTCGACTCGCCCTGTACAATCATCCGAAGCCGCTGGTAATAATCGTCTCTGCTGTTTCTTTGGATTTCGACGGCTGTTTAGTTTTTCTTCATGCGCCGCGCAGCCGCCCGCACCACCCCTACCAACTGGAGTAGTTTCGCGTGCTGATGATGGAACTTTCGTTCGTGGTCGCTTTGGTACACGAAATAGCGGGCATGGTGTAGGTGCTGGGTTGGGGGCAGCAGGGTTGGAAAACCATCCTTTCCATCATGAGTCGCTCCCTATCGCCTGTCGTCAGCCAATGGAACGTAGGGTTCCATCATCCCAGGATCAAAGACAAACGTCGCTCTGTTGCACTGCCACTCCTCCTGCCTCAATCTCTTCCCAGGCGCCACCAAGGCCTTCTTCACTTCGCTCGGCTTCCTCAAGGACTAGTAGCAACTACCCCCTTCCTCGTCGAGTTCATTTTGTTGATGGTACACGACCAAATGAAACGTCTTCTGTCCCAATTCCGTCATACATTCGGTATCCACCACTCGTTCCGCCTGCACCAGGAACTGTGACGATGCATGACCAGCCCACACAAGGCACCGGCAGTGTTACCATTAATAACCGCACTTCTGACCCCTGTACACCCTCTTCTCAAACGATATGCCTTGGGACAAACTCATCTGCGGCCTCATCGCCTCGCTACGAAAGGGATGAGGATATTTCGTTGCTTGCTTGCCTGGCGGACTGTTGTGGACTATCTGCTCCATTTCACCATGCCGTAAGTAATAATAACGCCCATGGTGAGGTGGCGACACATCGGCGTCGTTTCAAGTTTTTAGAGACTTGGAACCTCAAACCAGCGTCAGCAAGACAATGGAGGCTGGCTTGGGGTTACCAGCCATATAGTTCTGGCTGATTTTAGTGTCTGCCTAGTATTCCGTTTTGTATAGCTTGCCCGGTCCGCTGTTAGCTATGAGCTGGCTTGTTTGACGCTCGGACTATGTGTATATCTACATGCAGATGCGTACAAGATTGCTAAAGTTCTCTCATAGAAATACTACCAATTTTATCCTTCCCAACAAAACAGAGTATTATTATGTACGGAATATCCTAGAAAGACAGTATAGAGAAGCTTAGTTTGGAATATGTAATGAGCTTGTGTATGACCATGACCATGGTGGAGCTTATTTGAAGAGCAGCAGAGCCAGGCACATGTATGCAAAAAGATACCGCTACTTAAGAAATGACAGGCTTCATTGGGGTAGCAACACAATGCACTCACAACGATTCGCAGAGCAAGGTATCGCTAGGGAGTTCAAAATTGCACTCTCAAGTAATCCGATCCCAGCAGTGACGCAGGAATGAAAAAACTAAAACGAAAGCCTATGCGAGAATCCAATAGATGCTAAGACAGAGAATGACGGTGATGCCGCTTGCGGAAGAGAAAAAAAAAAAAAACAAAAAATTTCCCTAGATTCAGGAAGGCCCATCATGGGCCAGAAAAGAATCGACAGGCCTCTTCTAAATGTTTGTCACCGTTTGCAAAATCCCATCCAACGATAATATGGTCTTGACTAGAGCAAATGAGTTTTCGGGCGTCAAATTGGAGTTTAAATATCCTCGTTGCTGTGGGGGGATGTGGGTGGGCCGCCGGGGCCTGGGCATTGGGCTGTACAGGGTTGCCAGTGTGCTGACCAATGGGGGGATGGAGAACTGGGTGCTGGGGCTGTGGGGGCTGCGGTTGAAGGGTATTTGGTTGCGTCTGCATTGGTGGTAGCTGACCAGCGTTCTCAAGGATGGGAGGAAGTTGAAACGCGGTCGGGGTCTGGTTACTTTGTGTAGGCACGTTAGGCTGCGATTGCTGCTGCTGTTGCTGTTGCTGGAGAAAGGCATTCTGAGAGGGATGCAACGGTGGTGTCATTTGCTGCGGCGCGGATGGATTAGGGGTCGTCTGGGACGGAGGAGCAGACGTAGCTGTGTTCTGTGGTCCGGGTTGATTGGCATTGATTTGGGTAATGTGAGCAGCTTGAAGCTGCTGATGTATTCCAGGTAAATTTGCCCCGAAACTTTGGCTGAGGAATTCCACCGCCATCGAATCGTCAATGACTGACGCAGCACGGGCAGCGTCGGTTTGCCGTAAACGTTGCCCAACAACCCATTTGCCTTCTTTATCTCTTTTCCAGATAATTATTGTTTCATCGTAAGAGCCGGAAACGATACGGGCCCATCTACTTCCACCACCGCCAGGAGGTATCTTGGCCCCCAGAGCAATGATGTCTTGTGGTCGGCGTGACCCAGCGCTTCGCATGCGGGTAGGTCGTCGTCGACGACCGTGCTCAAGCTCGTGGTCAACGTCACCGCGGCGGCGGGCCTCCCAATAATCATGGTCAACGGCTTTAGCCTCAAGCATTAATGTTTCCTCGGAACCAGGTGGATCACGGAACCCAGCTTGCAATGTTCGAACAAGATCATCATGAGCATGGAGACAGGCAACTTCAGCTCCGGAAGCGTGGTCATATATCCGAACGGTGAAGTCATTGCTGCCACTCACTACTCGATTGCTGTCGAATTGAACGCATGCAATTCCCTTCTGGTGACCCACTAAGGTCTTTGTGCAAGATCCGCTGCGAATGTCCCAAATCTTAATAAGTCGGTCCCCAGATGCAGATACAATTTCGTTATCGTCAATTTGTATCGCATTCACGGCAGCGCCGTGACCATCGAGGGTCATCAAAAGCGAATATGGGCGGAGGGTTTTGATTTGTTGACTCGCAATTTGGGCTTCCAAGGCCGCAGGAAGCATGTTTGATATGTCCACAATATAAGGAGGATATCGCACACCAACACCGTTGAAGTATCTGGGGTAGTTTTCGTCTGATGCACGAAGCTCATCACGATTCCACACTTTAATAAGTTTGTCTTTTGAGCACGTCACCAAATACCTTTTATCAAATCGTAAGCTAAGGACAGAATCAAGGTGTGCGTTGGTTAGTTCCTGAAGTTTCTGGCCTGTAGAGAAGCGCCAAATGATCACATTGCGATCACTACTGCCTGAGATAATTATATCTTCTTCCTCGCTAGCATCGAACTGCAAGCATAGAACAGACCTGGTATGTCCAAGCAGTGGCGGAGACCTCAGTCGTCTCGTTTCCAAATTCCAAACCCTTATCGTTTTGTCTCTACTACCGCTTACCAGCCAATTACCACTGAATTGAATCGCGTAGATGCACTCACGATGAGCTTCCCATGGGTATAACGGATGTGGTAGCTGAAAATTGGTGAACTGGCCATGTAGCCAGTTATCTTCCAACTTCCGGCGTTGTCTGTACAAATATGCCCAGTTTAGTCTTGCTGGGTCCTCTGGGCGCATAGCGGGGGATAAGAACGATTCTCGGTAGGGTGAGGAAGAAACTTCTCTATCCGTCGAAACCTTCCGAGCAAAATTGTCAGGGTTGCCGACATCTCGCATCTCATGGTCGCCTTCTGCATCGGGTGGGGCGCCTGTACTAGACGCAGAAGCTTCGCCTTCGGCATTGACCGCACTTGAACGTCTTGAATCCCCCCAGCTTGGCAGCACGCGTTTCTTATGCAAAGGCTCCCCTGGATCCGTATCCGAACGCCGCATTCGAGCCTTCCTGCTAGCCGACTGTATTGCCTCCGCACGCTGTCGTTCAAACGTTCGGATCTCCTCGACATTCAATTTCCACCCTTCCCGTAAATATAGCTGTCTCCACAACAGCGAATCATGCACTCGGTCTCGCCATGCACGAGACGCCAGCGAAGCCGTAAGCAACGTGCCTGGGTCGAGGTACGAAAATATCTCCGCGGTCAGTTCCGGGGGAAGCTTTCGCACAGGGTCCATATGGAGGAGCGGTGTAAGTCTGTCAACAATTTTGGCAATCGTCGAGGTGCGCAGCGTGGTAAGGAGGGTGAATGCAAAATCTAAAGTATCAACCATTGTTAGAGTGGGTAGGTGGGCAACTTGAGGGAGATGGAGCATTACCAGCCCTGTCAGACTCTGCCTGGCTTAGAATCCAAGGAGGAATTGTCGCACCACTTGAGGCCCGTCTTCCGTTATTCTCTGCTTCGCTTTTGGTCTCATCCGAATAGCCTTCATCGAGCTTAAAGGAGCTCGAGGCGGATGGGGCACTGAACGCAGCTGTGTATTTACCTGGCTGCAGGTCAGCAGGATGCGGCAGTCTGGCCGCATTGCCGGAGTTGTGTTCCATCCAGAATAAATCTCGGTCGGGCAAGAGGCGCGATCGTTCGAATTCAACAAAGAGAGAAAGGGGGAAACAAAGGGTGCGTCAGTGGCAGAAGCCCGATGAAGTTGCAGCAGGCATGAGTCTGGTTATTGTGCCGGGGCGGGGTGCGGTCTGCGAACACGAGATTCCACGTAATAATGCAAGGGCAGCAGGACCAAAGCTAGAGTAACGATGTCTGGAGTCAGGAGGCGAGCGCGGAATTGCTTCAGGGCTGCGAGGCGGGCAGGCAAGGCAGGGATGGCGATGCGATGTTTGGTCGAGTCTCGGCAAGCAGCACGGCTTACATCAGCGAGTCGCTCAAGGCAGCAAAGTCAGCGTCAACGACAAACACAAGCCAGCAGCGGGATACGACGTCAGAAACAACGTTTATATGTGCCTCTTGCTGCTATTAACATGCAGTTTCCAGGGAAAAGCGGTGTTGCCCGAAAAGCTCTACTCGTTCATGGCTCGATTTTCTGAAGCCCTCTTGCCTGAGCCTGGAGCTCTTCACATATCTTAAACAATGAGACGCGTCCTTGTTGCCTTTTACTCTATACACGGTGCATACATCCAACGAGCTACCCATGTCTGAATTAAGTCAGTACCTACGACCTTTTGATGCCCGTGCTGTCGCGCAATATGCTAGCCGCTTCGGATTAAAGTGTGATAAGTGTTTTGATAATGAGATACAGAATTAGTTTCTTGTCTTTATCAGAGTAGGTGAGTCATAATCAGACTCTTGAAATAGAGATATGGTCAAAGCCAAAGTCGTTCGACGATGGGTGGAACTACAAAGCCAGATACCCCAGATGTCAAGAACAATATACCCTAATGACCGTCGTTGCAATTCCAATTGTAACTGCACTAGAGTGATATTGATCTGCAACAGCATTATCTCACTGCCTAGGGGCTCTTCTCTTTGCATATCGAGTGGCGCTGGGTTTTTATGGCGACGGCAGCACTCATCGCAGAAAGCGCGGGTATGCCACTTGCAGTTGCCTCCAAAATGCCGTAAGACTGCCATATGGGAGCGGGACTTTTGCTGTTATTTAGTTATCCATCACTACAATAAACATCCCTTATCTTTATTACGACCGTTTCGACGTGGCATCTTAGCTTCGTCCCCTGATCATCAGCTACACCCCCCTTCACCCCCTTTTGTGTTTTTTTTTAATCTCCATGGAAGGGTTAACAGAGAATGACGCAGAAATGCCTGCGGCTGCTCGACCTGCACCTGCTGGAATTGATCCATCATTCTCTAGCAAGGAGGCCATCTTTGCGTGGCTTCAAAGTACTCTGAATCTTGAGGGACTTCCCGATTACTGCGACAGGGTTCGAAGAAAAAGGAGCCCAAGACGAATCCGACGGACTATTAAGCCGGTAATCATTGAAGAGCCATTTTTTGGGTCCTACTACGCGCTGTATCCAATTAGGTTCAAAGATGGGGTGCGTTGGATTCTCAGAGTCCCCATATGTGCGGTAACTGGACAGTTTGACGAATTGGCTTCGTCGGCCCTTGCATCTGAAGCTGAGACAATGACGCTTATATGTCAAGAAACCTCAGTCCCTGTTCCTCGCGTCATGCATACGGCCCAGATTTCGACAATGTACTGCGGGTTCCTTTCATCCTCATGACTCGTATTCGAGGAAAACCTCTGCATGATATTTGGTTTGATAAATTAATCTCGCGGGAAGAGCTTATGCTACGCCGCAAGACGGCTCTGAGGAACATTGCCCGCCTTATGGTTAGACTGGGAAAACTCTCCTTTAAAACCGGTGGCGCCCTGGAATTCATCAACGGAAATTTGTTCCGTCCAGGTCCACTGAGAACTATTGACCACGGCGTAACATTGCCGCCGGTTGGAAGAACTGACGGCAAAACAGTGCGCTATTTCGAAGCGGGACCCTTTGCAGTCCCAGACGATTATTATCTTGTTCATCTCAGCCGAGAAGAAAACCATGAGGAACCCGAGTTTCGAGGAGTGCAAAAGCTTCTCCGCACCCTCCTGCAGTGGAATTCCAAGGAAAAAGGTCCGAAGTTTGTGGTAACGCACCCGAATCTTTCTTTGCGTAACATTTTAATATCTGAAAATGAAAGAGTAATGGGATTTATTGATTGGAATGGCGTGGCTGCTATGCCTCTTTCTGTAGGGAACGAAAAATACCCGTCGTGGCTCTCTCGGGACTGGAACCCATGCAAATATGAATGGAACGACGACGTGGGGGAAGGTATCAACCCAGGTGAGGTGCAGGAAGATTCGCTGGAAATTCTTGAATTACACCACAAGAAATATAGCGACTTCATGCAGTATTATCTAGCCCTGCGTGAACCTTCGACTCCATCTACAAGGCCATCTATCACTCATAGGTCACTCATTGTTGAGAATTTGATCATTGCAGCTGATAACATGGAGTGCAGACATGGTATTCTTGCAAAGATTTTCGAGGAGATTGTCAAGATTTCTTGTGCCCAGTGTCCCTCTCAGTCGAGCGCTGAAGGGGAGGAGTTTGGGAGCTTAGAGATGTTTCAAGTCGTGGATATTCTGGCCAGGGGGGAAATGGAAGAAAGCATGTCGGCTTTTCTGAAGAAAGGCTTCAACGCTCTGCTAAGTTCAAGCGAAGCAACATCGGCCGAAGCATAAGTGTATAAACTACCAGTATGGTGTAGTGTGGATAATTTATATTATTGAATTCCATACGCCATAGGGAGTACTCCGTACTCCATACGGAGTACACCAATCCTGCAACCTATCAAGGCTGACTAAGCCTAATCAGTGGCCAAGAAAGCCACTCACAACGCCGATGACATAAGCGGTGGGACTAGACCAGACCGGCCACTGTGGTCTAGCCGTATGAGGCATAGGGGGCTGTAACGGCGGTCCCAAAGCGGTATGGTGCCAGAAGGCGAATGAAGTACTCTGTGACATGGATGCTCAGTCAACCTCCTGAAACAGCCCAACCGACACTCACACGCTCTTCTTGCCATAACACCTCCCTTACATCTCCCTGATGCATTGCTCTATGCTGCATCTATTGATCTCTTTTCTACTGGTGTGACTCTTGATCACTTGCCCTGCTGCTCTATAATCTTATGTTTTGAGTTAGTCCGGAAGCTCTTTGGGCCGCAGCTCCCCACAAATCCCATTTCCTGAGAGTATTGCTCGGCTTGAATAGACAACAACACGAAGTGTCTCAATATCGGATATCAGATCACTCTCCTTACATTTACTTCTTGGCAGCTTTGATTCTGGCTTAGATTGACATCGTGGCATCAGTGTGAGCGGGTCCCGTTTTCATGCGTGCGGCAAACCATGCTTGTGTCGGTACTGTTTGCTGATACAAATGAGTTTTTTGATAGATTATTGTTTTATCCCTTTTAACTCCGAAAATTCCCCTGCTACAATAGTCATTTGTCCTCTCTCCGTCTCCCTGTCGAGTCCCTTATCCAAAAACCCACCTTCCCTCTCTAGATGCCCAATATCTAGATCTTGGAATAACATCTAAAGCGCGAGCTGTCTTAGTACAATTCGTCTGGTCCATGGGCGCAGCATCGTGTCATCATGGAGCCGACGTTAAGTCAGGGCCACGTTATGGCCGAGGATAATATCATTAACAGAAGAGGCGGCGAATCGTTGTACCAGAGCTGTGCCAATCTCAAGAAACGACTTGCAGAGGTCCCCGGATTCGAGTCACATCTGGCAGAAATGGAGGCTTTGGATAAAACGCAGGAAGTTAGTGACCCCGTGGCATCTGTCTGGAGGTGTTTGCAAAACGGATACCCTTTGATGACGATTTTTAATGCCACCCAACCCTCCGAACCGTTAACCTTGGATGAGAGCAAAGTACAAGAACATCGGAGACCGAAAGCAGCAGCCTTTAAATTTCTCCAAGCCTGTTTACAGGACTTAGAGTTTCCCCAGCAAGAATGCTTTCTCATCACGGATCTTTATGGCGAGAGCACTACGGGCTTTGTTAAGGCATTTCATCCCATGCCCTTACTGGACTTGTTTATAACTCTTACTAACTAGACCAATAGGTGATTAAAATGGTCAACCGTGTTCTTGATATACTCGAAATGCACGGGCAGCTTTACAAACCGTCGATTTCAGATTCCAATCCCGTTGAAAGAAAAACCAAACTTACAAGACGAGAACACATTCTCAAAGAGATGCTCGAGACCGAAAGAGACTATGTACATCATCTCCAGAACCTGCAGGCTTTGAAAAAAGAGCTCGAAGAGACTGGGGCCCTCAACGGTGATACAAGCCACCAGATATTCCTTAACTTAAATAATCTCCTTGACTTTGCACAAAGATTCCTTATTCGAATGGAACAACACAATGCTCTTGCTGAAGAATCTCAGAACTGGGGTGAACTTTTCATTAATCATCAGGAAGGATTTCGGCAATACGAGCCTTTTATTGCCAACCAGCTGCGCTGTGATGTGGTTTGCCAACGAGAATGGGATAAGATTCATACTGCTCCACGTTCGCCCGATCTCCAACAGATGGTAGCTCAGCTCTCTACTCTCAATGGCTTCTTTGTCAAACCATTCCAAAGATTAACTAAATACCCTCTAATGCTTCAGGTAAACCCCATTACCTACTATTGCTGGCACTCGCTAACTCCCTACAGGAATTAAAAAAGCAGACTGAAAGAGCCGATTTTACTGCCGACATTGCCGCCGCTATAGATATAATTCAATCAGTTCTGGATCGTGCAAACAATGCGATCGATAAGGAGCATCTCGTTGCCGCAACTCAAGACGTGGCTGCTCGCGTTGATGACTGGAAATCATTAAGAGTGGAATCATTTGGACAACTTCTGCGATTCGGAACTTTCACTGTGGTTAAAGGTGATGGTGGGAAAGACAATGAGAAAGAGGTTCGTGTGTTTTTAGTTTCCTTTTCTTGAGACGTCTATCGCCCTGGACGAAACGACTTCAATTTATCTTGGCTATTGAGGGTATCGTTCAAGATTCCCTTGTACTCACGTCTGCCTAATCGGATGGATGTCCCTGCCGAATCTCAACTCTTGAATATGCAACTAATATCATCCACTTATGCTTGCATTTCAACACCAGCATAGCACGGGGACTGATATGATTATCCATTTGTTTTTTTTTTTTTTTGTGACTAGAACGTCACATCCACCTTTTTGTGTTTGAGGGAAATAGTGAATTTCTCACTATTCTCAAACTCTCAACATCAATGAGTTCTATACACAATGGACACTGCAGCCAGAGCGTCTGTTTAACGTACTAGCTTGCTTTTCAACAATGCGATAGCTTGGCGTACCAGTTGCCTAGATGACTGTTTCCTCCACCGGCTGGCCATTTCTGATAGACGAGTTGATTCTTCTCTTCATGAAATACCTATCCCCTCATCTTCGACACTCCCTTAATTGGCGAATTTCAGACAATAACACATCTTTATCTTCGGGCCACTGTATTCAAAGTAACTAACATGTGCTTTTTTCCTATAGTATCACGTCTATCTTTTTGAACAAATGCTTTTATGCTGTAAAGATATACTTTCGAATAAACCAAAGTCAAAACTCATGGGCAAGGACAAGCCCAACGCAAGTGCTCAAAAAGGCAAACCACGGATGGTATTGAAGGGCCGGATATACATTTCAAACGTAACGGAGATACTTTACTTTCACCGGCCAGGTACTTAACTAAGATCAAGGACAACTTCAACATCCCAGCTAACAGAATTTCTCAGGCTCGTATAGGGTCCAAATATTTTGGAAAGGTGACCCTGGCGTTGTGGATAATCTTTCTATTCGTTTTCGAGACGAAGAAACGATGCGAAAGTGGTACAAGGATATTAATCATCAACGTACTATTCAAGTTAAGGAGAGAATCGCTTCGCGCTCTGGTCCCTCTGAAATTGAGTTCACGTATCTCAAAAACGCTAAGATGGAGAATCCCTACGCGGAAGAATATAACGCAGAAGAAGATCTTGCCCCTGGTGTTTCGGACTTTGCCATGTCGCGCAATGCTTCAAGTACCAGCCTTCGAGCTCGATCGGGAACTGGGGGGAGCGGCGGATCTAACCCACCCATTATTCGCCCACCTCGTTTCCCAATGCCCGAACCGCCTCTATCCCTCCAAACACAATTTTCTCCGGGGGCGCTGTCCCCTGGAGAACGTCATGGAGGCTCGTATTTTTCCCCAATGACAGAAGTGGCGCCGTCGACCAGGTCCAGCTCGTCAACAACATTCACTTATTCCCGCCAAGGCACGCCGTCTAATCAATGGAACGAAGAGTCTAATCGCTATACTGCCCCAGCAATGCCTCGAGCAGGATCGCGAGATGGCCCTACTTCTTCCCCTTACTATAGCAATCCTCCTCGTGGGACTCAGCGCCCCTCGTTACCTCCATTCTCGTCGCAAAACTCACAACACCCTGCACAGTCAAGAATGCGTTCTGCCAGTAGCCCTGATATTCATAATCACAATCTCTCGGAGTCAGCTCGCAGGTACATGAATGGCCACACGATGCAAACTGTGGACAATGTACCAGTCCCGCCTATCCCAGCAAACCTTGCCAATATGAGAGCTCCTGTTAATCGAAGTCAAAACAATTCTCCCGGTACACTACAGCCACCGCATTCTTTGCGTCCAGGCCTTCCATCAGGGCCTAATGAACCTTCTTATATGATTAGTCGCGACACCTCGCGCTCCCAACCATCCTTGTCATCACACGCACCGCCATCTCGTGATTCGGACAGCCCCTTACCTGCTCAACTGAAAGCCAAAGTGAATTTCAATGACAACTACGTGACGCTAGTTATCGCGAGCAACATTCTGTATCGCTCTCTCACAGACAGAGTTGACGCAAAGCTTTCCCGATTTACTGATCGCTCTATTGGTGCAAAGTCTGCGAGGCTGCGCTATAGAGATGAAGACGGTGATTTTGTCACCATTGACAGCGATGAGGCTGTTCAGCTAGCTATCATGGAGTGGCGTGAACAGCATCAAAACACTCTTTCAAACGGACAGGTTGGGGAAATTCAATTATTCTGTCAGCCAGTTGAACACTAATATATATACCCATGAATCTCGTCATCCGTTCTTGTTTCTTTTGCATCTATGGCGCCTACCGGGCATACCATATATATTTGGATGTGTATCAAACGTGTTTGGGCGTATTTCACTCTCTAGCCATCTAAATGCTGGTCATAGCCCTGTACAGTCCTACGCTCTTTACAATACCCTCTTGAGCATTCAGGAAACTAAAATTATCCGGCCGAATTACTTCACTTGTTCATAATGTTTCTTCTCAGCTCTGTCCCATCTTCGAAACCTGCTCTCGATCTCACTCATCATGTTCTGACTGTGGAGTTTTGGCCTTTCGTTTGAGTTATGGATCCTTTCCCTACCTTTCAAGACACGACCGTATGAATTTTATGTATTCCCCTAGTTTTCGTTGCGCCAACACATTTTACACTTTCTTGGTGATCTACCTCATCATCTTGATTTGAAGATCTGCCATTACGTCTTTTACCGGCTGTTTTTATGCATGCAAATAGCCAGGAGTGGAGATAGATAGTTTGATTTTTCCTTGCTTCATATATGCCTTCATGTGCCTGGAAGAATGGGAGTCTTGTATACATTGATGTTTCTTGGGAGTCTTTGACATGCTCCTTATGCCCATGTATTCAATAGGCGGTTGCCCCGCTCCCCAGCTAAAAGGTTAATTCTGCATATCTTAAGTAGTTTAGCCGGCATTTCGTTCTCTAGAGAGTAAGAATTGACTCTTCTAAGCAGTGCCTCTCGCAAAGTGATGACATTTAGTGGGTGGCTAGACTCCCCCTTCCATAAGTCCTGGAGCTAACTACGTCATCACCGGCCCCACGGTTGAAGTTCAAATGGCACATCGACCTACCCGCGAATTTATAAAGGGAAGATTGACGACTCTCTAACCTCTGACCTTCTTGTAACTATCATGTGCCTGTTCATGTAAAGTCAAATATTGACGAAGATGAGCTATTCCGGCCAACAACTTCGACACCTTGGCCCAGGTTCAATATCGCCGGGCAGGATCCTATCTGAGAAAGGTATGAAACGGCTTGTTTTGAGCCTGAGAAGGCCGGACTGTGGTTAATTGAGGGCTAACGGCAGCTTACCTCCTGAAATGTACATAGAACTTAACTCTCCAAGCCATCGTCAATTCCGTGAGTACCATGAAGGCCATCGTCCTCACGCAGGGCTTGACCCATCACGAACTTCCACGGGTGTGATCTGGGTTATGGATCGAGCTACCGAACATGGCTTTCAAGATGACCCTTCGGCATGGGCTAATCTAGGCCAAGGAGCACCTGACGCCGATGATGATATAGAAGGTAGCTTTCATCGCCCAACATCTATTCCTATTAGTTCCACGGGCAGAGAGTATGGACCGACGGCAGGAATTAAACCACTACGAGAGGCTGTTGCAAACCTATACAATGAGTTTCACAGGCAGGAAAAACAGCAGTACACATGGGAAAATGTGTGCATTGTACCTGGCGGGCGCGCGGGGTTGATCAGGATTGCCGCAATATTAGGAACATCGTATCTAGCTTTTCCGATCCCAGATTACTCCGCATACTCAGAGATGTTGTCATTGTTTAAAAATGTGAGCTCTATATCCATGGTTGGTTGAGTGAAATCCTTATTGATGTCTCCCAGTTTGCATCTTTTCCTATACCCCTGGCAGAGTCGGACGGATATCATGTCCACCCTGACAAAATCGTGGAAGAAATAGCTCGTGGCACCTCCGTTATATTGACTTCTAACCCTCGAAACCCTACAGGTCACGTTATATCGGGCCCTGAGCTCGCAGAAATCCAAGGCATTTGTCGTGGAAGAGCAACGCTTATCTTGGATGAATTCTATTCTGGGTACAACTATACCACCAACTGTGATGGAAACACCACCAGTGCGGCCCAAAATGTTATCGATGTAGATCAAGATGGTATGTCTCCTAACTGGTATCGCTTGTCAGCCTTTTGGACTAAATTCTCCTTGGAGACATCCTACTTCTGGATGGTTTGACCAAACGCTTTCGTCTTCCGGGATGGCGGATCGCTTGGATTATAGGTCCGAAGGCATTTATTTCTGCATTGGCTGCTGCAGGATCCTACCTGGATGGTGGCGCGAATGTTCCGTTTCAAGAAGCAGCAATCCCGATGCTTGAACCCACCCTTGTTCGAGCCGAAATGAAAGCTATCCAAACGCACTTTCGCAAGAAGAGGGACTATGTTCTCGACCGCCTAAGGCGCATGGGGTTTCAGTTCAAAATCATACCAGAGGCAACGTTCTATATCTGGCTCGATTTAACCAGCCTTGACCCACCTCTTCCGGCCTCAGCCAACATTTCAGACGGTCTGAACTTCTTTGACGCGTTGTTAAAAGAGAAGGTCATTGTAGTCCCGGGAATATTTTTTGATCTTAACCCGGCAAAGAGGAGAGATTTGTTTGATAGTCCCTGTCATCATTTTGTCCGCGTAAGTTATGGGCCCAAGATGTGTGTTTTGGAGAGAGGAATGGACGGTATGGAACGGATTATAAAACAGGCAAGAGGAGAGGGAGATGCTGCTTGCATGTAAATCCCAGCCTTAGATAATGGCGCGGTGGTCATGGGTGGCACACCAGCTTGTCTACTGAATGCTCAGCTTGTTTATGGCAATCAGAAACATCAACATTATAATCTCTCAGGGTGAGAACACCTCTTCACTCAAAATAACCTAGCATCTTAGTCAATAGTTAAACCCCCGTGGTATTCAGTCTGATTGTTTCTCTTTGCTCCGGTCATATCTCCACTGATGAAGACAACTAGCGAAACAATGGCGGTATATCAAGTACCAAGACTAAAAGAGCCACCACCATAAGCAACGTTCATGTACAGCGTATGATTGAATTTTTACATACACTGGAGGTACCTACATATGCCGCTTTGCATATCGTTTGAGAGGGGCAAAACCATGAAATCGTAAAATGCGCGAAAGCATATGATGGTTTCAGGTATTTTGAAAACTCGGATAGTAGGAACGGGGCTAAACTGCCTAGAGATTTGATGTCGACGAGATCCTTTCGATAACGTGCCGCTCTTTTGACAATATCTGCTGCTGGTGGAAAGCCAAGAATTTTGGAATATGCACCAGATGGCCACGTTGTCTTCGGACAAAGACCGCAAAGAGTAGGCCTCCCACTCCAGCAGAGACCACACTAATGGTAGCGGGCCATTGAAACTGGGTTGGACGCGAAAATACGAGGGTCAAAATGTAAGAACAGATTTCGAACATGTTTTGCCATGCAGCTTCACCCGAAGAAAAGGACCCACTTACGGAGTACTTCAGGTTCCATGCCTTATGCAGTAATTTTTACAACAATATCAGCTAGTTGGCCCAGGGGCAACTTAGATCGGGATCTCTCACTTCTTGAACCAGGATTTGAGCGCATAGATCAAAAGCCTCTTGGCCCAATGCGCTAAGAATAGTGCCACCGACAGAGAAGAGCCAGGTGTCATAACTGGCTTGCGTAACCTAAGGATAGGGATCCCCCAGTTGTTAGGCAAAATTTTTGCCAACTTGCCAACCACAAGCCAGCACGTATAGGGCCAACTAGCCCCATAAGCCAGGGCACTATCCATGCGATAGGAACCTCGAAAATTACAGATGGAGACCTTACAACTCCAACCTGTATCGAGGTATACCCCACTGATAGGAGCCAAGTGATCATCTGTCCGGAAAATGACAGAACAGTCATATATAGTAAGGCACCAGCAAATGAAGGTAAAAAAGGCGGTGCTGCATATAAAAAGTAAAATTCTTGGCCACTCTTTGTGCGATGGAGTAGCATGTAGTTAGCCCAAAGACGAACGAATAGCGTATCCTGTTCTACCTTTACATTCCATTCGCATTCTCGGTAGAAGCCATCACCTTTGGATATTGTAGTCATTGTACCTTTTCATATGTCTATAGCGCGTCAGAAAACCATTATATAGGGTATGGATACGAAAAAAGAAAATCACACCCTGGCAATAGAGACGTATTCCGGATATACTGAGCCGATATTCATACCCATATTCAAGAGAATAGCAGCCTCTGTGGATTTACTTTCTATCAAGAATCCGAACAGAGGGCCAAGAAGCTTGCACAGCAAGTCAATCTGGCTCATTTTGCCGTTCAGCACTGAGCCAAATGTTAGTCAAGAAGTAGTAGCCAAATTTTAAAGCAGAGAGGCATGCATTTTAGATTTATAGCACCCAGCAATAACTGCAACCTATTGAGACTTATCAGCTTTGATCCCCACTAAGGGGCATTCAAAGACACACCCAATCACGCTCAACATAACAGAGCATACCTTCTCGATGCACATGAGAAGCACCAGAGCTATGCACAAGCCGATTTTAGCTATGTAAATTCAAAATTGGCTGCAGGTCTGCAAGCAGATGAAAGATGGTTCATGATAGAGCAACCGCAACCCACTGTAAAACTATTGAAACCTGGGCCATCAGATAGAAAGACCTTTGTGATTTCAAACCAGGGGCTCACAAATAGAAATTTGAACTACCTTCAAACAATTACCATAGTCGATGGAATGCCTACCGTTGAAGCGAGTAGAATCGCTACTATTCAGCGAGTAAATGTATATATAGACAAGGGTATCAAGATGCCCAGATAAATCGAAGCTAAGTAGAGAACTGTTCTGAATTCAAACGCCCGTGAATTCCAGGTGGATAAAAAGGCGAGGTATACAGACGACGAGTGGCCCACGCTGTAACAGGGACCATTCAGCGGAAGAGAGATAGAAGATGCCGCAGCACTAGAAATCAAGTGCACACGCTCTTTCGAGGACGAAGATGGTCTGGAATGAGTTGCCATACCATCTTAGCCTGACAGAATCTCCCCAGATGGCCATGAAGGATATTACGTTCTCCCGTAGTCTTGAGGTGAGGAGGTTGGGATTGGATCGGTAACTAGTCAATAACTAATTTAACTTCTGGGCGGCGTATCGTCACGCGTTTCGGAAACTTCTGCGCCCGAGAAGCTTTAAAGCGGTTGTAAAACAAGCATTAGAGTCTGCATCTAAAACATACTGCAGAGACAGAACCGAGCTGGTTGCGCGATGTCAGATGAAGTGTGTATATCGACGAGGGGACGGCGCTAGCCTCCTTTGAGCTGTTTGCACTGCGAGTCCCTATTCCGCTGACGACGACGACAGCAGAATGGCGAGCCAGTCCATTGCTTTTCAGTTCTTCTACACCGTTCTCTTTACCCTGTTTTCGGTCGTTGTGTTTGGCCTGACTCTTTTGACGCCCGGTGACCTCATATATCAAGCCTACGCTAGCCACAAACTCGGCAGCATCTTCGCTATTAGCGGAGTCTACATTGTCACTCTCCTTCTGGTGATCTTGATATATGCGAGTCGAATCTTCACCAACCGGAGCGTCCTAGCTGGCATCCCCAAGGCCTGGATACCGATAGAAAATCCTGATGTAGGAAAGAATGTTCGTCGACTTGTTGTTGAAGGGTTGACTAGAAGTGCGGTTATTGCCCAGCAGGCGAGGCCGAGAGACCGATCAGGCGAGGATACCAGCATGCTTGATCAGGCTTTGATTATCCCCTCCAACATCCCGCCCCCTTGGGGTACGGTGTCTCACCCCGGATGGACGGCTCCCGACTGCCCTGATCTTCCAAACCAAGAATTCGAGCCCGTTATCAAAGAATTGCCGCATTTGATTGAGGCGAAAGCTGTGTCTCTAGCTCCCACTGACCCTCGTTTTTTGCCGTCAACTCACGAACGCGGCCCTGATGGATCGAGAGAGGGTGATCATATTGATTACATACCTGACGCGCGGGTCGTGACGCTCTTACAACGACCTTCATCAATGTGTCTAAGAGACTACATGGGTCATTTAAGTAGCCTAGGCCTGATTGATCCTCCACACTTGGCCGACTCATTCCTAGCCCTTTATGAGAAGTCCCGTTTTTCACCTAAGCCACTGACCGAAACGCAATTCCGGACGATGATGGGGCTCTTTGCCGAGATGCTCCGTGGAATGACTGCGCTAGATCCAGAAATCATTTCACATGCCCAGCAGAATACCCCTACAGATTTATTTGATGGTGCGGCCTCTTTCGACGGAGAATCTGGTGTCAGCACGGACTCGTCGTCCTTTGTGTCTGCCGAACGGGCTGGAAGTAACCCATATCGCTACCCATCATATAGCTCGTCAGGAAAGGCAAGCAGCTTTAGGCTGCAGACTACCTCTGAGCGGCAGAGCTTACGAAGTGTTTCTCGTCACAGTCTGGCGCCCTCTACGAGGTCCTTTTGACAGTATACTTCCTAACTACACAGAGTTCACCCGATCGGAATGAATTACTATCTTAATATCAAATTCATACCTCCGCTTCTACCTAAGATTTCTCCTACTCCAATTTCTACTTGTGTTAATAGCTGAGATTCGCTCGCTCATGTTTAGATGGGGAAAGGTGATTCTTTATTCCCAGTCCAACCACAAAATCTTCGAAGTTCATTCACAAGTCATCAACACCAGCCGCCTGAATAACTAGGGTCTGACCCAAGCCACTCTGTGCGCTTCTCCTCTTCCGTCCAAGGCTCGTCATCTTCGTCCTGTTGCTCATGCCATGAGTAGTAACCATTAACTGACCCCCATTTCTCGTGAGGCTCCGTGTTCTTATCTTCCCCTTGAAGCCATTTTTCAAAAATCTCATCCGTCTCCTCGTACCATGGCATGAGCGACTTATCTGGCTTGTGCACCTTCATGTTCACGGGAATCACGGCCCACCCGTCCAGCCATTTTTCGACATTTTTGACTTGCTCCATATACGAGAAACGAATGAGGTCTTTTTCTATAATGGCCATATTCGAAGATAGCAGAACCTCGCTTCTATGTGCACCCCAAGTAGTGGTGCACCATTCACTGTCCGGAGGCAGTGATGCATCCAATGCTGCGCCCTTTATTTTCCTTTCTTTCAAAATGTCTAGCAACGCGCCGTCGTCAACTGAATACCCGCCAGATGCATCTATTAGGAGAGCAGAATCTTTCATGAGACTCAGTCGCTCGTACCCCACGAGGCCTTCATATCGCGAGATCGGCGCAAAATGCACGCTCACAACGTCCGCCGTGCAAAATAAATCATCTAGAGATTCAGCAATGGCAAATGCCCCATGCGATAGCCCCACTTTGCTAGCTTCGGCATCGGCCGTGCTCTGAATAAGATTTTCTGACCAGATGATGATTTTCATATTGAAACCCAAAGCACCAATTTTAGCAACCTTGACGCTCAAGTCGTTGAAGCCAAGAATTCCCAGCGTCTTACCCGAAAGGCTCGGTGTAGTTGGGTCGACCCACCCGAGGCTGTTCAGGAGAGAGTCGTCTATTATGATATTCCCAGCAATCCCCAATATCAAATTCCAAACATGCTGGGCGGCTAGGTCCAGCAATTCGTTCCCAGCAGTTCCGGCCACCGTGATCCCTGCATCTGTTGAAGCCTCAAGGTCAATTATGCTGGTCGTTCCACCGCTGGTGATAAGAAGTTCGAGATTGGGTAGCTTGCGAAGGAGGTGCCGAGAAAATGGAGTGCGCTCTTGCACGGTGCTGATAATATGGTACGGTTTTAGGCGTTCAATTAGCTCGGCCATTTGGACTGGATCGGATTGATCGAGAGTGTCACTAAAAGTGGTGATCTCCATGCCATCGGAGAGCCGGTCGAAGTACGGCTTTGCGAGGCCGTCGTAATCGTCAATAATAGCGAGGCGAAGACCAGGTTGGCTAGAAGCTTCCTCGCCGGTGTTATTGTTCGTAACTGATGGAGGCATCCTGTGCACTACTACTAAGTAAAGAATTGGCCTGAAAAATGCTTGGTAGTATGTAGAGAAATCCGATGTTGCATAAACTGCGGTGCCTGGTATCAGAGCCTCTTTGTAGATGTAAAAGTATTTGGTTCCAAGATGGAAATCCGAGCCAAATAAATAGTAGAAGACTAGAGGTCTCGAGAGCTACATTCACTCGGAGTCCTTCGCTGTTGATTTATATATACTTCGAGTTAGGAGGCAACTCCCATCAACTTACTGTGTAAAATTTGGGAATGCGTGTGGTTGGGCACATGATGACTTGTACCCGGAATATTGAGAAAATAGTAACTGTAAACCTCTCTACATATCCCATTTCAATGAAGACGGGCGTAATATCTAGATACCGAAATATCTAGATCAACAGGTGTTTGCAGAAAGTGTTGTGCAAATTAAGGAGTGCTAAAGGAGGCAATATGGCAAGTAGAAAAGGCCTTCATCGAACGGCGTCTTGCGCCGCTCTGGAGAGATTAAGAACTGGCTGGCTCTACGGAGCAAGGGAAAGCCAGGTGAGGTGAAGAGGATTATGATATCCAAACAAAAGAGAAGGAAAATAGCCAGAAATGTGATGACCAACGACGGTCACTTCAGAGCACTATCGATGGCATTGTGGAGCATCCAAGGCTCTTGATGGTTGCCGATCTGTACAGAGTAGAGGTTCCAGTGATTTATCCCACTGCGTATCTAACCACAGGTTGATACTGAGGGTGAAACATGGAGGTCGCAAAGTGGTTGCCTGCGCCGCGGCGGGGTTCCGCGCCGAAACAGCCGTTAAGTCCGGCAGAGTTTCCCAGCGGCACCCGAAACGGCAATATAAACACGACTCCCTCAGCCCGTCCGCACGCGAGAGAAAAAGAGAGAGAGAGAGGCAGCATCGCGCAGCCATGGCCTCCCTTCTGCGTCGCGGACTCGACCTCCTCGCCCCGCGGTCGTCGTCGCCCAGGCGGCAAGCTGCCAAGCACAAAGCCCAGCAAGCCTCGGGCGCCGAAACCGCCACCACCTTCACAACGGCCGCGACGTCGACCGCCCTCTTTGCGTCGGTTGACCGCACCGTCGATGGCGACGACTGCGATCGCGACTGCGCCTCCTGCACGGTCAAGTATCCCGCGAAGTTTAATGTCGACTACGAGGACACTCTATACGGGCATGTGAAGGGCTGGGCAACGCATGTCCTGGTCGCGACGGGGAAGACGGACTGGGTGAGGGATGTCGCCGACGAGAAAGGCAGCGTCATGGAGGCCATCGACAAAGGCCGCGTTCGCGCCAGCAACGGGGTATGATCTGCCGCATCCTCCCCTGCTCCCTCCCGCCAGCACTGCTCGTCCAGAATTAATGCGGATGGCTACCTATCTAGGCGCTAAAGCTCTCTGCGTCGAATATCCCTGTGCCGGACGAGTACTATGATCATCCCAAGGGACAGCAGCCGACGACCGTGTTGCTGCTCCCTGCCTTCACCGTCGTCGACCATGTGACCCCGGCCTTGGTCCCCGACTTAATACACAATTTCGTGGATCGCTCGCCCACGACTACCACCCCCTTATCGCCTGCACCGCAAATATCAGCGAGTCCCAAGGGTTCGGATCACTGTAACTCTGACGTTCCATTGGCGTTGGTGGCCGGGCCAGGAGACCATCCCGGGGCGCCGACCCCCCTCGACCTCTCCAGCATCAGGGACTCGCTCCCTTCACCACTGCGCTCTCGCCCTTGCCCACATGCTGCTGTTATCCTTCTCTGCTCCCAGAAAACACGTGATGCTCGCTGTGGCCAATATGCGCCCTTGCTTCGGCGCGAATTTGAAAGACATTTGCGGCCGCTTGGCCTATATCGTGATCTCACCGATGATAGGCCCGGCGGTGTGGGAATCTATTTTATTAGCCATGTCGGAGGTCATAAATACTCTGCAAATGTTATAGTCTATCGAAGACGAAACTTTGACTGGTTCAAAGAACGAGATGGCGCCGACGAGGAAAGCCAGCTGACGAGCGAGTCCGATGAAGGAGCTGCCCAGGGCATATGGCTTGCCCGAGTGCGGCCAGAGGATTGTGAAGGAATTGTAAAGTTTACGGTTCAGCAGGGAAAGGTAGTGAAACCAGACTTGCAACTCAGAGGCGGCTTCGACCGCCAAAGGGGATTGATCAGTTGGTGAACGGGATTCCCACAAACCCCCTTTTTTCTGGGCGATTCTGTGCTCCGGATCTTCAGGACATCTCCAGAGCCGGTAATTTGTCCCAGAACATGGTATGAAACGGACGACTTAGAGAATCATAACAAAAGTTACGTTCAAACATACTCCGTACTTCGTACATACATACATACATACCTGTTCACTCCCTCTGGCTTGGGTTGTGTGTAATTTTTCCAATAATGCCCACAGTATAGCTATGTTAGCAAGTTGACTGATGATCGAAATCATGCAAACCTTGAAACGCAGACAAAGAAAATGGCCTTGAGGAAACCCCTCAAAAACTTCGCTGCACGTCTGATTTGGCGCTCGGAACGCGATGGTAGCGACCCGGGTCGGCGTTAGGGGACGGAGACCCGACACTCCGGGCGACGGAGCAGTATTATTGCATCTTAGAACAAAGCAATGCCCATGGGGGCGCAGTGGATCATTATTATTGTTGTTGTTGACGTCTGTTGGGCTTGCCTGTGGGTACGGAGTACAGCCACTAGTTTAGCTCCCGTCCTTTGTTCTGTTCTCGCAAGCGAAAATCCCGTGGGCCATGCTGAAGGGAACGGATGGCATTCCCACGCGAAAGTCATCATCGGAAGATTTCAACAGCCTCAGTGGTTGATCTTCCTTTCGTGACTGCGGTTTGTGTTTTCTTTTCCTGCCCCTATTTCCTCACGCCCGAGACATGGTTTGGACCAAGGAAAGAAGCAAATATAGGATTGAACAAATTCACAAACAACCAGGCCGCGCGACTGACAGGAAGAGAACATCTCCTCGGATGTGTCTCAAATATCGCTCCGCCAGCCTGCTCAATTTTACTCTCTAGTCGCGGTTTTTGTTTTTTTTTCTCTTAACCTTCTTGGACTTCCGATCAACACAGCCTGGTGCAGTCAGAACCAGGTGTCGCTTCCCCCTTAGCCTCCAGCGAATGATAGGCTGCGATTTGGTCGGGATAAGTGTTGGTTGGCCAAACGTGGCTCATCTATCTGGCACACCATCCATCTCGTGAGCAAAAGGATCAATATTGACCAGGAAATACCTAAACAACGTCACAGGATTGACCAGGTGCCTGTCGTCGATTCTCAGCGCTGGTTTTCTCCATGGAACATGGCTTAAATGACCCCATGGCCACATAAAGTAAATATCCGGATGATGATTGAGTGGTAACCCCGCTGTTTCTTATGTCGGCCGACCTCTCGAACAAGATCGTAATGATAAGATGGGTTGCGAGATGCCCAAACGAGGGACGGAATATATCACCAATTAGACGCGGCTGATGACACGCAAATACAACCACTCGAACCGCTGCAAGCACAAGCGGCTCTTGGCATGCTGCGTGGCCCGTATATGCGTGAAATTTCTACACTTACCTTCGTACCGGAACATTCGGTCGAGGCTAAACGTAGGGAGCTGCTGGGGAGGCATTCCAGACCAAAGGACACGGAGACTGTCGTATCCCCAACCTTGTATGGAGTATGTGGGTTAGAATTATTTGCATAGGGATTCTCTTCACCTGATAGGTAACATGGATCCTGGTCGAACCCGAGAACCTGCTCACATGCGACATTGCCAAAGAGACGATTTTGAGTAGTTGATAAGATAAACATTTCCGTAATGATCCGTATTATATTGCCGACTAAGCCGAATCGAATACCCAGACTGCCACCATTGGTGTGAGACGAGGAAGAAAACAAGGCCAGATGATGGGAGCCTTGTTCTCTCGCAAGTCGTATGTTCTGTGAGGCTTGTAAGCAGTTTCTTTTACTCATACAAACAGCCAAAAGCTGCGAGTTTCATAACGACCAAAAAAAGACGGTGCAAATAAACCAATGCTGGCTGGTATTCATTCAGTACTTTCTGACGAACGAGAAAACTTCAACCATGTAGATTTTCTGGGCAGAAAGCTATGCAACCTTTTCCTTCCTTCCTTTCCGTATAACCAAAATCCGTAGTAACTCCGACCCGCTCTGAAATGGAAAAGAGGAGAAGAAGAATTCTTTAGCATCATCAACACCTGCCTTTGAAATAAGTGATAGAAAGAAAAAAAATACAACAGGGAAATGGGTATTAAGAGGGTATATGGTTAAGCCTTTCACAGCCCACGCCGAATACACACAACCTGTAGTGGGGGAGAAAAGCAATGTTCAAAATATATCATAACATAGTCGAATTTAAAATGGGTAAGGAAGGCAAGAAAGAATGAATTAAAAAAAAAAAACCGAGTCAAGGGAGAAATTTCCGTTGGCCTCAGAAGAATTCATGTCTGGGTCTCCGAAAATTGCAGTTTCTCAACATCAACTTGCATCTAAGCCCAGGAAATCGAGATTTGGTCGTTCCTGGTGATGGTGCTGGTTCAGAATGCGGGGAATCATAGGTTTGTCTAAGGCAAAGCCTCCGGTATAGTGCATTTGAGCCATGCCTTCAAACCCTGGTATACAAGGAGGTATGGAGTGGAAACGAGTAACAGGGTTGATCGGGCCCATGAGCCCGTAGTGCGGAATATGTGGCACGACCATTCCAGAGTTGACGAAATGAACTTCAGGTTCAATACCGACCTCAGGGACACTGGGAATGGTATGGATCATTGGAGGGGTTGGAGATGGGTAGAATTCAGCAGCGCTGATCATCACTCTTGGCGGCTCATAGGCAGGTGGTGGTTCGGTGACGCTGTGAATGGTCTGAATGATAGGTGGTGGGGGAGGAGGAATCTGAGAATAGACCTCCTGAGGGGACGGCTGAGTAACACATTGTGCTCGTGGAGAAGGCGCGAGCTGATGAGACCGGTACTGGTGTTTCGTTAAAGTTGTCTTTCGGCAAAAGCTACAAGGTCTGTTAGTAATGGGTCAGAGGGCAAGCTCTCGCGATTTCTGACCTTCTCTCGCAGGCTGGCTCGAGGCACTTGTAAGGTCTTTTCCCGGTGTGTATCCGCCTGTGCCGCGCAAGACTGGATGACTATAGGGGGCGGTTAGCAATTGAAAATACCCCCAATGCTGTCTCACGGCCAGCAGGACAGGTTGAACAGGAATAATTGGAATAATGGGTCTGTATCACATACATCTGAGAAAGCTTTTTTACAGTCTGGAGAATCACAAACATGGGGTTTCTCGCCAGTATGGGTGCGGGAGTGAACGGTCAATGCGGACCGCTGGATGAAACTTTTGGTGCAGTTGGGAAAAGTGCACCTGTACGGCCGCTCGTTGGTGTGTATCCGATGATGCCGGCCGAGGTCTGACTTGCGATTGAAAACCTGCGTGCAGATGTCTATGAATACGGCGAAATTTCCTGGCGGCAGACGGGGAACAAAGGGAAGAGGGGGGACAAAGCGTTTTGTGGAAGCGCGCATACCTTTTTACAGGAGTCCCAAGGACACGGGAAGCTGCGTGTCCGAGCCATGGTAACTGTCGCGGTTGCTACGATGCCAGCGCACTGCTTTGGTGAAGGCAGCGAGCGAAGGGGTGAAGATGGTGGTTCAGAGGAGAGAGGCAGAGTCTAGCATCTGGCGAAGTATATAGGACAGGCGGGCAAGACTCGAAGTTTAAACAGCAAGGGGAGTCCTTTGAGCAAAATAGCTCGCGGTCGCATGGTATAAAAGTAACTGGGAAGTCAAAGACCAGCTCTGCACGGAACAGCACCGGCCGTGGATTTCACTCCCAACCGGCGAGACTGACTTGACAAGAGAGAATTGAGGCGACTTAAGCATGAGATGTGGGACGCAGCCAAGCTTCGACTGTTACGAACGGAATCCTGGCGCTAGGCCCGGTGCGGCTAGCGCCGTATTACCAGGCTGATGGCGTGACTAGCGCGCCGACGGTACGCCGCGGTATCGGTGTAAAAACGCCATACGGGCTCGGCCGCACGGATGTGGCCGTACGCTAAATACGGCGAAAGGTTGGAACGAAGGAACGGGTCGAGGGGCCTTCCCGAAAACGGCTGGGCCCGGCACCGTTACGAAACGCGCGCCGTTTGGTGCAGTACCGTAATTACCGCCGTTTCCCACAGCACGCCGGTCGTCACCACCAACCATCACCACCTTGCGGGTGGTCCTGCTAGTTAGCTAGTGTGGCCCTCTTCTCCGCAGTGAGGGCATTCCGTGATGGACGGTGCTTCCCTCGACTCAATAATAATAATAATAAAGATACTCCGCCTGCTGCGCCCACCGTCTAATGATCCCCCGCCAAAGCTTGGGTGCGCGTCAAGAAGTAGGATGCCTGCTCATACGCAATCTGCTATCGGCCCAGAAAAGCTTTGAACAAGGTGCCCCAACATGAGCTAATAATATTAACGGCCACGACCTCATGCAACCCGCAGGATTGATGAAAACGACTGCGCCCAGTTGACTTCAGTTGTCGGGGGATCGTCGTGCCAGACAATCCCGGCCGCCAGTGGCCGCCGTGAGAACAATCTCCATGCTCGTGGCTGGATGAAGACCAACAATAATGATCGTGGTGGTGTGCCGCGAGCAAAGCACATGAGCGTTCTATGTCAGGACTATGTAGCTATGTACGCAGTACTCCGTACTCCGTATGTATGTATGTATGTACCCCACAGATGGACCCTGCTTTCTGGCTGACTACCCCTCAACTCTGCCGATCATAGCAGTTTGATATTGCTCTCCATGAGCGGGCGCCCTCACTGCTGCACTGCTGTGTGACTTCTACCGTTTGCTCATTTCGTTGATCACATTCCGCCTGACACTACTGTGTTGTAAGCTCGAAGGATGGAGGGTTGGTAGCGAACCTCATTCGCAGCCTATCCTTACGCAGCTAAAGTTACAGGGAATGCACCTGGTATGGCTGGCAACGATAGCACATGGTGTCTGCTTGACACCGAGACTAGCCCCTCCCGGCACAGAGTATCGACAAATGTTGGCTGGAACGAATCGCTCTGCATACGATTCGATTCGTTCGCGCAGTCGACGTGGCTGTCACAATCTCCAATCACCATATCGCTGGAGGGGGGGCGGCGAGCAGCAGCTCGCTAGCTTCAGCCAGCTTTCCGTGTGCTGGGGGGGATGCATGTATCATGGATTCCAAAATAGATACTTCTTTGTTTTCTTCCATTTTCTAACGCGCTCAATCCTCAACCGCGGAACAGGACCTGGCTCTGCCTATATCCACGTCTCTGTGAAAGACACGAATATTGTATTCCTCTTTGGATGGACTAACTCCATTCGATCTGGTATCACTACTGTAGATCACTTCACCACTACCCAAAGTTGGTTGGCGGATTTGCGGAGATTTCTTGTTCCAGGTTGCAAAGGGGACAGAGTCGCTAGACTCCAGTGGTCGGCTCTAGGTTGTGTGACAAGCAGCTCTCCAGGCCTCGCGGCACGGCTTTTGCTCTCGGTGGCCCGCTACTCAACCACAACTAAGCCTGGATGTGGTTCCTGGAGCCTTGGAAGCGGGGTTTGCATCGACTGGGCAGGCATGTCCACCACGGCCGACCAGCACATCTGATAGCCCGCGTTTGACTCCGATAGGACGCCGGCAGCCTGGCAACACTCGTCCCCAGACTCCTTTTGCCAGACAGCGCGGGCAGGCTGCAGTTGTGCGCAATGCCTGGAGGACCGCCCTTTGTGTCGGGAATGCAGATCCAATGTTGAGCTCGTTGCTCCGTAGTTGCTCGTTACATCCAGCCGTGCTGTACGCGGCTGTATGCACGCGTGACCGTACCGCCCGTAACGGCCAATACGCGGGCGGCGGGGCCGGGATAAGGTTGTGGTTCCCCATGTTTTCTGTGTGTTTTAATTAGCATGAAAGCCAAGGCCTCATCAAAGTTCTCGAGGGAGTGATCGCTGGGTGGGCGTGAAGATGCCCCACAGCCCGCCTCGACGTGGCCCTGAAACCTCAGCTTTCAGCCAATGCGGTATGAAACGAGAGCGCCAAAAATAACCAAAGCCTTTTCAGACCCCGAACCATTCCTGCGCGAGAAGGAACAGGACATCCCAAGCTGGGGGCCTTCCAGAAAATGGCGCACAAGGAGGGAGCAAGTAGTTAGCATCCGCCTTTCGCTGGGACGCGAGTCCACGTCGGGAAATGGATTCCACTGTGCCAACATTGGGAGTGGGAGCTGCGCAAATTTCGACTAATCCCGCCAGCATGCCCCCCAAGCATGCCTTGCTTCGTATGGGCGCGCAGCAGAATAGCTGTGTAAGACATAGAGCGCCCGTGAGGGAAAGCCTTGGCTCGTACCATCCTTTGCTGCGGTCCGCTGGAGCCTTCAATTGACCCCCAAATAATGAAAAGGCCACCCCGGGGCGGCCTCCTTGATGGCCCATGGCAACGTTTGGCCTTTCGGCGGGCACAAAGGCCGAAATGGATTAAACTGTAGTTGGGTTCGCGCCATTGTCGGTTGGAAACCCACGCGGGTGGGTGGCAGACTCCGGCCCACGTTTCTATAAGCAGAACCAAATGGTGGGAGGGGAAGCCGTGCAGAGCCATGCGCCTGGGTCGCCGGCCACTCCATACTCCTGCGCCATCGGCAGACAAATTGTGGCCTGTATGGTGCCAAGGAATTGCCGTTGGAGGGCAGTTACTTTTTCCGCAAAGCAAAACAACAGCTATAGCAAGCCATTATTCCGCATCACGGGCCTCATCAACGCTCATCCTCCCGTGTTGAGAATCTAAAAAGCAAGTTATCATTTGAGATCAGCCTGGGATCGAATGGCAGCAGCTAATGGGCTGATTACACAATATTTGTCATGCTGTAGTCTCTGTGGCAATGCGGGCAAAAGGAAATCTTCGGAGAGCTATGCAGTTTGTGGGCGTTTTTCACTCGAACCAAGGGAGCATTCCTCGCTTCTGACGGCATTTTAACGGGCTCGCAGAGGCCTTCGCTCCAATTAACAAACAAGATATCGCATCGCTCTCTTTTTTCAGACCTAAGGCATGGGGAGGCGTTAGAGGGGAGCGACATTCGGGGATGGCTGGTCTGGCAAGGCTGGAACTCACAAGCACGAGGTCACGGCTGCAAAGGGAGCATGGCATAAAGAAGGTGTCTTCAAGCCACCTGGCAGGTAGCTCCTTGTCTTGACGGAAGAGCAACCCTGACTGGCCGACGTCGCCCAATTGTTATTACTTCTCTCATCCTGGAGAATGAAGATTTGCAATAGATTTTGATTTCAGCGCGCTTAAGCCAGTCGGCTAGCCGTTTCATCTGGCAAACCTTGTCGCGAGGAGGTCTAGATCAGGCAGATCCGCGGGAAGACCACTCGCTAAAGCTGCTCTCCAGATCTCCACCATGATTCGACGGGCCTGCACGTGCCGCATGCCAGCCCCTGTGGCAGCGACGGCAGAGTGTACTCCGTATATCCATCCGTCCAGGAGCAGCAGGAGGAGGGCTAAGGGAGAGGAAAATGGATAGAGTGCCGTGTGAGTACGGAGCACTCCCTAATACGGAGTTCGTGATGCCAAACACAAGGATCGCCCTTTTCACGGCCTGACACACACAGGGTGTCTCCGCATTGTCAAGCTTCTGGACCCTACTAGTAAACTTGGCTTGAATTCTTCCGCTACCGCCCTTCAAAGGCAGAGCTAGCGCGCGGACCACAACGACACATCATCCAAATTAATGACGCTGGAGAGCAGCAGTGGCTACGACCACTTCAGTGGGTTGATTTGCTGCCCGGCGCCTCCGTCCCCGTTCGGGCTAGCGCCCTCGACTGCTGAGGGTGCGGCTATTCCCCACTTCTTCGGGTTCGCGCGGAACCCAATACCAGCGAGCCCCACCGGCCCAGTACGGAGGCCGTAATGCCTTGGTATGCGTATGTATCATCGTACCAGTGGTATTCATCATGGTATGGGCTGTGTATCGACGATTCTGTGTGTACGGGGCACTATCCAGCGTTTCAGTCGCGAATTTCGAATCAGTCGCGAGGCAAGAATGCTTCCCCTGGCGATATCAGGTGGTGGATAGAAGCGTCTCTTTGCCGGGCACACAAGTACGGAGTACGAAGCATCCTGAGGCCTTGCCTGTCTTCATGAGTACTGATAGTTAGCCCTTTGATCATCTCCTCCGATCTGAGTTCTGAGGGACCCTGCGTGTTTGTTTAGGGTATTTTCTGCGGTCTCTGCCGCCGTTAACCACTACTAAACTAAATATCTTGTGCCTGACATCTAACCCAAAGGTACTCCGTACCCAGCACTTCATAGCCCCATCGCAGTTGTCTGGAGGATCCGCCGTTAGGCAGCCTTCTACCCGCAACATCGCAAAAAATAATAACCGTTCCATCGTCCATCAGGCAACAAGAGCTTCGAGAACCCGGGTCCGCTGGGCTGCTTGCGTTCATCCATGCTTTTCCCCACCGAGCTGGCACGTTGGGTTCTGCCTAAGGCTTCTTTGCTATTATTTCCAGTTCTCCGTACTCTGTACGCCAAGACAGGATTTGATGCTCCTGACCACGACCCCTATTTGGCGACAATTCCGTTCTGCGGAGAAAATTCTGGAGAAATGAAGAAGGCGGGTGTCCTCGCTCTAAGTCCTCTGAATTTCATGGTTCACGGCCTTCAGAAGAGCGCCCTGGTGCCAGCAATAATAATCATGGCAGCCATGTCCCTGCGGCCAGGCTGATGAGCGGAAATTGCCATGAAATGACTGAATTTCTGACCAATGACTGTTCTCAATGGCCTTATCCCACGAAACTTTCTCGAGGATCGGATCTACCGTCCGAGCCACAATGCGGGCATTTTCTTCTAAGTGAAAAGATCAAACTCCCTGGGCACACAACACCCTTGAGTAAGTCAGATTTATAAGCGATTACGAGGTGCTTTTGCCCAGAGAAGCTTTGCATGGATGTTTGCTTGTGAAAGGAGCTCTATTGTCGGCCTTAGCATTATTCTCAAAGGATCACAAAAAGACTCTATTCGTACTATTTATTCTGCAGGATGCGGGAACTTTCCAAAAAACCTGTTTGAACCGTTGGCTGATGTTCATGCGATGGGCGATGCAATTATTATTGTGTTACAGATACTAAGCGCTAATAGTCGCTGTGGTTCCTGACAACAATGAAATTACTCCATACTACATAGTCGATTTTAGGGGCACATATGATGTGGGCAAGAAAGCTGCAGATGTGACAAGATCGCCCTGCCAATACTGCTCTACGTGAAGTCTAGAAGATAACCGCTTTGGGGCAATTCCGGCGCCATACTGAGTACTTTGATCATAAATTTGCATTCCCCTCAACACATAGATGCGCTCAGCCTGATGAGGTTTCGAATTACAAGTGGAATCGCTGAATCGCCTTCCTTTCGGGATTGAATAATCGTACAAATCGAGCCAATCCCGCAGCTAGGCTGCATGGTCCGCAGGGAGAACACCCAAGAAACATACGCACGCAACGGAGAACTTGCGCAATGTTTTCCTTCAGGACGCGCCATGCGATGGAAAAATGAATTCAGATTGTGGATCGAGGGAAGCACAGCTAAAAAAACCATTCGGAGATGCTAAAATATTTATTGGAGACTAGGTGCCCGGAGAGAAATTTGTGGGTTTCTGCTGCTACCTAAGGTTCCCAGCTCTGCCCCATATTTCCATTTGTTTCAAACAGCTGATCTACAATACCGTGTCAATTTTAGTTCCCGATGGCTGGCTGGTCGAATGGTGACGTCATGAGAATGTAAAAGTCGTTGGCTCTTCATGCCGTTTGAAGAGGGGCTTGCCCTGTAACTACTCCGTACTCTGGGTCTCAATTGTATGGTGGATCAGCTCTTATTTCCCGGGAAAAATACTAAATGGGACATCAATTTTGTTCGTTGAGAATAAAAAGGTTAGTTTGGTGGCTAAAACCTCATTTCTGACTGAGCATCTAGGAGTCTCTGAAGGTCGTTTGAAGCTAAGATACCTTTAGAATATTGGAATTATTCTCTTAGAAGATGGCTTCACACTATTCATACCTTCAGAATTTTGCGCCTGGTCTAGAAGGCCATTGACACGTGGCTGCCAACAACCAAGATGTCTTATGTGAACTTTGACCATCCTCTAAATTTACAAAACAATGGGGAGGAGTCGAACTACCAGACTCATGTTTTGTTCTGCACAGCCAAAGACCCGTGTAAATTGTATTCCGTGATAATCGCGATTTCCGGACTCCGGAGACTTCCGTTGGCCACATTCAATCTACCTTACAAGCCGCGCTTAGATGGGCATTCACCTTAAGCCCTGGAGACTATGGGTCCCTCACAACTCAATTAGTCGCCAAATACATTTAGAACATCGACAGCTCCTCGAAGCCATATTTCCTTGGCCAGATAGGGCTATCCAAAACACTGTGAAATTTACTCTTTGATCTATCTGGTCCCGCTCCACTCGGCCGTATTGCGACCGAGAAGGCCAGATTATCTTGCTTGTTAATCGAAAGAGGACATTTAAGTACTGTAGCAACTTTCTCTGATCCCCTAACCAACATGAAAATATACTCCAGCTAATAATGTTTCCACAGCCGCGTTCGGCTACGTCCCACAAAAGAAAACAGCAGGAGGCGGAAGAGTAGGATCGGTGGCGAGGGATGAAGGCTTCGTAAGAGTGCCCGGCAATTGATTAAAATACGGCAAAATTTTGAGAGGATACAAGCAGAATAATATCAAGTGCAGGTCGCGTTTCTCTTTACCTCCTGCTACGGCTTCTCCTGCTCTTCTGTTCGTGCACGTCAGTTGTGGAGCTAGGTTGATAGAGGCTAGTTAGTTCAAATTCTACCCCGGTTTTTCTTTTGGTGGAATAGCCTTATGCATCGCCTATCTAGAAGGAGTAGTAGAAATCATTATTCACCGTCAGAGACGGAAGAATGATAGAGAGAAGACTCAATAGCCGTCGTTCCGGCTTTGTGGACGCCGGAAAAATGGTATTCCGGCGGTATTCGGAAAATCCGGTATGATCCTCCAGTAACTACGAAGTACGAGTACGAGGCAACAGTGCCAAAAGGAGATTCAACTACACAGAGAAGGAAGGCAGCCGGGAAAACATTGAGTGGGTAGAAGAACAGGACCGGGGATTACGGGACTGTATTTACGCTGTTTGAGGGTGTTGCTTGCGCCGGAAAGGACAAAAGACCATTGCAAATGGATGAGGTATTCATCCTTGTTACTGGCACAAACAGGTACCTTTCGCTATCTCCCGATTCCTGCATTACTAACGGGACTAATGATGTAACAGTGGCCTTGGTTTATCTATCTGCCGTCGATTGATTGACGAATTTCTATCCCAACGTCCAAGAAACCAATCGTTAAACCTCATATTTACTACGAGAAGCACGAGGAAGAGCAATGAGACTTTGGCTCAATTGCAGAGTCATCTTCAATCTAAAAATGTCTTAAAAGATGATCTCGATAGAGTGACGCTGAAGCCAGAGCATGTCGATCTTTGCGACTTGCTATCTGTCCGTGCGCTTTCACAACGGCTTCTGACTTCAATACCGAAGCTCGATATACTTATACTGAATGCTGGAATTGCCGGTTTCACAGGCATAAATTGGCCGCGCGCCATATTTCTTGTCATGACCGATTTGATCCATTCGGTGACATGGCCGGCGGGATACTGCCTAACAAGCATGGGGAACTTGATCAAAAAACAAACATCCTTTCCCGATGAACCTGAATTAGGGGAGGTGTTTTGTGCCAATGTTTTTGGCCACTATATGCTAACTCACAATCTCATGCCTTTACTTGAGAAATGCAATGCCCCTGGCCGAGTCATCTGGACTTCAAGCCTGGAAGCGACCAGAAACGCATTTGATATCTCTGATATTCAGGCGCTCAAGACCCCTCACGCCTATGAATCTGTCAAGTACCTCACAGATGTCTTAGTGCTGACATCACCACTATCAAGCACCTCTCCCTGGGTAGATACATTCTCCTCTTCACGCAAACGTAGCACTAGGAATAGTGCCATCAACTCCATCAAACCAAATATGTACATTGCCCACCCTGGAATCTGCGCGACCTCCATAATGCCCCTCCTCCTCCCTCTCTACTATGCTATGATGGCCGCATTTCTATTTGCCCGATTTCTCGGTTCTCCATGGCACGTTATCTCGTCCTACCGGGGCGCCATCGCCTCCGTCTGGCTGTCACTCTCACCGCAATCAACCATCGATGCCGCGGAGGCCGCCTACGCGGCGCTCGGTGGCGGAAGAGTTAAATGGGGCTCGGCGTGTGATCGATCAGGAAGAGAGAAAGTGGTATGCACAGAGGTGGAAGGCTGGGGGTTTGGCGGTGTGGTGGGAGCACCGCAGCTGGATGGTGATCGGACGCGAATGAGGAAGCGGGGTGCGGTGGACTTGACTGCTGAGGAGAAGATTGAGTTTGAAGAGCTGGGGAGGAAGTGCTGGAAGGAAATGGAGGAGCTACGCGTGGAATGGGATGCGATATTGGATAGAGCGGAGGAGGAAGAGCGTCGTCCGAAATCATAAAGGAGTTATATGGAGGTATAAAAGGCAATGCATGTATGTACATCTACTCTGGCGAACTGGAAGTTCGATTTTTTCTTTTTTGCTGTATTAATATGTAGTTACCATTTAATCTGGTGTTTGGTCTCGAAAACTGCCATGCCCCCCTTGCCTCTGCATCTGTAGGTTTCCTATATCATTTCCTTCAAGACAGGCCTGCATTTCACCTACCTTTACAAATACCAGGTCATGAAACAAATTGAGATTGAAACCTCAAGTAATTTAAACCATGGCGTAGAAAACAATATAGTAAGTAGAGTATGTATTGTAGTAATCTAATCTTTCTTGAAATGTTGTTCCTCCGAACCAGGAGACCCCATCCACACCAACTCCCAAACAAAGGCTGATTGTAAAGGCATTGAAGAAAGCATTGCGAAACAGAAACAACTCTTCCGTGAAATGGAAATATGCAAGGGAGAAGTTGATCAGTTATCAGAAGGCAAGTGAAGAGACAAAAAACTGGGCACAGCTAAATATGTCTCCGGCAAAAATGCGCACGCAAACAGAAAAGGTAATTAAGGCTGAAACTTCAGGGTGAAGAAGCATAACAAAAACAACCAAACTGGTCAAACAATAAAGAACGCAAAACGAGCCACAGGGTACTAAACAGGGCTTTATACATACAAACATGACAAGACGTGCTTAACACTGAGAATAAATGCGGGAACAAGAAAAGGGACCTCCCTGCTCTATTCATTTGTCACTTTTTTTTTGAATTCTCCTGGACGGCCTGATCATCATGAATTATACTATGTATTTAATTAAATTTGCGTCGATCTCGAACTGACGTAAAACTTGTCCCTCGAGAAATCGAATCGAAAGGAAAAGAAAGACAAAACATTATATGGGAATCTTCACCTTACATAATGATCGCAGGTGCTGTAGAAAAAGTTAGTTTGCAGCTCAAAGGTAGTATGGTAGAGCCAAGGGAGCACATACAATCAATGTTCTGCTTAATGCTCTTGTGGGGAAGAATGGAACCACCATTGACGTAGACCTCGTCTCCGATGCTCACATCATCACCGAGAACAGACACATTCTCCAATCGGGCCCATTTGCCGACAGAGCTGTTCCAGCCGATGATGCTGGACTTGACCCAAGCGTGGTCCTTTACCTTGCTATTCTCAAGCAAGACACAGCGCTGAAGCCGCACACCGTCGCCAACGACAGCGTTTGGTCCAATTGTCACATTGGGGCCGATGCGGCAATTTTTGCCAATCTTTGCAGTTGGGTCGATCAAGACGTTTCCGCCAAAGACATATGGCTCGGTGGATGGTGTCAGGAGCTTGGAGTTGCGCTTGGAGAGGGAGTCGAGGTAGAGGCAGGTACCAGTCAAGAAGTCTTTTGGCTGTCCAACGTCCATCCAGAAACCCTCAAGGTCGAACGAGTGAAGCTGGCCATCCTTGCAGATAGCAGGGAAAGTCTCCTGCTCAATAGAGGTTGGGCGAAGCTCAATGCGCTTCAAGACGCTTGGGTTGAGGATGTAGATACCGGCGTTGATGCGGTTCCCCACAAACTCAACAGGCTTCTCAACGAAGCGGTCGATTCGCGTAGGGTGACTTGGCTTGTGAACAACGACACCATATTTGGAAGGCTCCTCGACTTTTGTGACAACAATGGTACCTTCGTCGCCATGTTTCTTATGGAAGTCTGCCAGCTGCTGGAAAGGGTATTCACAAATGACATCAGAGTTAAGGACAAAAAAGGGGCTGTCGTCTTTCCCAAGAATCTTCTCTGCGAGTTTCAAAGGGCCAGCAGTGCCCAAAGGCTCGGATTCGACTGAGAATTCGATCTTGACGTTATATTCTTCTTCATACTGTAACGGGACACAATGTGGTTAGCAGGTGCGCGACAGTATATCCTTACAGCGACGCCGTACCTTCTTGAGGGCCGAGACCATAATATCTGGGCGATAGTTGACAGCAAGGACGATATCTGTGACACCTGCAGCAGCCAGGCTCTCGACCTGGTGCAGGATCATAGGGCGATTGGCAAACTCGACCAGCGGTTTTGGGAGAGTGAGAGTCTGCCATGGCACCAGTCAGTTGAGATCCTAGTTATTGAGGTTCGCTGACATCGCGAAGCTTGGGGAAGAGGCCAGGTTACCAATGGGCGGAGGCGGGTGCCGAAGCCTCCAACGAGAATAAGGGCTACATAGCGGGAGCGTCAGTCAGCACAGAAGACGCCGGCCATTGGGCGAGGTCGCGATATCGCGTACCTTTCATTGTGAGAAGCTAACGAGCGTTTAGTCGACGGGAGCGAAGGATGATGCGGTGAGACAGAGGAGTCCCTGAGGGCGGGGGAGCAAAGAGTCGGTGAAGGAGCCGGACAGGGAAGCGCAACGACGGCGCGCGTGGTCGTAGTCGTAGGAGAAAGAGGCAGAGGCAGAGGCGAGGTATAGCGCTTGGCGGAACCGGCGACGAGGCAATGGAGCGAGAGGAGGTCGGGGAGGAGGAGGAGGAGGAGGAGGAGCAGGAGGTTGTATGGCAGATGGGCAGCGCAGGCGGAGGAGAGTCGAAGGAGAAAAACCAGCGCGGCGGGCTCAGGGATGTGTGGTCAGGTGGGCTGGGCTGGGCCGGGGCGGTCACAATGGCCCGGCAGCGCTTATGATTGGGCTTGCCGGCTAGGGGCGCGGAGCCTAACCCGCCAGGGAAGGCTAAGCGGGCCCAGGCGTGCGCGCCGCCGCAACACGCGACGGCCTTGGCAGCCACCTTGCGCCGCGAGGGCGATGCTTCTTAGCAGTGTTTGTATGGCTAGTGCTATTTATTATTCTTATTATTATTATTTGATTCCACAGAGCACTCCGTCCGGTCCACGGAAAGCTTATTGCCCGCCCGTCCAGGCACCGCGCAGCTCATCCCCCCTCCGCGCCACAGGGCCGCGGCAACATACCCAGTTTTGGAACCTGTACGGACCACCCGATCATATGATCTAAGGAGATCAACAACGACAGCCGCGATTGAGTGGCGCTGATGGAGACGACAAGGAAGCAAGAGAGAACCCGTTCCCCCAGTTTGAAATTAAAGTGTCCGACCGCCACGTCACCGCCCGGCAACCCATCCCAGTCACATCTCATTTGAAGCACGCCACCCGCCCGCCCAAAACGCACGCTCAATGCTATATCTAGTCCTTGTCACGGCAGATCTATGCATTCTATTCACCTTCTTGATCCTGGATTCTTGCCTTGGAACTAAGCTCAACCTTGCACAGACTCACCGCGACATTGGGTGTCGATATCAAGATGGGCATCAACATTTCCATCTGGCCTGGCACCGCCCTGCGGGAGCGTAGAGGGGGTGATTGTTGATCGCCCACGCAGGGATCCTACCTATTGTGTGTCTGGAGGGAGCTGGGCGGCTGCCGTGAAAGACCTGAATGCGTTTTCGTCTACAGCCGTGCCGGGCGCAACGAAGTTCCGTATCCAGCGCCTGACCCGGCGGATCTTTTTCGTTTGCGGATCGGCCCAATTCGCCTCTGCCGTGTTGCCACCAGCGGCATTAGCATCTTCCGCTTCGATGGTAGGGTCCGACTCGCGATCCAAAATATCGACCTTGGTCGTCTCCTGCCGTAAGCTCTGGCCATAGACTTGTCCGCAAAAGGAGCTCAGGGCGAGGGAGCGAATAAAAATCACGTCGCGAAGCCGGAGTACCTTGAGAGACGCGTCTAGCGACCCGGGGGCGCTAACGGCGTGCTCATTTGACACTGGCACCCAGAAACTCACACGAAATCCGATTTTTGTTTCGTCGCCAACCAGTATCTCTACGATATCCATCTCACGCCCCCAGCGCGTTCGGACCCGGCGTCGCGGTTGGATGGTGAGGATCGCAGCTAGAAGGTTCACGGTTACGATCTGGGGAGCCACAGATTCTAGATAGGCTGCACGAGGGATATCACCAAGGTTGCTCCAATGGCCTTGTGTACGGCGTCCATCTGTGTAGCGCTCGCAAGGCTGGTTCGGGCGCCTCGACAACGAATTGTTAAGGCTTTCCTCCCCAAAGCTAGGTGTAAGTTCGGAGTCATCCGTAAACGATATAGTATCGCTCAAAAGCGAACCGCTTATTCCCTCGTGAACAGCAAAGGAGTGGTCGTAGAAATTCGATAGCTCGTCATCTGCCTTGAGGTCAATCGGGTTTCCAGAGTATCGTTGAATGGATCGCATCATAAAGAACGACGCTCCCTCAAGGGGAGGCTTGATGGTAGGAACATTCATCGGCGCTAGCGACCGCCATCGCACTGGTGAGTCGGACTCTTCGACCAGCTTCGTGTAGTAAGGCGGCGGGAGTGGTGCTTGAAGAAGCTCCGATTCCTCCCAATTCAGAGAGCTGCGAGGCGGAAGACCAGCCAGGATAATCACCCTGGGTGCCATGCCGTCGAATATAGATTGCACACCATTAGCAAAACTGGTAGCGAAGAGCTCAATGCGCTACATTTGGAAACGACAAGGCCCTACCTATGATGCCGAACTATCAACGCTCTTAACAACGCTTCCACGGCATTTCAGCCTCCGATGACTAAACATGTCACGTGTATAATTGACCTTACCGCTTTGGGACCGCCATGCTTTGTCATGATTCGCCGCTCGGGCTTCCTTATGAGAAACGATTCTTTGGACATTTTCGATTCAACGGCTCAAAGAGCGCCATGGCCACAGTCCTTTCTGTCCGTGGCCGTCCTGCAGTTTGACCCCCTCTTTTTTAATAGTTTGTATTCCTGACACTCTCCCCAAGAGTGTAGCTCGTTTTATCTTTGCCGTGAGGCTTTCGTGCCCATGGCTTTTCACACCCCCATCTCCCTCCCGGTAAGCTACCCCAACTGGAGCTACGAGCGTCTGGCTATTATATTTCTAACTGTAGCTATCTTGATAGAATGTTGCAAGCGTAACATCCGAGTTGTGGCCAAGCGTGGCCAACGCATTTACTGCGCCTTGGAAGACACTCACTAAACCACCCCGCGGACCTCCCTCTCCGGACTGCCAGGGATCATTGCGCGAGCTCCATGGTGAAAAAGCGAAAGATGTACGTAATCCATACCCTTATATACTTTGCTGTCTGCTCACATATAGTGGCGTAGTTTCTTCCCTCATTTCCAGAATGTCTTGGACCAACACCCTTTGAAACATTAAAGCTGGCCGCAGAGCAGAAATTACTACGCCGACAGACTTCTAAAGCTACGTTACTATCGCAGCGTACGTACTTCCCCTTTTCCGGAATGATATCTGAGTCTAAGGTATCTCTGTATAGTATCCTCGAATCGACTCTGGCCCAACCGGAATTTTAGGTCTCCTAGCTCCCCTAGGCCCAATTCTATCCGTTCATATTCCACGTTCTCTGTATTCTCCCTGAACCGCCCGACAAGGATACCTAAGGTTCAAGGCCTCTCGCAGTTTCAGCAACATCGATTTCTATTTGGTGGTCCTTCGCAGAGTACGTTACGTTATATCGAGCAAAATGCAAACAATAGCCCGTCGAGCGCAGCATCGCAAAATGCATTTTACGCCGCTTTACTCCGTGCCAAAATGCCAGCTATCGTTATTGAACGGTATCAGAGCGGTGGATTTGCCAGTAATACGCAGTCAACGCAGTTGTATATGAAAGCTCTACAACAAGTTGGATCGTCAGGAATGGGCCAGACGCAAAATCAAATGATGTCTCATGAAAGTCTGAACCCTGATCAAGTGCAAGCTGTCGGTCAAGCCGTTGCCGCACGGACCCACGGAGGCCAGATTGGCATGTCTACGAAACCAAATAGCACGGGAGCAAAAGACGCGCCTATCTACGTTGTCGTCGAGGAGTCGACCGGAAGTCAGGTTTTTAGGTGGATTAGATTCTTCCTGTATTTTGGTTTCATCTGCTACATATCTCTGGTCCTCGTCAGCTTTGTGGTCGAAACAACCGGCGTATTGAAAAACGTTCGAGGTGCCCAGAATAACGAAGCTCAGCCACAACATCAGAAAGTTCGTTTTAGTGATGTTCATGGATGTGACGAAGCTAAGGATGAACTGCAAGAGCTTGTTGAGTTCTTGTCGAACCCGGAACGCTTCTCTTCTCTTGGTGGCAAGCTACCCAAAGGTGTCCTTCTCGTCGGCCCGCCTGGAACTGGTAAAACTCTACTTGCCCGCGCTGTTGCAGGGGAGGCGGGTGTTCCGTTTTTCTACATGTCCGGATCTGAATTCGATGAAATATACGTTGGTGTTGGTGCCAAACGAGTACGTGAGCTATTTAATCAAGCAAGGACCAAGGCCCCGGCAATCATTTTTATCGACGAACTAGATGCTATTGGTGCCAAACGTAACGAGAGAGATGCTGCCTATGTCAAACAAACATTGAATCAACTTTTAACCGAGCTAGATGGCTTTTCACAGAGCAGCGGTGTTATAATTCTTGCAGCTACTAATTACCCCCAACTTCTGGACAAGGCACTGACGCGACCTGGTCGTTTCGATCGTAAGGTTGTAGTGGGCCTTCCAGATGTCAGAGGCCGCGTTGATATCTTGAAGCACCATATGAAGAACGTGCAAATTAGCACTGATGTTGATGCTGCTGTTATTGCCCGTGGCACCTCTGGATTTTCCGGCGCTGATTTAGAAAACCTTGTCAACCAGGCTGCTGTCCATGCCAGCCGATACAAAAAAGCCAAAGTTGGCCCGTTGGACTTTGACTGGGCAAAAGATAAAATCATCATGGGAGCTGAGACCCGTAGTAGGGTTCTAAGAGATGAGGAGAAACTTTTGACTGCCTACCATGAAGCCGGGCATGCTCTAGTTGCCTACTTCTCTCCCGCAGCAATGCCATTGTACAAAATCACTATTGTGCCTCGTGGAATGTCCCTGGGTGTTACCCATTTCCTTCCGGAAATGGATATCTACTCCAAAAATTACACAGAGTACCTTGCCGATATTGATGTGTCGATGGGAGGGAAAGCAGCCGAAGAACTCATTTATGGACCTGAGAAAGTGACCAGCGGAAGTGCAGCAGTAAGTTTTGTCCCTCCTTACATCTGTGTCTTCGTATTAATATCGTGCTAGGACCTCCGCAGTGCAACCGAAACTGCATTTTCAATGGTCACGCAAATGGGGTATTCTAAGAAACTGGGAAACGTGGACCTTAGCTTCAACTACGACGCTTTGTCCTCGGAAACAAAGCAAGAAATTGAAGCCGAAGTTCGTCGCATCGTCGATGAAGCTAGTAGTCGTGCCAAGATTATCCTCAAGGAACGTCGGGAAGAATTGGAGCTTGTGACTAAGGCGCTGCTAGAATATGAAACGTTAACAAAGGAGGAGATGGAAAAGATCTTACGAGGCGAGAAGCTAGAGAAGCTCGAGGTGTCGCCCAAAGCACCCATCATCCTCCCGGACGCTTTACTTGGCCCAGGATTGAACCCACCCACTGGGGAGAAGGCTGCCTCAGAGTAGCTTGTTCTTCTTTGTTCTGCCACTCTCGTCCCATGTGAACAATTTCTTCTTTTGTCATACCTATAGCGTCCCATCTCTATATCTGAATCATATCCCTTTTAACAGATCATTATTTTCTTTTGTTTTTTTCATTGTCTCGGATTCTGGAATTTTCTTTACAAAGCTACCCTGCCTAACGTATCGAGGGTCACAGGCACCTCGGTTCGGTTTCTTGCGTGACATCGTTCCCATTTAAATGCGAAAACGGAGAGCTTGAAAGAAAAAGCACCGGAAGAATAGAACAATATGTACGCCCGTAAGGATTCTTGGTTGAATTTGAATATTTTATCTGAAGTCCACTAGCTATCTTATTTTTTTCTTCCTCTTTTTAGCGTCCTTTTTTTTTTTTTTTTTTTTTTTTTTTTTTTTTTTTTCTAGCTAAGCCTGGGTCTCCATTTTGCTTTTGTTTTGACATCATTTTGAAAGCCGTTTTTTTTTTTTTTTTTTTTTTTTTTTTTTTTTTTTTTTTTTTTTTTTGTCTGGGTTTTTTTTTTTTTTTTTTTTTTTTTTCTTTTTTTTTTTCTTTTTTTTTTTTTTTTGTTTTTGTTTTTCGTTTGACTACGTGCTCCACTCGAATGAAAATGTCCCCCCGGCCATTTGCTTTC